ATGCATACTGCAATTTGAATATGTTAGTAAACAGGTCTATTAGTTAGCAACTTAGCATACACCTGTAAGTGCTAACTTCATACCCCTGTTTGAAATTGATGTACAGTAGGCGGTGTGCTGCATTATTTTTATGTTTATGTACATGTACTGTATGTATGTACATACCTGTACCGCCTGTACATGTACATTGCAGGTTCATGTAGACTGTAAAAGTGTAATGTACATTGTACAATTTTTATATCTTCCATACATATTCAGAGGCGAGGGTATGTGTAGTCTACATGTACATGTACATGTACTGTACATAATATTCTAACATATTCCAGACTCTAGCCCATTTTTAAACCAAGGAGGAACAAGTCAATGTGTTTGGAAGTCAGACTACTATTCAACATGATTGGATGCAATCCCAAAGGTACAAAGTAATTTCAGCAGTACTTAAAAAATTATTTAAAAAACTGAAATCTTACTATCTGAAGTCCTCATTCCTACATCCGGTACTGTTAAAAGCTTGGGTTTCAAATGCTGGCCACTCGTTTTGAGTTAGTTGTCTAGGGTTCTTTGGGATTTCCATGTGACCTTGTCCGTAACAGGCATTGCTGCATGTACATCACGGTGAAGAGATTTCCTGTTTGAATCATCTGCCCGTCTGAGTGCAAGCAATCTGGAAATTGAAAAATGTGCTTAATTCCGCTCTTGCAGGGTTCCAAATACATTGTAGAAATGGACAAAAATAAATAAAAGCTTGCATGTCAAATCAAATAGGAATTTAGAATGGTCTGCACTCATTGACATGTATATTTATTATCTAAAGCTATTTTGGGAGTTTTCACTTTGTTGCTGATAGAATTTGAAAGATAATGATTTACAGTTAAATATTACATAAACATGTACAATGTACATGTACATGTACGTGTAGGCCCAGATGTACATGCTGCGATACACGTCTAGCTTTTTTATGAATACAAAAATAATAAAACAAAAAAGAGGACAAAAGTAAACATTGATATTTAATTGGAGGGTAGAATGAAGGGCACTTGCAAGTACATGTACATGTATGTATTTGTAAGTACTAAGTAAATTCACAGTACCTACAGTATGTACACATTATACGTATCTATGCCAGCTGAGGTTATACAGTACCATACTGTACATACATGTGTAGAATATACATGTTCAGTACAGTTTGAGGCTGTTCTCTGTATTCATAATTTCTAATATTCTATCCATAATTACACAATTAATTCAGGTTCATTTGTACTGCAAACCAATCTATCCTAGCCTTTTCTCAAATATGCAGTATGACAGGTTATTTGTACATGTAGATTGATATAGAATCTGACAGTAATGCTGAAATGGGCATTCACTGTCTGGGTTTGGACAGAGGTCATTTTAGGCCTGTCGTCATCAGCTCAAGTTTGCCAAATATCCCGCTATTTCTGATTCGGGAAATTTGCCCGAAGTTACAAATCGCATCTTCATCAGCTCGAAACTTGAAACTTAAAAACGAGCTTGAGATATTTTGCTCAGTGTTCGCGCATAGTGCGAGGTCTTCAAGCTGGTGAAGACGGATTTGACAAATAGAGGGCTATTTTGCAAACTAGCCCAAGATATTTTGGGAATATTTCCAGAGCAAATAGCCTGCTATTTGCATCTTCATTCTTCACCTGCCACCTGCCAAATAGCCCGCTATTTCGTGATCAGGCTAATTTCCTGAATCATAAATAGCGGTTATTTGGCAAACTCAAGCTGATGACGACGGACCTTTTGAGACATCATTAGCTGTACATAAACTATAGTGTGTCATGTACTCTGTACACTCACATCTACATACACTGTATATTAAAAGTTCCCAATTTCTGTCAGAATTCAGCTTTGGCATGAAATGGAGTATGTTCTTGTGAGTCATTATTTTTTGCCTGTTATCCAAGATGTATCACAAGATGTAACGTCTACATGTACATGTACATGTGTATTTGGTTGCATTTTATCCTTTAATGATCTTTTTCACAACTGAGTCATATTAGATTGTTTTCACTTGAAGCTCAAAGTAACTCTGCTACTTTGTAAGTTCATTAAGCAGTACATTAGTCTTTAAAAACACACGAGTAAAATTCTGTAAAGCTGATTAGTTTAAAGCGCTTTAAACCAATCAGATTTACATACGACATCATTCATGTACAGAAATTTTGGTGCGATCGACGATCGTTAATCGTTTCGTGATTAACTACTGCTCTTAAAATGCGCAGTACTGAGTAGTGCCATTGCGCATTGAAGGTCAGGTCATATCAAACAAAGCGCACGCTCCATCCAGTTTAAAGACGTATAACCGTTCACACACAAAATGTCAAGCTCTCTAGATATGAACTTCGTATCTGCAGCCTGCTTTGAGGGGCGTATGAATCCCACTTTGTATCTATCCGAACATCTTATAAACGATGTTCACACAGAAATTTTTCTTTAAAGCTGTTTAAAACAGTTGAGTTAAACAGCTTTAAACTAATCAGCTCTTGATACAATGAATTTTAGCTGTGTGTGAAAGGCTGCACGTACTGTACATGCAAAATGCTTCAACAGACCTTGATCGTGTTGATATAAATAATTAAGATCTACAGTATCTGTAGAATACAACCACAATATGGTTAAATGAGATTTTTGTAAACTCTGAAAGGGAGGCTGAGCCCCAATGGAGGCCAACATAACAGTCTACTACATGTACATGTGCTATGTGCTGAACGAAGGTTATACTTACAGTACATGATGTGTGCAGTCAGGTATTATTTTTCTTGTTCTTTAGTTATAAAACAGTTGGACAAAAAAAAAAACAGCTACTGGAACTGAGAGTGATACTGGAAAAGAACCCAGCTGAGATGAAGAAAAATCTGATAAATATGTTTTTTAAAAACTAATGAGGGAAAATCTCCCTTTTAGAAACAAATGTTAAGAGATTGCCTATAGATGAATAACAAAGTAGTTTAACTATAATATGAATTATTGGAATTATTGCATAAATGTTGAACAAAAAGTTTGTAAGTAAGGATGTCCAGTAAGTTGGTAAATCCACTGTTGCAGCGGAAGTGGCTGTGGAACATGTGTGGTGATGTCCTTCGCAGTGGTATTTCACATGGCTTCTACCCCCCCCTCCTCTCCCCTCCTCTCTTCCTCCCCTCCCTTCCTCTCTTCCTCCCCTCCCTCTCCCCTACTCCCTCCCTCTCCCCTCCTCTCTCCCCTCCTCCCTCCCTCTCCCCTCCTCCCTCTTTCTCCCCTCCTCCCTCTTCCCTCCTTCCTCTCCCCTTCCTCTCCCTCTCCTTTCCCTCCCCTCCTCCTCTTCCCCTCCTCCCCCACCCCTCCTCCTCTTCCCCTCCCCCTCCCCCTCCTCCACCATCACTCAATACCACACAGGACTAATACTGTCCTCTCATATGATCTGATTGGGGCACCCTGTGTCGCTATACCTTCAGACTAGTGCTGTAGTCAAACGTTTAACCGTCCGGTATCCGACCGCCCATGGCGGATTCCGTTTTCAATTGGACGGTTTCGTTTTCCCGTTTTTTTTTTTTTTTTTTTTTTTTTTATAATTTTTTTTTTTTTATAATTTTTTTTTTTTTTTTAATTTTTTTTTTTAAAAGTTTCGATTTATGCCCCTCCACCTGGCACTATGCCTGGCAATGTCTCCCAGCTCAGTAATCGGTGTGATGACTTACCACTTGGAAACTAGAACAACACTCCAATTTGTCTGTCATCTTGGTTTGAAAGTAATCTTTGTAATAGATCTCAATATATATTCATCCAAGTTTAACACATGGTGTACCACAAGGTTCTATCCTAGGTCCTCTACTGTTTTTAATTTACTTTAATGATCTTACACATTATTCTAAAACGACATTGTTACTATTATTTGTGACTAGTTCACAAGCACAAATCGGCGCCTTCAGTTAAATTACCTCCAGCTTTTTCACACGGACACAAAAAAAAAAATGATTTTTTTTTTTTTTTTTTTTTTTTTTTTTTTTTTTTTTTTTTTTTTTTAATAAATCGTTTAACCGAAAACCGTCCGGTTTTGACAGGCGGTTAAACGGAATTGGAGATATCCGTGATGTTACAGCACTACTTCAGACTAAACACACACATCAGTCGTCAGGACCTCATCCTGTGGAGCTGATCCTCTCTCTTCCTAGCCTGCCTCCCAGACTAACCAGTCATTTTATTCTTGAAACTTTCAGGAAATCATATTAACCACAAGAATGTCCTGTACTAGTCTGTAGTCAAAATAATAAATTCAACGATGTAAGAGGTTTTACTATCGGATTTTTCTGGTGATTAAATAGTGGTGGTGCTGTTTGAATATGTGTTGGGTTTATTTTAGAGGGAAAGAGAGGAAGAAAACATTTAAGTATTGAAGGAAGGCTATAATTTGTGATCAGTACATAATGCGTTTGCCCTTTCCCTATATCAGAGGCATACATTGTTGCTGGCATAGTAGAGATATATACTGAGATATGAATATATTTCATTGGATGAAGAAGGCTTCATCTATTCCCGGTGTGGTGAGTGAAATTAGGGCATTAGCTGTTTGTAGTAGGCTTGAGAAAGAGCTTTTCGTGACTGTTTTTCTTCTCGTCTTGTCCACTATTGATAGGAAAAGAAGGAACTATCGGGTCTGTGTTCCTGAGGTTCATGTGATGTCACGAGTCCCGTGCAACCACAGACATGGCGTGCAGATATACACTGTACATTACTTCGGATAACAGATATTAAATTACACAAAAGTGCTTTGATGAGTTTTGTTCTTTTCATTTGTACATTGGAAGACCCGGTGACCCAGAATACCTTATTGCATATTCGGCTTTGCTTTGTAATTGCTTTTGGGCTAAGAAATCTGGAATTTTCAGAATATCTCGTGCAAATTTTATAATTCTAAAAAAGAAACACACATGAAATTTTTGAGCAAAATACTAACTGTACAATATTCTCTCTTTCTTGTGTATTATATCTCACAGGCCTGAAGACTACTGACTATTAAACAGAAGAAGTCATGGAGCAGCAGAACCAATACTTCTACAATCATAACCAAAGGTCTTCTGCCTGCATGCCACCGCAGCAGCAGCAGCAGCAGCAACAGCAGCAACAACAGCAGCAACAAGATCCTTCCTACCCTGTCAACAACATGGACCAGTCTAAGATGGGTCCTATGATGCGGGCCCTGACCGAAGACTTTGATATGCCAAGCCAGAACTCTGCAAGCAATTACCCACAGCAAGGAATCCCCAGCATCCCACCTGCTGGTGATCAGCAGAGAGTACCGTCGTCCAACAGTTTTGGCCCAGCTTCACAGACATTATCTGGGTATGCCAGCCAGTATTCCACAGGGCCAGGTTCGCACAACTACTTTCCACATGGGAATTCTCCGTCTCCTTTGAACAGTGGGTTTGCGCCCCCAGGTACAAACTATCCTTCTGGAGGAATGTCCAGTCCGTACCAGAGACAGATGCCTGCATCGAGCCCTTTGGGAAGTCCCAACGGACATGGGCACCCGTATCCAAGATCTGCCAGTGCTGGTCCAACCATACCTTCTCCAATCATGATGCATGGGCCTGGAATGTATCCTCATAACCAGACATCTCCAGGGAATCGCTCCACACCATTTGGCTTCCCTACGTCACCTACGTCACCACATAATCACCTCAATCACGCCTCTCCACCTTTAGCTTCTCCAAGCAGTATGCGCCCTGGAGGAACCCTACATAGTCCAAAGAGTCTGCCAGCTAGTTCTCCTGTACCGTTTGTCTCTCAGATGTCACCCACAGCTTCCCGTGCTCAAAGCGTTCCTACTCTTCCTGCAAATTCTCTCGATCACTTGCCACCAATGTCCCACGGCAGGTCCAAATCCCCAGGATCTGCTGGCATTCACCGTCCATATCCGCAACCACCTGGCCAGCAGCAGTTATACCCACTGCCTTCCCCTAAGGTTCGACCTGTTGACCAGACCGACAGTAGAGGACAATATGTAGAACTTATACACACAAAGCCTGGGGATCAGCGGCCAAACAGTGAAAGATCCCGGAATCACAGTGGACATAGAAAGATGTCTGACCCCGGGCACTTGCCTCGATTAGAGGAAATGGTAGCAGTGCTCAGTGATTCAAAAGTCAAGGAGACTTTGGATGAAATCGTTTCAGACAAGAACCTTCCTGTCATTGAAAATGGTTCACCAGGAGAATCCGTCAAATCTGATTCCTCAAATCACACTGCAGATAGCACGAAGACAAAAAGAACTCCTGTAAGCAATGGAGCATGTGACAAGAGTAAAGATCAAGACAAAGGAGGACTTTCGAATGGATTAGCAGATTCAGAGGACAAAAATGCTGATATTGTTAAATCAGAAAGTGACTTATCAAGTGAAAAAGACATTAAGGCCGTAACTCCTTTGAAAAAAGTGACCAAGGCGCATTGTGGGAAGGTCAATGCCAAGTCAAATGGAAGAAATGGTATCAAAAAACAAGAAAGCATAGACTCTACTAACAGTACAAGTGATTTAGATAATTCCCCATTCAAACCACCTTTGTCCAAGCAGTCTCAACCTCAAAACCCTGATCAAACCAAAGAATCAACAATGTGTACAGAAGAAGTTGTTAAAGTGAAAGAGGAGGAGTCCACAAGAGAGTCATTACCAGAAACTACTAAGTGCCAAAGTGAAGCTACATTATCAAAGCATTCCCCTGTACATGTAAGTGAGCCAAGTCATGATGTGGCTTCCACTTCCTCACAGAAAACTGAGGATGATAAACATGCCCCAAAGACACCACCTTCATGTGATGAGGACCTCATGACTACTCCTAAAAGTAAGAGGAAGAGTCCTGATGACAGTGGAAGTAGTACTGGGAATGATTCTCTTCCCTTGAAGAAAAGGAGGGGAAGACCCCCGGGGAGTAGAAATAGACAAGAAGGGGAGGAGGAGAAACCTAAGAGGAAATACTCCAAGAAAAAGAAACTGGTGATGGATGATGGAGAAAAAGCGGATCAGAGTAAAGATAAGAGTAAAGATAAGCAAGTTAAAACTACAACTCCTGTGAAAGTTAAGGCAGAGGCCAGTGTGCCTGTGCATGTAGCTCGAGGGCCTGTACTAAGAGTGCAAGGTGCTAACATCGAGAGCGTTGTGTCGAGCAAGTTAATCAACGTACCGGACGCTGAAGAGGAGGTTGTCAAAGGTGGGAAAAAGAAGCAGAAGGTGGTGAAACACGCCAAGAGACAAAACAATCTTGTTGCTGGACATGTTGGACAGGCTGCTGTTCTTTCTTCAGAGTGCCCAAGTCCTACAGGATTATGGGTATGTACACTGTGTGGCAATCCTCCAAACTTTGGAATACTCGGTGACCTGTATGGACCCTACTATCCACCAGGATGCGATGTACCTTGCTCCTCGAAGAGAGACAGTATGTCAAAGAATGACCGACACAGAGGGAGCGACCAACGGGAGTCGCACTGCAGCAGCTCCAAAGGCGGCAGGCAAGTTGCAGGAACATCAAGGAAAGGGGCAGTGCAGGATAGCAGAAGCCAGAGAGGAAAGTCGTTGATGGCAAAGCAGGCTGATCTCTCAAAGACTCGTAAGTGGCGGCAGATCAAAACGTACATGGAGGACATGTCCTTGATGACGGGCAGGAAATCATCGAAGAGGAGGAAGAGTGAAAGTGAAAGCGATTACGTGGAGCTATGGGTCCATGAAGAATGCGCTGTCTGGTCCCAGGGGGTCATATTTCTTCAGGGGACTCTCTATGGCATCCATGAAGCAGCCAAGGAAGCTGAAAACAAGGTATAGCTTGCTCTAAATGTTGTAAACAATGTTGATTAATGCTTACAGTTGAAAAGAGACTAGATTTTGTGCCAAAAGTAATTCCAATTGTATCTTTCATGTTGCACTTGATAAAACAAAAATAAATCTGCAGTTGGCAACATGAAGCTGAGCTAAAGAAATATTGCGAAGATTATATTTCTGAACATAATGTATCATTAATGATTTTGAACAAAAACGCAGTTGAATTCAGTACAGTTCCCTGCAAAGATAACTTTAAAGAGTACATGTATGTGTCTACTATGATATGAAACATTTGTATTTTAACATCTACATGTACCCTGAAATTGATGACAATTTTTAAATATCAGTGAATTATATGAAGAATCGTTCATATTCTACATGTATACATGTATCTGTCCTGAGATATATGGATATGTGGCATATGACTCGCCAGCTTGAATCAATACATGTATCCCCCCCATGATATTTGTCTCACCATTCCCATCGAGCATGCCCCTTCATTCCCCAGTTAAATATAATTTATTACTACTTTCAATTTCTAATTCTAATTTGATTTTCAGAAATGCAACCTGTGTCGAGACTCTGGGGCGTCCATCGGTTGCATGCATAAAGGATGCAAGCAAGTCTACCACTACCTGTGTGCTATTGAGTCAGGTAAGACTAAGAGTTAGCTCTTAATACCAAGTCCTTTTTATTGCAGCTGCACACAGTGGTGTAGCATGGGCCCAGATAGGGAGGGGGCCCTGGCTTCATATGCTGTATGTGATTGGGTGGGGGGGGGGGGGAGCACCTGTAGCACCTGTCGTACTGGTTGCATGAAATCTAAATTAAGAGGTGACACATTAGGAGGAGGGGTCATGGAAATGTTCCCCATCTTCCTTTCTGTCACCTTTTAATTTTTTTTTCTTTTAATGGCGATGTTTTGGGGGAAATTTTGTCGGATAAAATACTAAAAACCTTGTGTATATCAATTAGGTATGGCTAAACACTGCACAATATCAGTTATTGTGTTTTATCTAATATGTAATAAGATTGAATTTGAAGGTCTTAGTGATAGCGATAGTGGTGGTTATTTTACCTGACAGCTAAAAAAGCACTAAATGCTTCAAAGGCTTCTCGCAGCAGAATATGCAAATTTTGCAAAATCTTACTCTATGGATTTGATATTTATTAAAAATGTAAAAATGCATTGTTTCTGATGTCTCAGTTTTGGATTGGAGGGGGGAGGGGATGTCATGTCTGTGTTTTTTTTAAATTCCATCTACAAGGGATTAAGATGCAATTTGTTTATAGGTTTGATATGAATGTCTGCAGATGGTTGACATCACATTCGACATGAGGTATATTCTTTACTTTTTTTACACTCAATTTTACAAGGTTAGTTCATATATTTCCTCTTTTTCTTTTTCTGTTTTGTTTGCAGAGTGTCAACTACATCAAGATAACTACTCCATGACTTGCCCCAAACATAAGGTAAATATTTTGCTCTGTATTGTCGCGGTTAACTTGATTATTACATTTTTAAATAGCTTGTGTCATGCATGGGATTAATTAGAAACATTGGGTTAGGTTGTATTCTCATGAATTCCACAGTGTACCATTATGAGATTTGTTTAAACTTACATTGATTAGGAAAATTTATTTTGACTACCGGTATCACCATAACCTTCACCAACATGATTGGTTATTATTGCGATAGCATGTTTTTTAATAAACTATTTACCTTGGTTCTCAAAAAAGACACCAAGAAATGCAATGAAAAGTAAATATTACAATTCTCTCTCCTCAGATTTGGTGACTTTTCAGTTTTCAGTTTATTATAATTCATTTGATGATTCCTCTTCTAGATACATATGACATTGAAAACAGTTTCCCTGAAAAATAGGCTGTACCGATGCTATGGTGCGAAAGCTCATAAGAAACACCTTGGGGAAACCAGGTATACATGTTATCTATGGCAATTTGCAGGTGCATCTCATAAAGGGAATGAGCTCATTTCATTGAAAAGTACCATATTTTGAAACAGTATATTTTCCCCAATTTGGCCAGAAAATGCGATGAAGATTTATAGCATGTTTACGACCACTGAAATTGGATCTACCGTGACGCTGCGTGAATATCATATGCCAAATTGCAAAGGATGAATATTGCTGTTATGAATCCCAATTGTGTCTTCCATTTTAATGGCGGTGTCTGCCGAGCTCATCTTGTGATAATCCGACAGTGTTGTGTGTGTTGGGAGCCAGAAGGTTGTGAAGTCCAGAGCCCTGTTTCACTAAACGTGTTATCAGTAACAAGATAAGATGGTTGTTACAAGCTACTGAAATCCTTACATTCGATTGGCTAAGAGCAGAATTGTCATAGATATGTGGCAGATGTTAGTGATACCAAGTTTTATGAAACAGGGCCATGATGTTCAATGAGTTACACCCTCCTGGCCCTCAGCAGAATGTTTATTGTCTCCTAGATGCCTACATAATATCATTCCATCATTACTATGTATTTGTGCGCACTTTATATGCGTAGTCACACTAAAAATGTCTTTTTGCTGTCACCCCCCATCCCCCTACTTTCCAATTAATTTTTTTTTATCACAAAATCAACTACCGGGTATTTACGATCCGACTCCAGCCTCTTTCTCTCGTATTATCTGTCTTTACATTTGTCTAGCTCAAACAACTCTTTATTATCTGCACCTCTGTAATCACCCAGTATCTCTGTCATGCTCAGAGCAAACTAATTTTAAGACATCCTATCTTTACAGTTCTATCCAATATTTTAAAAGTAAAAAATGAAAGTGAACGAATTGTGCATAACTTTATCTAAAACTGCTTGAGTCACAAAACAATATTGGAACTTTCAGGTTTAACACACCTCAAGTTTCCTAGTACCCAGTTTCCATGTGCATATGTTTCATATAATCTCTTGAAACTTCATATGTTGATATGAGAGACATAAGAGGATATATCATCCTCCCTGTAACTATCGTACATTCAATGTAACTTATTTTCCTCTCTTTTCTCCTTCTTTGTCGTTCTTTCCAGGACAAGAAAGTCAAGATGAGAGGGGGAACTTGATCCACACTCCCGGAAGCCATTTGAATTATTGGACAGTACAACAAAGATGCATTTGTGTTTGAGTATTTACCTACAGTCTTCAGTGTGTCTATTTCTTTCTTATATCTTCTTAAAGTATCAAGATATCTTGTACCTGTTGAAGTAATGTTGTGAACAGCACACACCTACCTGTAGAATGCACTGTTTGTTTGTAGGTATGTGTATTTTGAATTATCTTGGGCATTCGAATCTGAGTAGTGCTTATCTGCTTTCATATTTTCATTTTGCTGAACCTTTCAGTAGATTTAATTTTTTTTTATTGAAGGCAAACAAACATGTATAAGGATGGCTTTTCTCTCTCTAGATGAAAATTAAGCCATACTAGTAAGTCAAAATATGACAAGCCACTTTTAAAGGAGGATGCATTTTTTTTGCAGTGTAGTGAGTAGATAAATATGCAAAAGTAACGATGGGGAATATCATTTGAATTTTGTTTGTCTGATGTCATTCAAACTTTCACCAGTCTACTTCTCTGACTACTATAATTAGTTTGCTGTCAAGGTTGGATTCCCCTTTAAGCACAGCATGTGAATTTATAATGATACCCCTTTCACTGAGATTACTGTTCAATGTTAGTCTTCAAGATAATACAATATTTGCAGTGAAAATTAATTCAAACTTTCATTTTGACAACTTTTGTTTGCCAGGCATGAGATATTAGCCTGCCAGGTAGAAGCTAGACTGAAACATCGGTCTATTTCGTTGGGTGGATATGTTCCGCTGAGACTGTGTCTGGCTTCACCAACTCCCTCTCTGAGAGCCTCAAAAGATTTTAAGAGACGTCTCCAAGCAGACATGGATTCTCTCTAGGTAGAAGCACATAAATCCTTGATCATAGATTAATCATATGTACAGTAATGTAATCCTGACCTGCAGTCTGAATTCTGTTATTTTCTCTGAAATCCAGAGGATCGTAAAAAGCACTTAAAACCAACACTGCCATTTCAGACCTTATTTAAATGCATGTTATGCCAGTGGTTTGCTGCCATATGCCATGGCACACACTGTAAGTAGAAGATCCCAGTGTTTATTCCCTTGGCGAGTAAGATATGCAGCATTTAAGACCTTTCAAGATAAAAAAAGCAGACTAACTTGAAGACATATACTCAGTATGTAATGCATAATGTATGAGAAAGAGCCAGACAGAATGTGCGTCTAGGTGGCTACATTGTAAATGAGGTCTCCCAAGTGTCACTGTACAGCTGAGCTAGTCTTGTTTTCAGACATCTGAAGCCATGTCTACAGGTATACCTAGCCTACCATTCAGGCCGAGTATGACTTTTCATCCTGGTTGTGATATAGAATTTAACTTGGTCTTAGTATTATTTCAGCTTGTTCTCCTCACTCAGAAGTGTAAACAAATAAGTTTTCCAATGAAGTAATTTCCATTTCGAGAGAAAATGTCTTGCAAACTGAAACTTTGTCTGTGTAATAATCAGAGTTCGACAGAGTACAAACCTGATATTTTAAGCAACTGCTGTATAATTCTTTAAATTTGTTCGTCTTTGTGGATCATGAACCTCGTGATTATATACATGTATTACGATTTTCTGAAGAGGCACGTGTATGTATTCACATGAATCAGAAAGGTTTGGAAAAGAGACTAGGAGCTTGGAGCATGCCATATGTGTCAACAAGTGAGTCATCATTCTGTGCACATGTAGACAAACTATGAGCACCTACCTCAGGTAGATCTGAATAGTTATTAAAGACCCTGTCGGAAGCGAAAAATAAAGTAGATGAATTGTATATCGCAGGAAAGCTTATACGCCATAGATTACAATAATATCAGTTCTTTGCTATTCTAGTGTCTGTCAAAGGATAAACAGCTCTCTGAAAACTCGAAATCTAAAGCTTTGGAAATCGAAAGTTGTCGACCTAAAAACTAGCTATCAAATTGATGACATCATCTTAGGGGGAGTACGCATATTCACAATGACTTTGCATTAATTAAGCACGGCGCATTGCCTCGGCTAAATAGGTGAGCCGATCGGGTCCACATGTTATGTCGTCACCATAACTGAGGCAAATTTGACCCCTGTTGACCCATAATTTGGAGGGGTGCAGAAAATGAGCAATATTGAAAAGGAAAATATTTTAATTCCTTTACATTTGTATTCTACTTTCATTCAGCTTTCCATTGATATACAGAGATACTTTCATTGGATAGGGTCTTTAATGTTTCATTCCACAGAGTTGTTGAAGGTGAAAAGATACTAAGTCTCCAGCCATGATAGTCTTTACCTCCAGACCTCTATCCCACTTACATGTAACTCATAACCCACTGCCCTTAGCATAAAAATGATTGAAAATTGAGATTCCGTTTTCCGTCTTTGTTTTGTGTTCATGAGAGCAAATGACCCATAAATATTATATAATTTCATCCTTGAAGTAATCCTATCTTTGTTATGTTGTTAGATTAACAACATATTATCAAGTCATCCTAACTGTACAGTAGTGTACAGAATGCTGTTAAATCATTGCATTTTTAGAGGAATAAGCCAGCTTGTAGATCAATCTGCACATGGGCAGATAAAAGTCATTTGTACAAAATCGTAAGCCCACCGAGATGATACTAGATACATGCTCATGGAAGTTATTAATCATCATTATTTTTGTATGCACTGACAGTACATTGTATGAAACATAGGTAAAAGTATTATTTTTCAAGAGGACAAACAAATGGATTCATGAAATTCCTCCCTGACTACAGCAGTGATTATTCTAAAATGCATAAAGTGGGACCTCCCCATGTTTAAAATATATGTGGATTTTCTGAGTCGTTTGAACTACATGTATGTGCCAAGTCGAACTGGGGGTGTTTCACAAAAACTAAGATTGACTTAAGTTGGACTTGAACTATGGCAGGCCATTCATGACAATGGTTGGTCTCTTAAGGGACGTCACAAATCTACAGAACTCCCATTTTTTTTGACAGTTTATTATTGAGGGTAAAAACATTATCTAAAGGTCATAATTTCGAAGGTTTTTTCCTCTAATTCAATATCTGGTTCATTACTTAAAAACTTAAGTCAATCTTAGTCTTTGTGAAACACCCCTAGGTGTATTATTATATTGTGTTTCTCGAAGATGCTCAATTCTGCAATCATTCACAAGTTGTCTGTGAATGTTGTTGATTTAAGTAAAGGCAAAATATGGTTGTTTTTTTATCTTTCATTTTGTAGCCCTACCAGAATAAAACACTTCTTTCCTACTACTATTCAGACCCATTCCTCGTTTGAATTTATGTCATGATTGTAGATAAATCTATGCAGATTTTTTAAAAGTATGTGAGTGATGTGCACCACTACCTAGTCTTCTTTTTGATATAATGCGATTACTCTGTTACAGATTATTTATCAGTAACCGACTGTCTCGGTACTGAAAGGCATGCTTTTAAAAGTAATCACACACTCGCAAAAAAGAGGAAACAAATGTTAAAAGAAATTCTTTCCTTATGTGGATTGTAAAGATGAAATGATTCCTTTATTAAAATGGGCATTCGAAATGAGCTTCCATTTATATTAAAACCAGACAGGCAGATAAACCAAATTGCAAAATATATGTAATTTAAAGCAATATTGTTCCAATGTGTATTATCCAGTATCATATCAATGATTGATAGAAATGAAGGGAAGTGTTCTGGTCATAAAATTTGATTTGATTCTAATGGGTTCGGCTCTTTTTTTGATCCTCTTTGTAATTGTTTCATCATCCTAAGATAAATCAATATAATAAATGTCTCAAATGTTGTTGGGTCTTGATTCAAGATGATTTTCATTAATGTTTGAATTATGTGCTCCTTTTCCCAGCCTTAATATGATTTATGCATGTATTGTGCTTAACATGTAAGCCAAATCTGTGTGTTGGTTTTTAATTTTTCGTTGGGGGGGGGGGGGGGGGGGGGGGGGAGTGGCATCTTACGGCATTTCATATACAAATGTGTTTGATTACTATTTTCCTGCAGATCTGTGGATAATGGGTCAGATCAAGGCATTATTACGTGTATTTTTGTTGGAATCTTTTGAAAGATTTTGATCTAGTTGTAGATGTCAAGGGTGTTCAAGTGTAAATGCAAGGAATTTTCTTTCTCATCAGTTGAATGGTACTTACCAAGGACCTAAAGGATTTGCGTTTACCATATAAATGTTCGCCCTTTCCAAGAATGGACTTTCAAATTAATTTAGCTCGATTATCATTCTCAAAATGTCAAGAGAAGAGGTTTTTTTTTTTTGAGCATCTTTGTGAAACTGCTCATCACTCTTCAAGTCAGGTGAGAAGAGTCGTATCAAGCTCTCGCTATAATTAGTTTTGTAATTGTGGTTGTAACATACATGTAGTGGGTACTTTCATGTTTGTACTCTAAATGTAAATAAGTATCGTTGTTTCACAAGATGGCATGCGTCTTTGATGAACATTTTCTGTTTGGGGAAATGATTATTTATTACTTATTATGAATTTTATTTGTCTGTAAGTATGATTTCTTTCATTATTGATTTCCATCAGTATTCTTTTGTATTAGTGAATTTTGTCATCTTTGTGGAACCTAGCAGTGTCCAATTCTTGCTATCGCCACTATACGGTATTCGGCTGTAGAGGGCAGCATTGGCCATGGGTATATGTGACAAAGGCACTTCCAGCTCCCCAGGGAAAAAATTAATATTTATTTTTCGGGGGCTACTTTTCAAGCTTGCCTGCATGAATATAACATTCTAAAAAAAAATTTGCATTGAACTCTATGCAAATTTATGGGGGCTCTTTTCTGATTTTCGGGGGCTCTTTGGGGTATTTCGGGGGCTAATTCGCCCTGAGCCCCCGTGTATTTTTTTCACTGCAGCTCCCATACAAATACAATGGATGGAGAACTGGATAGAAGTCGATAGATATGATAATTTTGGAGCCAATAAAATACGAAGCACGGATTATGATGGTGGCTATATAGATCTTGTGAAATCATCTGCGGAGTTCATAAAACCTGAACAATATTTTAGTAATATCGGGAGTTTGTTGACACTGCTGTACATTCTCTATGGAAGCTGGAAGAAACCTTGTTTCATTGTCTTCCCTCAGTATATCAAATCTGTGCACAGTATGGGAGGAATGTCGCCCTCTACTGTCTAATATCGTATAGGTGGTCAGGTGAATTACAGCATGAAATCAACTGAAGTAGCTGATGAATTCTTTTTATATATATCTATATATATATATATATATATATATAAACATGTATATGTATAAATCACCTTTGATGTATAAAACAAAAATGATATTAAGAAAACAGAATTTGTTTCACAATTTTGGCGGAAAGAACCCAGATGTGTCAGCTTCTAAATGTAAATACATGAACACTGTACATACCTTATTTGGAGAAAAAATGAAAAAAACATTTTGTTTTTTGTGTGTAATTTATGCATTATAAGTGTCCATTTTTTCTATGTTGATAAAAACTGTTCATTGTCACTGGTACATTGTAATACAAAAAAGAGGATTAGTATGACATTATTGTTCATAATGTCATTTGTTTTATGTGTTTTTGTTAAAAATGACAAAATCCAATGCCGAGTTATAAAATAGATGATAAAGCATTGCAAAATCACAGACAGTTGTCATTGTGTCTTTTATTTTTCATTAAAAAATATGAAAATATCGTACAGGTGTGCACATTTATATGCAAAATATTTGCCAATTGAGACTCTTAATTTACTGAACACGTTTCACACACTGAATGCCAGTGCAGACAGGATACACACATTACATAGAATATTTTACAAAATATACCATACAGTGATTACATAAACTGGAAGTAAGCAACATCGTTTAAAGCCCCACTGCACTACATATAGCTACTTGCACCCTCTACATTGTATATATAGCAAACAATACCTAATCAGTGACCATTGGTCCCCCATGCTCCCCTTTTTATTTTTTTTAATTGAGAGCTGATTTGATGAGATAACCACCTGTCAGTGACCCTGCAGGGAGGTCTTATCCCTCTTGGCCAAACTAGTGCAGAGAGGCTTTTAATATTGGATGGGCAAATGGCAGAACAGACTAAAATCATGATTTTGGTACATTGTAATGAGAGGGGAGACAAAAGAGAGAGGGGGAGGAGCTCTAAATTGTTTATTTTTGTACAATGTACCAGTAAAGCAGACAACCATTCGATGAGTTGTATCATAGGCTCATATTTACAAAGAATTTACTCCACTGATATATCATATATATCAGGAGTGGCAATTGTCAAGCTCTCAATTTTAAATGAAATTATGGTAATCTTGTAACAAATTAGTGGGAAGAAAACAAAATCTAGTAATGACTTGAAAAGGATAAATTGATTTAGATACATGTATCTGTTTTTTCGTCTAATTACAGATTTATGGTTTGATAAAGAGGTTGACGCTCGTCGATCTATCACACAGTGGACTACTTGTAGTTACACATCAACCCACTTAAACCTAAAACAATGGCTTTTGCTTTATGAATACTGGCCAATGTTTTCCTTTTTCTTCATAATGTCTTAAATGTCCCATACATTTTTACACAGGTTTTCTACTATTCTAGTTCTATCCCCAAAGGAAATAACAGTTTTACATTTCATTTCAAAGGCAAGTTTATATCACAGTGCTAAAATGTTTGACATTTTATTTGGTTATATACCGGTATATACATGTACAATACATGAAATTGAGTAAAAAACATTAAATAGCAAAACATTTCATAAAGTTCTATAGAAAAATAGAGTAAGTGGAGTAAAGTTGTTCAGCTCTTTCAATTTTCCAAAAATATTATAAAGGAATACTCCTTTTCTTTTTTCAAACTGAACTCTTTGAAAGTATTCACATCTTAAGCACACACATATATGCTTTACAAACCGTAAAAAAACAGAAACTTTCTTGTAAACCATCACAATATTTGACCACACATGATCGAAGGTGGTCATCGTTTACCGGTTTACTATTGATTTCTTTTACTACCAGTAAATAACAAAAATTGGCAGTTGCTCCATAGTTTTGCCCCTAAGTGACAATTAGCTACTTAAACTAAATGAAAGAGAGACATGAAAGACAACTTTTCCCAACTACAGACAATCATAGTACTGCTCTTCACGGAAGAAGAAAAACAAATTGGCATACAGGTAGGGCTACTAGGCAGTTACAGCATCTTCAAATAAAAAATACTACTAAAATATTAGTTCCAGTAACAAGCTATTGCTGATTGTTTGAATTACTCTTTCCTGGGTGATAACTAATAAAGAGGTTCTACATTCTCTATCAAAGCCATTTTTATGCGCCATCATTTTCTGTGAGATTTTTGGAAGTTTGACCAAGCAAATATCTTGCCAGTTTCTGAAGTCAAATGTGCTTTTGACAACAACGTCTGCCAATCTAATAGTAGTGGAAATAACCAGGTTGAACAGATCTTGAATATGTATTGCATTTTTAGGGCACCACAAATTGTTTTCTTAGGTTCTGTGTTTCGTTTTACACTCTTATAAAAATCTGATTTGATCCAAATTCTTTAGAAATATAGCACTCTTAGCAATGGTTATGTGACGTCGTTGTTGTGGTCCTTTACATGTAGGTAATGAAACCTTTCCATTGGCATCTGTCTCCTGCAATCCGGTAGATTGTATTGAGAGGGTGGCCAGAGGGTGTAACCATGGTTACAGATAGCCATGTACATATCCTAGCGATGACCTATAGTGATGATGATGCAATGATGCATCAGCACTTCTAGCAGTGTTTATGAAACTTGAACCACCAGAATATTACGGTACTTGAAGCTAGTTGTGTTGGAAGAACTTCAGACCCATCCAGTTGAGGAAGTAGAAAAATGCTGCCACCGGCATGGCCAATGAAACAAGGATACCATAGTAGAGTAGGTCTGAATCCTCAAGAGAGAAAGACGGGTCAACTACTACATCCTGGAAAAATGAAATAAAGAAATAATAATAGTAAGTATAAAGTATATTTATTAAGCACATAATAAATTGAAAATTTCTCTATTCGCTTTACAATCATGACAAACTTGAATATATAAACAACATAAAAAATAACAAAGTAGATAAGCAAATAACAAAAAACATTCATAAGGAAGTAAACCAATTCACCTATAATTACACCGAAGTAAAAGTATTTGACATTACATATATGACTAATTCAACAAACAGACACCCATGCCATTATGTCCAACCAACCTCCTAACCAGCAAAAGGACAAACATGCAAAGCAGCTCTAGGAAACCCTCAAAAACAAATAAGTTTTCAGGGCTCTTCCAAAGCCGTTGAAGCTCGAAGCTGGTGAGGAAGTTGGTTCAACTAGTCATATTCAAATTAGAAATGTCATAAATTATATCAAGAATTAGGGTGCCACTGTACAATAAACCTATAAATGCCATTATTTTATTTATTCAGGACAGGAGGAAATTGTTCAGCACATTTCATACAAGTTTATGGGACAAGTTAAACTCGATCAAAAATTAAAATTACATGTAGGTGTCTAAATAAATAGGCCCTACATAAACATGTTAAAAAATTAAAATAGAAACAATTGATTTGTGCAATATCTTCCAACACAATTACTCTTAACAGCATTTATAACGATTCAATGCAGTATATTTATCACTTTACAGAGGTGACAAAAAAAAATACCATGATTTCTTTCTCATTTCTCTACAAGTTTACTACATTGATTGATTGAGCTAAAGAATGAAGTAAAACTAAAAGTTTAGTAGTCAAAAGACCACACACATCTAAATTGAGTCTGCTCTTCTACTTCTAAAATCACATCCCAATTAAAGTTGCTCTGTCCCTTATCATATTCTACACAATTTTTACTCACATCCATAACCAGCAAAGGGCGGTGTTCTAAGTGTTTTCATGTAGAACAAATGTGAATTCCTGCAGATCCAACAAAATTTCCAATAGATGGGACACACTGTAACAGAAAGCTAAAGATATCGATGTTTGAACGTAGAGGGATTCAACTAGGACAAAATTTTGATGTAGATGTCGCCGCTGCAAAAGGATGTGCCAGAAACGATTGACAAATTTCCGGACAAGGGTCATGACATATATCCTAGCGATGACCTACAATGATGATGATGCATCAGCACTCCTAGTAGTAATGATGAAACTTAAGCCACCAGAATATTACTTGAAGCTAGTTGTGTTTAAAGAACTTGATACCCATCCAGTTGAGAAAGTAGAAAAATGCTGCCACCGGCATGACCAATGAAATGAGGAAACCAAAAAAGAGTAGGTTTTGATCATACGCATTGAAAGACGGGTCAACTACTACATCCTGGAAAAATGAAATAAAGACATATATTGGCAAAAGTTTTAATACGGATTAGATATTTTTTCTTCCAGTTTTATGCCTTTCAGTTAGAGGTAAAAGACCAGTATTGGAAACGCCCCAATTTCAAAAAAATGAAATAATAATAATAATAGCCTAATAGTCCACTCCAAATTTTATTAAACCGAAACGGAAATTCTTTTTGCCCAATTGATCGTGACTAATACATGAAACTGCCTACTAATTGATATATTTGGTAAATTAGTTTATTCATTGGGACCAAATAGATAATATGCACATGTCGCGCATGTGTGCGTACTAGTCCCATATACATCTTTCTGTGTACAGTGCTTGTAACTTTACAAAGACTGGGCCAAATTTCTTATCATTTTGATGATTCCAGAACCTTGCAGTACACACCAATACTTATATGCTAGATGATCAACCTTTTCTGATTGATTCCACAACGTTTCTTTCACAATGCAATCGCATGACTGGTCTTTACCTTTAACTCGGCTTGTTTAATTTCTTTATTGAAAAGCTAGTCATATTCAAATTAGAAATGTCTTATCAATAATTTGGACGCCACTGCTATAAATGCTATTAATTTAATTGATCAGGAAAGGAGGTTATTGTTCAGAACATTTCATACAAAATACAAGATTATGGGACAAGTTTAAAGATAAACTTTAGTACTGGTAATGCCATTGCATTGTGAAAGAAAAGGTGTGGAAAGGATCAGAAACAGTTGATCATGTAGCATGTAAGTATTGGTGTGCACTGCAAGGTTCTGGAGTCATCAAAATCATAATAAATTTGACCGAATCTTGGTAAAGTAACAAGCACTCACATAGAAAGCTATATATGGGACAACACACATGGTGTCGGGGCTGGTACTACCTTGATTTCCTTGTCTTTCTATGCTCATTACTCAGCCAGTATACATTTTCTTCCAAAATTGTTTGGCACATGTCATTTATTTGTAATCTTGAACATTCAGTGTAAGTTTCGTTTGATTCTGTGAGAATTATTTTTTTTTTTTTACCAGTACTGGAGTTTATCTTTAACTCAATCAAAAATTAAAATTAAAATAAAAAAATAAAAAAATAATAACATAGGCACTAAATAAACATGATAGAATAGAAACAATATGCAATATCTTCCAACACAATTACTCTTAATAGCATTTATAACGTTTTAATGCATTATATTCATCACTTTACTGAGGTGACATAATACCATGATATCTTTCTCACTTCCCTTCAAGTTTACTAGTAAAAGTTTGGTACCGGTAATCAATGAAAAGACAACACACATCTCACTCCAGCAAAGCATGTAGATAGTCAATGCTAATGCGCATTGACCTCTAGCACTGCATGCTTGCTGTGAGGCAGGTATTATTAGACCTATACACATATATACACACCACACAATATTGCATAGACTGCACACAATCATGTCGATGCAGCTGTAAGCAAAGTTTGACACTTGACTTACAATTTGAATTTTTAAATTATTCTTTTTAACATCAGTAAGTTAAAAAAAATGTATTTTACTGCTATTTAGGTGTCATCAATTGTCACTAAAGTACCGATTTTGAGTGAAATCAGTTGAGTTTTGTACAGTGGTGTTTGAAATGTTGAGAATCAAAAGCACATCTTTTACCACACAGCCAGGATAGTGATGCTCCTATGTGTGACACATCTAACTAAGTTTTAACTCTAAATTCGAAGTCTCAAGCTTTTCTACTTCCAAAATAACATCCCAATTAAAGTAAAAAAAAATATGTGCACTTGCTCTGTCCCTTATCATATATATTCTACACAATTTTTACTCACATCCATAACCAGCAAAGGGCGGTGTTCTAAGTGTTTTCATGTAGAACAAATGTGAATTCCTGCAGATCCAACCAAATTTTCGATAGATGGGACACACTGAAACAGAAAGCTAATCAATGTCGATGTTTCAACGTAGAGGGATTCAACTAGGACAAAATTGTGATGTAGATGTCGCCGCTGCTTTATCTCAGGCTGTGCCAGAAACGATTGACAAATTTCTGGACGAGGGTCATATGATATATATATCCTAGCGAGTAGCGATGATGATGAAACTTAAGCCACCAGAATATTACTTGAAGCTAGTTGTGTTTGAAGAGCTTGATACCCATCCAGTTGAGAAAGTAGAAAAATGCTGCCACCGGAATGACCAAAATGAGGAAACCACAAAAGAGTAGGTTTTGATCATACGAAGTGAAAGACGGGTCAACTGCTACATCCTGGAAAAATGAAATAAAGATATAGAGTCTATATTGGCAAAAGTTTTAATATGGATTAGATATTTTTCTTCCAGTTTTATGCCTTTCAGTTAACTCGGCTCGTTTAATTTCTTTATTAAAAAGCTAGTCATATTCAAATCAGAAATGTCTTATCAATAATTTGGACGCCACTGTACAATAAACCTATAAATGCAATTTATTTAATTGATCAGGAAAGGAGGTTATTGTTCAGAACATTTCATACAAGATTATGCCTATGGGACAAGTTAAACTTAAACTCAATCAAAAATTAAAATTAGGCGACCTTAGTATCCCTGACTGACTCAGCAAAGTTTAAAGTAGCACTCCTTCCGAAATAAGTCCACTCTCTGCCACCACGACCTCCAGTTTAAATTCCACCAGGAATCTTTTGGAGGAACAACAACCAAGTACCAAGTAGGTGTCTAATTAGATAAATAAATAATAAAATAGGCCCTACATAAACAGCTATGTGTGAGTAAAAAATTTGGTAATCAATTAAAAAAAAACACCCATCATCTGATCTTCTTCTTCTTCGCTTCCTCCATCAATTCTATTCACTCACTACTCGGGCTTAAAGTTAAATTCTATTTCTAATTCTAACTCTAAAAGTTAGATCTAGTCTCTAGCTCTTCTACTTCCAAAATCACGTCCCAATTAAAAAGTAAAAACATATTTGCATTTGCTCTGTCTCTTATCGTATATTTTCTACACAAATAATAGGTCTACTCACATCCATAACCAACAAGACTTGTGCATTCCTGCAGCTCCAACACAAATATGGGGGACACTGATCTCTACGGAGATCAGTGACACTATAGTGATACAAAAAGCTCACTACCCTCCGACATCCAAAGACATCCAAAGGACCACGAACATTGACACCTTCAAACTCCAAGCAACCAACTTTTTCCGCAACCAAGACTCAAGCAATAAGAACTAAACAAGCACAGTGCGCACCCCTTCATTCCTCCTCGCTTGGTTCCTTACGCCATACGGAACGTTAAGGATTACTCCCGAAGCTAAGAAGAAGAAGAAAAAGCTAAACAATGTCGATGTTTGAACGTAGAGGGATTTTGGTCAGGCTGATACGTAAATAGCAGCACGGTACGGAACTCACAGAATAACTAGCCCTATCGGTTCGGCGTATAATTGGTCACACTGCCGCTGGTTACAACTGTGCAGTCGTTGTTCCAGTGTATAAGACGAACATGGGGAAACCTGGAAAATGTGTCGCTTGTGGCAAGAAATTTCAAACTAAAAATAAGGGATACAAGCGTTTTTCACTGAAGTCACAACTAGGACCAAGTTTTGGGGTAGATGTCGCCGCTGCTTTATCTCAGGCTCTGCCAGATATGATTGACAAATTTCCGGACGAGGGTCATGTTTGTGATTCCTGCTTTCGTCTCCTCAGGACTACACTCAGGCAAAGAGAGCAACTTTTGAAGACAGAAATAGAATGGGAGATGAGATTGAGGAGTGGTCCTCAAGGAAAGCATATGCCCAAATCAAGGGTGAGAGGCAAAACACGTAAAAATGAGAGCAGAACTAGCAAAAGGAAGTTGGAAGAAGTCCAGAATACCATGAATAACCCACAAGATTCAAACTCTCGCTCCGAACGAAGACGAAAACGTATGAAATTGGAGCCGACAGTGGCTGTTCTGTGCAAAAATGGTGGACATAAGAACTACATGAAGAAGTCCATAGCCTACCTCATGCAGTATAGATATCATAAAGCCTTTAGCATCATTATTGCAGAATCGGAAAGGGCAAAGAAAGCATTCATCGGAGTGATGGAGAAAGAGATCCGCAAGGAGGCGTTCTACTTTTGCAAGACGGCTGAGAAACTCTCACAAGAAACTGCAATCAAAAACTTTTCATGGAAGAAAAAGTTGAAGAAGATGGAGCTTGAAATGCCTACATTCTACTCCGCCTGCCATGCTGCCATGGATACAAGAAAAGGGACAGTCATGGCCGATTCTAGGACAAGGTATTGAGAGATCATTTGAGACATCAGTAGAGATGCACGGGCGATATTGGAGACTCCTCCAAGTCTTTCCTATTCGGGAGACTGTTGTCCAGATTTTTGGTAGCCCATTTGGGTGACAGTCTCCCATTTTATTTACCATGTTTTCATTTGCTGCAAAGAGATTAACTCATCTCAAATGGAATATGTGTGAGGCAGAATCCGGATGAAAAATTACCCCTCTTTCCCTTTCATAAGTTTTTGTTATGAATGATCCAGCCGATTCCACTCTTAAAACAAATGGGACTTTGCACTTGGTGAGGCCAATTCTCCGATATTGTTCAATTGGATGACAAAAACTTGCTCATATTTCAAAGTGTTTAGGAATCTCATATTTGATCTGATCTTTGATTTCTTAGGGTCTCTAAAACTTTGGATAATCCGATATATAGTAAATTCAAAAGTTGGCTTAAACTTGAACATTTATCAACAAATGGTTATGGAAGTATTGATGTTCGAATGTGATGCACACATCAGGTGAATAAAGGTCTAAATATAGTGAATCTTCAAGACAAGATACAATTCAAGTGGGTAAGGTAATATACTTCAGAACATAATGTTGAAACATTTTCATATAGTGATTTTCCATACCTGCAATCTAAAGTTGATTACCAAAACTAGAGTGCCTACAATGAGTAGACTACTCTATAAATAGTGGTGGTCTGTTGAATTTCTGATAAGATATATGTTGGCATTTCATTTAATCCATATCCAGCTATCTATGTCTTATGTATGCTGTTCAACTGAAAGAAAAAAAATACTCAAAGAAAATAACTTGGCAATTGTCTTGTTGTGCTATCATTAGTCCTTCTTCCAGAAAGAGGCTCATACGACCAAGGCTAGGACTGATGATGACTCTACCACTCTATGCGAGACGAGAGAGAAAGTTTGGCTTCGTGATGAACATCCTCTCACTCCTGTTCCACAGATACGGCAGTCATGAAAAGGTTTGTTGAAAAAGTATCATGTTTGTTTTGTAATAACATCAACATCGATTATAAAATGTAGTGAATTTAGAAACAAGAATTCTTTTTTGTACACGGTTATATTATATTGAAAAGGGTAAAATTGCAAGCAATTTTCACCAAAATTCTGTATCATATTGTAAAAAAGTTTGAAAATCAGAGGGATTATTATGAAAACTTGTTCTTTACATTATTTTATTGAAATTCTTTATATTTTTATAGCAAATTGAAACCTAAAGGAGTAGACATTGATGCTCATGAATACAAAATGTCTGAAAGCATTGTGGGAACAGTGTTTCATTTTTGATTTTGTTATGATGATTAACAATACATACATGTACCTCATACTAAGACAGAGTTGATATAAAATGAAATATATGACATCTCACTTCAATTTTACAAGTGTGAAAATGTTTTCTCTGTGTTTTTAGATGCTGAAGATCCTTAGACATCTAGGAGTGTGTCATAGGAACTCCCAGCCTCTGATTCGCAAGGTGGATGGCATGAAGGCTGAAGAGTGTGAGAAGCTCTTAGCATGGGCTGTCAAGAATCTGGTAAGGATAGGGCCAAAATAAGATACCATTGTAGTACAGTCAAACCTGCTTTAGTGGCCACCTGTCTACAAAGACCACATTTTTTGTTTCCCTTGAAAATGGTTTCTCATTGAAACATGTACTAAAGGAATCCGTCTACAAAGACCACCTGTCTACAAAGACCACTTTTTGTGTTTCCCTTGGGTGGTCACTATAGGCAGGTTTGACTATTTTTTTCCTCTTTAGGAGTCCGTGGGATGAGAAGAGAGCTTACAATTGCCGTCTCTCCCACATTCCAAATCCTTCATGTATGAAGAAAGTCAAATCGTGCTCTTTGTGACAAACAATTCTTTTTGCTTTTGTTAACTAAATTAGAAGCAGAATGTTTATGTTACAAAGAAAACAAGCACTATTCATTAACCTTTTGTTTTGTTGTGTAAAGGAGGATTCTTCTTGAAAATATTGTCAATAATTGAATTGAATAATAATCAGATACAGCGTAGTTGCAATTACATTTGGGATGAATTTCGGTGAAGAGCATACTGTAGTTTACATCAACATCTGGTGACTTCCAAATATACTTTAATTACAATTACAATAATATTAGATTGACTTAATTACATTTAGCACCTTGAGAAAGAAAATAAAACATAAGAAACTCCTTCTTTCTTTTTGTTCCAGGCTGAAGTTAAGAGCAGGGATGGCGTAGCACCCAAATCATCTCACAAGGGCAAGGTTGCCAAGGCACAGCTTCCTCCAACGGACTCTCACCACTCAGATGACTCGGACAGTGACGATGTCGAGAGCGATAATGAGAATACCATGGTCAATGATGACGATGATGATGGAGAAGATGATGACGATGATGATGATGATTCCAGTTTGTTGAATTTACTATCATCTGATGCATCAGACTCCGGGGAAGATGAGAATGATGGTGGTGATGGTAGTGAGGAGGATGAGGAGGAGGATGGCGGGGAGAGGGGGGTAGATGAGATTGAGGGGGAGGTGAGAGAAGAACAGGTGGAGGTGGAAGGCTGGGTGGATTTCATAGAAGGGGAAGAAGTTGAAATCCAAACTTTGGTGAATATCTCTAAAGCCTTGAAAGAGATGACATAAACATATGAATTTATATCTGCAACTGTGTGACAGAAGATTGTTGTGATGTAATTTATTTATTTTGGAATTCTATTGTAAGTCATGGATATTGATGAAACATTTCATTCTTTCATCACTGTTTTGAAAGTGCAGGGACAAGGGGTATTTGTCATCTTGGCCTTTTCCATTTTTATTTGTTTCTTCAGCTTTACCATATTGTTGGCGACAATAGTCAAATTACTGACTAATCGCCAATAAGCCAAAACACAACAACATGGTGATATAATGTTATAATGTTGCATGTAATGACACTGATGCTATTATTAAGAAATGGTCATGATAATGGTCATGATATTGGTAATGTTGATAATGAAGTTGTTTAGGATTATGATGGAGTGATAACGATGACGATGATAATGACGGACGGTGATGGTGATGATATTGATGATAACAAATATTTTTATTGGAATTTTTTGTAAAAGTTACGATCAATAATTTAATTTGCTCCATTTCTCATTGTAAAGTATCAAAATCATAAGTTCTTGAAAAAAAAGTAATATTGTCTTTACAGAACCAGAAGGGTGTTAATTCATATCATTGTACAACGTGTACACAGAATAATCCCTGCAAACCGTCGTTGCATTCCTTTTGAAAAAGAAGATGATGTAAAACTGTATGGGTAGGTTATAACAACAGACAATGATTAGTGCATTCACAGTGTGTGGGGAGGGGGGGGGGGGTCGGGGGTCAGACCATGCTCAAAATCAAGTTGTCTGAAATTAAGTTTTTAGCACATCAGAAGTACATCTGAATGCCTCGATGTACACTCGCATATCTTCCAAGTATATTGTACATGTTCCTCACAAGCCAATTCTGTTTTCCAGGATTTTATTATTGTGCTACTTCAAAATCCATGTATATGTGTTTGTAAATTAATATGAGGACAAAAATATATTGGTATTATTTTTTACAATAAATCTTTCTTCTTTGGGAAATATGTCTTGAAACCATTCTCTCTTATTGTAATAATGTTTTTGATTAATTTTAATTAGTGTATTTTGTTCTGAATAAGGAAATGGACAGAATGGACCAAATGACATTTCTCATAAGTCCCTTTCCTTGGATTTACGATACAAGAATCAAATATTGATGAATACTCTTCTTCTCAAGTTATGAATATGAACAAATATTACAGATGACAATAATGTAAGTGGTACAATTTATAATTTTAATTACCATTTAAACATGCATTTGCTATTTGCAGCTCTCTATTCAATCAGGAGTTAATACTCACTATATACAGTTTCATGCTGCTAATACATGAAATACACATAACCTACCAGTAAATAATATAATATAACACTTTGCGTGGTGTTTTACATAAAAACAGCAACATGTTTTAGGTTATATGTACGTCTTATAAAATTATGACAACATGATTCAATCACTTTAATGCGCAAGGAAAGAGTACCTTGCAAATAGAGGAATTGGGGAAATATGGAGATCCTTGACACTTTGACAAGTGCAGAAGTTCAAGAGAAGAATATGAAATTACATAATTTGATATTTCAATTCCACATTATTCATTCAATTATTTGTGTATAGCTAGAATATATAAAATCAATCTCCTAAAAACTTAACCTGGCATTCTTTGGAAAAATGCTTTAGGAGTATGAAAAAGAAATTCTATGCAAGTTTATATGCATGTGTTTACTAGCCTACTCGACAAGAAGTTATACCAATCACTTGGAATGTATTCAAAGTGCAATATCTCTTTGTAGAAGAAATATTTGAAGCTTATATTTTCAACGAAGTATCGCCACATGGAACCCCCTTACATCAACAGCAAAATATGTTTTGGTGGATGGTACACTATAAGTGTTTGCTATCATCAATGAACTTGAATACTTCTTTAATATGTAAATGGAAAACAGGATCACACCATTTGAGAACTATTAGTGATGATTATGTTAATGATATTTCTCTATTTATATCACTGTTAAAAATTAAAAATTATCTCCTGAAATCTATCTTTAGATTGCTGAGATGGGATATTAGTAACTAAATTTGCTGCAATATCGAAAACTGGAAGATGAGAAATCTTTTGAATTAACAAGCTTTAGTCAAATACCAAGAAATGAAAAACAAAACAAAAAGATACCATGTTAAATTCACAGGAAATTTTAAGGCTCCCAGACCTACCATCATTTCAGCAAAGTTCAAACTTAAATGTCAAAACAAAAACCATGTAGAGTCAAACCTGTCTATCATGGCCATCGAAGGGTAAGCAGTTGGCCTCTTCAGACAGGTTTCTACAGAACACATTTCTTTTAAGAGGGAGACCTTTTAGTTGCCCACAATAGACAGGTGACCTTTATAGAGAGGTGGCCACTGAGACGGGTTTGACTGTATGTCTACTAAACTGGGATCAAGAAAAAAGACTTACAACATAAAAGTAGATATTATTGCGAACATTTGATGAATATACAGTGTACTACAGACAGATGGGACTACGTGTAACAGGGAATTCAGAACAAATAAGCAGGAATGGTAAGCGTACACCTTTCAAATCACAAAAAAACACACAAAAAAAACAATGTATTCTAGATTTGGAGTTGGGGGGGGGTGGAAGAGTAAATTTAATATTACTTTGAGGACAGAGGTTTCAGAAAAATCTACTTTTCCCTGTCTAAATTTGTGTATATGGTACACTCCACCCTGTGACAATCGCTCTGCGGCCAATTTCCTACATTAACCAAATTCCTAACTTTACCATGGCTGCAGCACTACACCTAAACTTAACACTAAACCGAACCTAAAAGTGGCTAACACCTAATCTCCTAACCCTAGTCCTACTCCTATAACTCTTTGTTGAAATAAAGCAAGGGGCAATTGTCGCAGGAGCAAATGTCGCATCACTTCCTCGTAGCTAGAGGCAATCACTTTGTTTTCACTATCATTCAGGCGTAACCTCTTGGCCAGTATATCTTTGTGCACTCTTCTTCATACTACACTCATAAGAAACATTTTGCTGATACAGGTACAGGTGCATGTATGTTGCATGGGCACTGATGAACTTATCGCTACTCTTTCAATGTCCACTTGTTCACTGCATTTCTGATCAGGTCCAAAAATCATTATAAAGACTAAAGACTTGACTGTGGCTTGTCCTGGGCCAGTATTTAATTCAATACTTAGCATAAGTAAGAAATTTACTAAGTAAATGGCTAAGTTAAGTAATTGACTTATCTCGTATTCAAATCGCATTTTAGACTTATACTTACGTAAGACAAAATCTAAGTAAAATACTTACTGATAAGCATTGTGACGTCACATGGTCAATCAAAAGTAATGCGCAACTGATCGATGCATTGCAATAAATGCGCGCTGATATAATTGTGCGCAGGATATAATACTGCGTAAGAAAACCATATGCCTGCCAATCAAGGCCACCAAATAATTGGCTTAAGTCTGGTATGCAGTTGGCTTAGATTGAAAGTAAAATACTTAGCCAAAAGTGTGAATTGAATACCATAATTGGCTAAGTATTTTATCTAAGCCAAATACTAAGTAAAAAGCTTTAATTTTGTCCTTAAGTATTGAATTGAGTACGGGCCCTGGTGACTACTGAATTCTATTTCCCATAGACTTAATACAGAACCCATCTGGACCGCAAAGGCATTTAGTAATAATGTACAAACAGTGTGTTGAGACTGTGCACATCAGTTAACATAGAATATAACGTTTTGAACATTGACTTGAATGGTGTCATTGCCAAGATGTGACTTCAGGCATATAAATATTTTTTTCTTTGATGAATCACTTGCTTGGACCACCTGATCAGAGTAGAAAGAAAGTAAAGAACCTCCACTGGTTCGATTGAAACTGTTGCATCTTTCATAAAATCTGAATTCTCCATGTGTTCGAGCCTAAATACTCTCAAGCTCAATCATCGACAGGTAATGATGTCCTCTATGTTTGCTCACTTCCAGGCTGAAGGTCAATACTTGCTGATCGATGTATCCAGTTTAGCAAAAGATGAAAAGTTCTCCTACATTTATAAGATGAATATCATCATGACGCTGGCACCAGCTCTGGCTCTTTCCGTTCCCGTCTCTGTTCCTTCTCCCTCTGTTTTTCACTTTCATCTGAGCAAAATAAGGAAAGATTGGAGAGAGAACATATGTTGATTCACTGATTGGAGTGTACTCTTACAAATTTACTTTAATGTCTATGACGTATTGGAATATATTTAGAGCTCACATACATAGGTTACACTTATTTTCCCACCAATGTTGGGACATTAGGCCTAAAAAAAAAAAAGGTGTTGTATTGCCCTTAAGGTGCCAAAACATGGGTCAGTCGGTCGGTCGGAAATCTTTTTTTTCTTTTTTTCCCCGTCTTTGGGCTGATATTTCTCAGTTTACATCGCTTTAATATTTTTTTTGTCTAAAGAACAGAAAAAAAGACAAAAATGTTTTTATAAAAGCCGACCGTAGATTTCAAAATTGTTGGGTCTGTTGCAAAAGGCAATACAATATTTTTTTTTTAGGCCTTAGATCGAAACACAATATTACAACATACCATCTTCATTAAGAAGCTTACCAACATTTGACTTAGATTATTTCTCGTCCAAGTAGATAACTTTTTGCCTTGAAGGAAACCAATCATTTTTGCTTTCAATATAACTTCTGTAAACATAAATTGCAAGCGTCTACTTACTTGCTAAATGAAGGTAAAATTGATTTGTAGGTAGACTACAGGATACATCCACACAAATGCAACCAAATTTACTCTTAGAATGCTGGATTTTTTAAAAATAATTTATTACCGGTAATTAATTCATTTTTTAAAATTTATTCATTCATTTATTCATTTAACTTATTTATATTTTATTTTCTTGTATTATTATCATCATTTTTTTTTTTTTTTTTTTTTGGGGGGGGGGGGGGGGGTTGTCAGCTGACTTTATATAAACATACTTCCTCCAAACAAATAAATTGATGTGACTGGTCCCCTTAAAAACCATCTTATTCTCATTTCAGTAAATTCTATAACACACATTCTTTATGAATGACTCACCGATTTCAGGAAGTTCATCTTGAGGCACAGTAGGTAGGGTGACCTCTGCTTCACCTGTCATCTCTAGAAGCTCAGCCAGCACTGCTTCTTCATCCTCCTCGGTCAATCCACCGGCAAGCAACTCATCAATCTCCTATCATCCCAACAGAAAGAATGGTGAATACATAATAATACACGGTACTACAACTACACTTGCTCACAATATCAACATGTCATCAGGCAAGCAAAATATTCCATTTTGAAAGTAGGGAAACAAATCTGTTAAAAAGATCAGTTACCAAAGATGTAAAAGAAAAAATATTGAATTTTTGTTGAGAAATTTAATCTCATTGTTAATACAAAATAAATATAGATGACCAGCCATAGAAGAGCGAAATTTGTATTTATTTATTTAGACATGTACTATACTACTATATTGTTATAATGAATAACCTCATATCATTGAATACTCAGCTTATTCCTGATTTTGAAATATAAAACTACATAATTCCCTAAAATTGTTCATATTTGTAAATAACAGACGACAATAATTGACATTGACTTTCCATTGGTTTACTCACATTTTGATATTCAATGCCTTCCCTGGTATCATCCATGATCTTCTCTACATCGTCAAGAGACATCATCTGTGGTAAATCATACAAAACAATCATTGATCAATTACTATACTTCATGCTCCCAACTACAGTCAAACTTGTCTATAGCGACAGCACAAAGGAAACACAAAAAGTGGTCTTTGTAGACAGGTTCCTTTAGCACATGTTTCAATGAGAAACCATTTTCAAGGGTAACAAAAAATGTGGTCCTTGTAGACAGGTGGTCATTAAAGCAGGTTTGACTGTATCTACAAATAGAGAGTAACTGTAATCACACAGAACCCACCCGCATGAATTTTTTATCAAATCCATGTACCTCCAGAGTTTGGCTCATTATGGTAAACGTTAAACTTCTCACTATCTTGTTTCTTCTTTTCTCAAAATTTGATCATTAAAAGTAGCACATATGTGTTGATTAAGGAAGACTGGTGACTAAATGGTAATCTGATATATGATCCAGCCTATATTTCCTCAAAAATATAGGGTCGAGGTGAGGATTGTGATTGGATTTAAGGTCAAGTTTCGGGTTAAGACTAGAGATAGATATAGTGAAATGTCCAGGGTTGAAGTTGTGGAGCAATCGTCATTGAAGCATGTGTCATAGAAATGAATTATTTGGAGTTTTCAAAATTAGAAGATTTAAATATGGTTTAATCGATAGCATTATACTGTACCTGGTGCATTTTCTTCAGACAATCATTGCCAGTTTTGAGTCCATCAATGACCTGGTGCTCGATCTGGGCAAATTCTATCTCCGATGTCATCTTCTCCAGGTTGTCTAATTGACTGTCTGTCTTAGCGAGCAGCGATTCCTGATAGCGCTTCTTCTTCAGCAGCGACTTGGCTCTCCTTTTCATGAAAAATGCAAAGAATTACAAATTGGTGAAACACAACAAATCTCTTTGTTAATGACATAATATTGAATAATAAGGTTATAAAACAATTAGAAAAATAGACACTGAACAAGAGGGAAAAGTCTGATAAAAGATAAACATGATTACTCGATGAAAAAAATAACTCTTTTATTACATGTTCTATAACCAATACTTGTGGAGGAATAGAGGACAGCAGAACTTGTGAGAATCTGTCTACTTGACAGAAAAAAAGTAGCCATGAGGTAACAATTAATTATCACATTTTTGGCTTTCAGCAGCAACAACAAAAATAAAAGTACCTTGGTTTGTGAAATTTAATCACCCAACATTGAATATTTTATAACTAGCAACTGAAATTCTTGGGCAGTCATAAAGATCATATAGTAACTCTCAACACATTCAGTGAGTTGGTCTAGCAGTACTGTCAACGATGCAATTAGCTCTTTGTCTTTCTTTTAAACCGATTCCTTGGGACTTCTTGAAAGTGACATTAAAGGTTGGTCCTCAGACGTAAATTATCCTATATCATTGATATACCCCTGTTTCACAAAACTTGTTATCTATAACAAATGCTAAATTTCTACGCAAAATTTGCTCTCAGCCAATCAAATGCCATGATTTCAGTAGCTTACAACAGCTGTTGTAACTTGTTATTGATAACAAGTTTCACGAAATGGGGGCCAGGTTACACACATTCATCAGCTGCAATACTTACTCCTTCTTTCCCTCTTTGAGTAACTTCTTTGCCAGCTCTCTCTCTTTAACTAATGAGGCCTCGATCTTCCTCTGGTACATTTTCATTTTGTCACGTTGCTGCTTCAATTGCTGTTGATGAAGCAAGGTACAGACAAGAAGAAAGAGTAATATGAAGTAAACACCAGTACCTGTTTTCCATTACAGCAATATATTACCTAAATTGCCTCAGAAAAGAAATCAATTTACAAAATATTTACAACTTTTGTGTGAAGTACACATTATGTGTTCAGAAAATTAAACCATCTTGATTAATTTGTGCGTATTCATCATAAACACTTTCAATCAGGTAAAATATGCAACAAAAGACCCATATCCCCCCTCAAATATTGTTTAGTGTAACTTAGTTTTTATAACTACTGATCCCTTAAATATAGCAGTCTTTTAATTCACAATGTCAAGTTTAAAAAGGACCCACAAATTATGAGCATATTAGAGATAACTACAAGTTAGTTTCTTTTTCAACATCAAATCATGTACTTCAAATATCTATTTTTTTTAAGAGAGAGAGAGAGAGAGAGAGAAGAGTTTTCAAACTTACCAGTACAGCCTTATCCTGTTCAGTAACACGTGACTTTTTATTTCCTCCAAATAAATTGCCCATTGTGTTTGTGTATGTAAATCTCAGGTTTATCAGGAGAAACAAACTGTCAACAAAGAAAATATATCAATTATTATTTCTAGTAAAGTAGTCAACAATAGCATGCAAATAAAGGGGTTGGGCCCAAAGTTAAAGGGAGAAGAGGAGAAAATAGATACACTTAGATCACGATTAGGAGAACATTTTTTAATAACAGATGTTGAACCCACTAGTGCTGTAGTCGAATGTTTAACCGTCCGGTATCCGACCGCCCATGGACGGTTTCGTTTTCCCTTTTTTTTTTTTAAATTTTCGATTTATACCCTCCACCTGGCACTATGCCGGGCAATGTCTCCCAGCTCAGTAATCGGTGTGTTGACTCACCACTCGGAAACTAGAACAACACTCCAATTTGTCTGTCATCTTGGTTGAAAGTAATCTTTGTAATAGATCTCAATATGTAGTTTATACTAATAATTCATCCAATTTTTACACATGGCGTATCACAAGGTTCTATCCTAGGTCCTCTACTGTTTTTAATTTACATTAATGATCTTACAGCACACATTCTTCTAAAAACGACATTGTTACTTTTATTTTTGACAAGTTCACAAGCACAAAACGGCACCTTTAACTGCACCTCGCAGTTAAATGAAAGTCCTTCCCGCTTTTTCTTGCTTGCCGGCACACACACACACATTTAAAAAAAATTTTTTTTAATCGTTTAACCGAAAACCGTCCAGTTTTGACTGGCGGTAAAACGGAATTGGAGATATCCGTGATGTTACAGCACTAGAACCAACTGGTCATGACATATTATTTCAATCCTAAAATAATGAGAAAGAATGCATAATCAAATCTCAATGATCGATAGAGCTTATCTGAATCTTTTTCTTTCTTTCTTTCTTTTGTCGATTGTTGAAGTTTGGTGCCCCATCGTCCCCATCAAATAGATTTGCAAAGTTTGAACCTGAAACTAGAACTATATTTCGTTCTTTAACTGTTAACTTAAAAGTTCTTTCTAATCTAATTCAAAAGAATGATTTTAGTGTTACATAAATAAGCGCCAAATAAGCTTCATTCAATCAAAATGTCATTTTGAGTTTTGTGATCCACAAGATCATGAAGATCTAGGCCTAAATCTACTTCATCTAGATTCTAACCTACTTTTCTTCTTCAGTAGCAGTACAGGCCACCGTCAGGTGTATTGTCGTACTGTTGAGGTGCAGTGCAGATGTGTGTACAATGTCTGATAACTCTAGGTACAGTTGACGGAGTGCGAGTAAAAACAGCTACCATTTTAGCAGGGCATAACCAATTCACTACACCTCGGCAATTAGGACTAGATCTATACATGTAAATTTTATCTTCATTCATTCTTAACCTTGTAAATTGCAAAGTAGTGATCACAATCAGATAACTGTAAAGCTCGCATCTAGCATCTCGATATCTCCCTGTCAAATACAAACAACATAGCATGTAGCAATAACAACTTACACGAAAACGATGGGGTGGGACAATATAACAAAAGAAATCACTTTAATATGTTCGACATTTTTCTTTTGAGGTACAAATCAAGTTTCATTCTTTTTCTACATGATCATGCCTCGAATACATTTTTAAAATATATTAAATAATACATCAATTCGGGGTTACTGACCTATTTGATTGTTGTTATGTTAGCAGTGCAGTGATCTGAGAGGCCACACCTCTTTTTCTTTTGCTTGGCTCGTATCAGATTAGTTGTCAATCACCGATTGCATAATGCGTTAAATATAGGTTGGGCGCCTATCTACTGACATATGATGTGAATTTTGGTGACCGATGTGACTGGCATGACTGATAAAATGAACTTGATATAATGTTTGTATTTACAAAATCTGTAATTTTGTTGTTATGTAGGCCTAGGCGTACGTGATCGACATCTCGTTCTCTATATCTCACAAACTATTTTGTTGTCTGTCTCCATGATGCCGTAGTATTGCATGCCCAGTATGTGATGCTCCCGCACCCCCCCCCCCCCCCTATGTATCATCCCCATTTTTGTTCTCTTTCTCTCTCTCTCTCTCTCTCTCTCTCTCTCTCTCTCTCTCTCTCTCTCTCTCTCTCTCTCTCTCTCTCTCTCTCTCTCTCTTCTCTCTCTCTCTCTCTCTCCCTCACTCTCTCTCTCTCTCTCTCCCTTTCTCTTTCTCTTTCACATCTCCTAAAATCGACTCTACTGCATGTTAATGGGAGATTTCTGTGTTCAGAAAGTAGTACTAGCATCTTGAAATATTGATATAATTATGCTAGACAGGGGCACTGGCATTTATTTGTTTAACATTACCTGTGGGCATAATGTATAGATGATTAGATATAAAATCATAATGTCATCATCAATAATACAGCAAATTCTCATATCTTACATGCTAAACAAATTTTTAATTTTCTCATGAATTTATTAAAAAAAATACAAGGTAAAAACATGTTTGTTTTCTTCTTTGAAATAGGACAATCTAGAAAACAAATCTAAGCAACTTCTTCTGTTTATTTTAATTGTTATTTTTCTTCGTTTCAGAACATCGTTTGCTTACACCTGTGACAAATCAACGAGCGATAATTGGGGGACACAATCATTAAAATAATACGTTCATTTTTCAAAACATGATTTTTGCCTCCTGCCCCCTTCTAAAAAATGGTACAGGATAAATAGATTTAGAATTAAGATACTTGTAATAAACAGCAGAACGTGTAACTAAGAACTCACAAGCGCCAAAACCATTATAAACTTCTTACCTATTACATATTTGTGATTGAGCAGACTCGTTAAAAAGAACAAAGGGAGCAAATGAACTTTTATTATAAAATGTTTTATTTCGTTATTTACAATATAAATACAGAAATTTCTTTTTCCTGCTAAATTCCTTACAAGGATCCACATAATTGTTTTGGAAAGCTTGAAACCACAGTTTACTTTGGAACTATCACAAAGATCTAAATACAAGAATTATTAATTCTGATGTAAGTTGCATCATTCTCAAATACATGTTTGCTTTGCAAGGCTATTACGGAATTAAAATAATTCATTATTTTAGTGGAATGCCAATAATTCAAACTTGTCAATCTAATATTTTACTCGGATATACCTTTCATTAAAATGGTTTAGGTAAAAGAAGTTCTACATTCTTATAATGGGTATGATAATATGATTGTCTTAGATATGAATATCAGGAATATAGCTGTAAACTGTAAATGCATAGCAAGGTACTATTGACTTGAACGCTGGTGACAAAGCAGTTTATGGACTACTACATTGTATTTCAAACAATTTCAAAAACTAGGACACATGAACCGATCACATCAACATGTGACCAAAAGGTACTGAATAGTTTCACAATATCCCCCCCTCCCATTGATGTATACATATCTAAATTTACTTGCTCAGAACATGGAACTTGAGCAAATGATATTTGTGTATAAATTAAAATAATGGATGAAGTAACCAAAAATTGTCATATAACTCACAAAAATAGGTTGATTATATCCATTTTAAATAATGTTGCAGAGTATTTGGAACACCGAGAAACATCACAATGCACGTAGGGCAACTGAAGTGTCAATATTGAAACAAAATTAATTGAATTATTCTTCCACAATGCCAACAGTTTCCATTAAACACATTGATGGTCACATAGAAACTAAACAAAATAAAACCAATATCAAGTATTTGACTGCATAAGACATTAAAGCCCCGCTGCACTACTTATAGCTACTTGTGCCCTCGTTATAGCAAACAATGCCTTATCGTTGACCATTGGTCCCCCATGATCCCCTTTTTCTTAAGTTAGTTGAGAGCTTATTTGATGAGATAACCACCTGTCAGTGACCATGCAGGGAGGTATAATCCCTCCTGGCCAAACTAGTGCGGTGAGGCTTAAATGCCAAATAACTCCCACATTTCGGAACTGAAGCGTCATGCTATTTGATTTAACTGGAGGCTCTTGGAACTAAACTTTTTTCACAAAACGTAATGAAAGCTACTTTTGTTCCTTTGCAAAACCCAATACATTTATATTTATGTTGCATTTGGCTAGAGGCAACTAAGACATCATTCATCAGCAGTGATAGATCAACTTGCGCATACAATCAGATAACAAGGTTGAGCTGCCATTACAAGAATGTTGTTTTTTGAAGATTCTTCAAAAATACATCTTCCTGAAAATAAATCACAGTACATTTAAAGCTTGTGTGCTTCTTGTGGTAAATAACAGTTCAAGCTTGTATGCTTCTTGAGGCAAATACATGTTTATAATTTTGTCAAAACAAATTATTTGCCCTTTAATATTTAGTATCATTTCACAAGAATATACCTTTGCATCCTATAAGTTTCATGTATTCATCTCATATTGCCTAAAATAGGGAGGATTCATTTTGCATTGAAACCCTTCAAGACCGGTACACTCTAGAACAATTAGAATCTATTGGATAGGGAGGCGTGAATGGCTAGAGAGATCTGGGCCCCATTTCACATAACTTGTCATCAGTGACAAATGACAGTTTTTGTTATAAGCTAGTGTAAATCGTTGCTTCTGATTGGTTATCAGCAGATTTGTCACTGATTTTTGTCATTTGTCAATGAAACTAGATGGAATTCGACTGCGCGCAGTCGAAGATGATACCTCCGTCATAGAACAATTTTACAAACCAAAACAGAAGAAATTTTTCGAATTCAAGTTCATTTGTAATCCATTGACAGGTTCTCAGAATATCGTGATTACAAGCAATTTCTCATATACATATATGACCCTTTGATCTTTGACCTCATGACCCTAAAATCTACTTAGTTCATTGGCTCTGCAAGATGTCCTGAGTAATCCATCTGTCAGTTCTAATGAGAATGCGTTCACAACCTATTTTTGCATACATAATGAGCCCATGACCTTTGACCTTTGACCTTATGAACCAAGAATCTACTCAGTTCATTGGCTCTGCAAGTAACATACATGACCTAATTTTGGCAGGAATCCATCAATCGGTTCTTGAGAAAACGCAATCATAAGCTGTTTTTGCATACATAATATGCGCTGTGGCCTTTGACCTTTGACCTCGTGACCCCAAAATCTACTAAGTTCATTGGCTCTGCAAGTAACATACATGACCTAAGTTTGGCAGCAATCCATCTATCGGTTCTTGAGATAACGCGATCACGAGCTGTTTTTGCATACATAATGAGCCCTGTGACCTTTAACCTCGTGACCCCAAAATCTAATCAGTTCATTGGCTCTGCAAGATACATACATGACCAAAGTTTGGCAGGAATCCATCAATCGGTTCTTCAGATAACGCGATCACGAGCTGTTTTTGCATACCTAATGAGCCCTGTGACTTTTGACCTTTGACCTCATGACCCCAAAATCTAATCAGTTCATCGGCTCTGCAAGATACATACATGACCAAAGTTTGGCAGGAAGCCATCAATCAGTTCTTCAGATAACGCGATCACAAGAACGGGACGTACGTACGTACATACAGACGTACGTACAGACGTACGTTCGGATGGACGGACGGACAACCGAAAACATAATGCCTCCGGCTACTTCGTAACGTAGGCATAAAAAGGTTTGTGAAACGGGTCCCTGTAGAGAGTTGTAGCAGGAATCAGACAGGGTAGTGCTTGGTTGAGAGGTCATCACTGAGGATGTTGTTGTTGTTGTTGTTGTGGTGGTGGTGGTGCTGCGCTCTGGTTACCTGGTAATGCATTGCTCAGGAATGCTAAATGACCCTTCGGGCAATGGTTGGCAAAATGACCCTTCTCTCCACACTGTCAGGAATTAAGCCAAAAATAACTGATTAGAATGACAACATTAGGCCCATTTACACTTCCTAAACGCCATTTTGAAAAATGGTCGTTTTAGGGGTTTACTCTTTACACTATTGGAAAAACACATGAAAAAACATTGAAATTTGCTCATAAAGTCAAACCTGCTTTAGTGACCACCTGTCTACAAAGGCCACATTTGTCGTTTCCCTTGAAAATGATTTCTCATTGAATCATGTACTAAAGGAACCTGTCTACAAAGGCCACTTTTTGTGTTTCCCTTTGGTGGTTGCTATAGACAGGTTTGACTGTAGCAGTTTTAGGCGAGAGGAGAGTCAGGTGAGCAAAAATCAGTTTCTTGCCAAAGTTTGCTCTTACACTGCGAAAAATCAGTGAGTCTTCAGCAAGCGTTTGAAAAAACAACACTCAGGAGGTGTTTTTTGTTGTGTCTCACTTCATTTGTAAAATCATTTTCTCAACTCGGAGATGAAAATTGAAAATTTCTCACCTTATAGCAAGTGATGTGGTCATACGTCCTTTGACCTCCTTGATGACCTCCTCGACCTCCGTGCCTCGGTTGAAATGGTGCATTTGTCTCTTTGTTCTGTTGAGTGGATTGAGAGTTGATGTCAGAGTTACCTAGAACACGGATCCCTTGTTGCTGCTGGAAAACAGAAATTAGAAAAAAACATTACGATGATAGCTTAAATGAGTGTAAGCAGTGCACTGGAACATTTCAATAAGTATTGTATTGTATTGTATTGTATTTATTTTCCAATCATATTAAAAAAACAAATAACATATGACATAAAACGAAATGAAACATAACAGAATTAAAAAAATAAATTACATGTGTATATAGATTGCTTAAAAATGATTGGCTGGATTGCCCGTTCAGTGTCATAAAAATATATGACACTGTTCTTCCTGGGGGTCCAGGTACAATTAAAAAAAACATTACGTAAATAGAAATTTTAAAAATAATGCACAAGCTGCTGAGTATAACACTTGCATGTCCTCTTTCGTGTTAACCAATGAAACAAAACAATTAAAAGCAAGAAAAGGCTATACATTTACAATTGCTGAGATTTGCGGATAATTAACCCGCTATGCGCGAATCAGTAAGAGGAACGACTGCAAGAAAGAGAGATAGAGAGAGAGAGAGAGAGAGAGAGAGAAAGGGAGAAAGAGAAATGGAGAAGAACTCTCTTGCAAAGCGTGTGGAAGGCACATGTAACGCCTGGCGCGTCCGGGGAAAGAAATCAAAGCAATTGAATAGGTGAATGAACAAGTACAAAATATGCTACCTTATTCACGGATCCCGGACGCGCCCAGCATAACACCATGTAATTCCAAACCCCACGCGAGAGACCCGCCCACTGTGTTGTCTAATTCTCCATCCGACAATCGATCCTCAACTATAAACGTCAATAAACGATTTTCCCTATGAGGCCAAAATTTATACACACGCCATCATCAAACGCTAATTAAAAATGCCATACGCACACCTGACAACAAACTATAGCACCCCAATAGAAGGTACGCAGTGCTTGTTGCCAGCCGGGACAAGTTAAAAAGCTTATCCCAGCTAGCAACGCAAATGAATGCAATTCGCATTCCGACCATTGTGATGCGGCCGCTCGCTATCAGGTGATTACATAGCTTGTCCTAGGGCAGGCATGAGTAAACTTGACCACAAGAGGAAAACGGTGTATTGCCACGTACCAAGCAAAACAAACCCACAAATTTGAGCATTCAGCCATCGTGCAGTAAAAAGAAAGACGAGGCAAAAAATACCATACACTTTCGGGCTACACGAAAGAAAAAGCATCAATAGTTTCAAACAGCAGCTTGATTTACACAATTATGTTTACATACACAAGTAGAACTTAAATACATGTCTACCCTAATTACTAGTAATGTGTCCCCCCCCCCCCCCCCCCCCCCCCCCCCCCCCCCCCCCCCCCACAGCTAAGTGTAACTTCTGGCAAGGCATAATACCACTGAAAGTCTAGGCAAGATCAATTACCTAAGCAATCATTACCTAAAACCACTGCAAGTTCAACATTTTCCATCAAATCAGCAACATCACAATGAATGATGCAATGATCCTGCTATGAAATATGTAGATGATTTGATTTTGGTCTGCAAAAATGTTTCCTTTTTGTATATATTGCAAGAACAATAAATTGAATCCTAAATGTGAATGACTTCACACACATTGATGAATACCATGATATTGACTTAAACTGGCTTGAAATGACGATGAGAGCTAGAAAGAGCAAAGAATGATGATAAAGAAAAATAGATGAAAGAAAAAGAACCTACAAAGTACAAAAAAGCAAGCTCGTGTAGCATAATGAACAAAAAAAAAGACATGGAAGAAGGATAAAAGGGAAGAAAAGAATATTAAAGAGAATGAAGATAAGGAAAAATGAATAGAAGGAAAATAAAACTTTTTATTAAATAGAGGAAACCAAATACAGGTACAGGTATTGAGAGCCAAGAGGGATGTCAATACTGTGTCTGACAACAGAATATACATGTATAAGGGATACAGCTAACCATTGACTCCACTCACCCTTTCTGCAGCTTGTTTCTGGCTGAAGGACATCGGTGGTGCAGCGGTATTATAGGGCTGGACAGGGTTCTTCTTGGGACAATTAATAGCTTTATGACCTGGCTCACCGCAACTGTGACAGTTCCATACCTTCTTCTGACCTATTTCCTTCATATCACCGGGCATTGGTAGGTCGAAGGTTGGACTAGGAGAGAAGTTTGGAATACAACACAATTTTCAAACTCTGATCTTTGTGAATGCAAGAAAAAAAAATCCAGGAAAATCATGCTCTGATAAATAAGCAATATCATCAACTCTACGGTCTACAGATTCTTCTTTGAAAGCTTAGCCAGAACATGTACTGCTAGTCTCTCACCTCCAGTAAAACTTTGGCAAAATGTTAATGAATCATTTTATACTCTGGTATTATATCAAATGAAAGTTTCTTTCTTTTAAATGTAATAGAAGGAACATTGCTTGGTTTGAAAAGAATTCCTGCATTATACTAGGTACATCTTTCCATTTATTTGAATGAAGTATTATGTTAATTGATTCAAAGACAATCACAAGGCAGCCTTTAAAAATGTAACAAATATATAATTCCTTTGAATCCATTTAAAAATATAATATATAATATAATATAATACAATATAATATAATATAACATATAATACTCACTGTACATATTTGCAGTTCGCACCATCGGGACAGAAACCAAGGAGGTAGTTAGGACAGTAAACTCTTCTCACATGGCGATTCTTACAATGAGGACCTGGAAAGTAGATGTTAAAAATATGGGAAGCAAGGCGAAATTACAAATCTGAGATACCATTGAAGAAAATACTGTTATCCTGGGTTGAAGGTCCACTGCACTTTTTGCATCTGCACATGCAGTCAGTTGGGGTGATCTTACGGAGGACTTCCCTTTTAGAGGTCCAGATGACATGGCACCATCACGTACCATAGTACACATTTCCAGCATTATTACAAAGCCCCTACTTGATTTTACACATGAAAGGTGATTAGGGGTACACCACTTCCGGGGTAACTAGTGCAATCAGCTTGAATTGTCAGTTCTCATATAAGGATTTAGATCGATGGAGCACCCCACAGGTCTGTCATTCTGGACTGCTGTGGGACACTATTGGCTGGACTTAAATGACATCGCTGAGTTCTCACCTCAGAGATAGCGTGATCAGGGGAGTGTTTCACAAAGACTAAGATCGATTTTAAGTTAGACTTAACTCTGGCAGGCCGTTCATGCCACTAGTTGCTCTCACCGTTACTCTCTTAATGATGATCTTTAGATTATATTTTTTCCTACAATAATAAACTATAAAACAATGTAAATTCTGTAGATTTGTGACCACGATTGGTACGTCCCTTGAGAAACCAATGCCAGTAAATGATGAGAGAAAATAGTGGCATGAACAGCCTGCCAAGGTTAAGTCCAACTTAAAGTCAATCTTAGTCTTTGTGAAACACTCCCCTGGCGTGCTCTGGAGCGCGCTATCACTTGTAAGGAGGACAAGGTCTAGGATGTGAAGATAAATTTACCATGTTTACAGAAGCCCCTGTCATACCAAGGACAATCCTTCCTCTTTGTATCAGGATCAATGTGAAGGAATGGACAATCTTTGTTGCTGCACATACCTGAATACAATGAAAATAAGAAAGATAACCAGTTTCTGTGTCACTTCATTTTCAATCTATGTCCAATAACTGATGGGTACGAGCAAGTACTTTTACCTAATGATATGTTACACTTCGAGATTAATGTCTGTACTAAATGGTAGTTTATCATTGAAACGGTAAACATCTAGTGTAGATATTTCTGGATTATCACACGCTTGTCACTAAAACTTCCATTTAAGGGAATATGTAGAGACTTTCTATCCATAAATACCACAATTTTCTCTTGAAAGACCGTCTACATGTTAGACTGCAAATGTATCTTTAACAAAAAATTCATGCTCTAATACTCTACATTTTGAAAAGAACACCCAACTTACCGAATTTGGCAAAAAAGAAACACTCAGGCATCTTCGTCATGTCAAACTGGTGGAGAAATTCACACTCGTCGCCTTTCTTGCACAAGCCTCTCAGCCAATGCTTGCACACGACGGCCTTGTCTCCCTTGACATGTCTGAACGGACACAGAGCTGCTTTTATACAAGAATGATTCTTGTAGTACTGGCATACTGCAGAGTTGGACTCTGTAAAACACAAAAATTACAACATTAAAATTTAAATAAATGTCATTCATTTTAACAAGCATAGAGTAAAGTACCCGGTAATCGGTCAGCTCCGGTTTTCGGCCAATTGGTTGGATACATGGTAAAATCACTTTAAAATACATTGCATAATAGCATAACACATATCCCACACATACCATACTATGCCAGTGTCACTGAAGAACCACATTTGCAATGAAAAATATATCCTAAAATATCACATTTTAGCGATGTAATCGGCGGTCCCGCTACCCAAATCTGAAAAATCGAGTTTCTTACGCGTGTATGTAAGAAATATGGGTACCATAAAATGAGCTTTATTTCAAGTATTTTTCAGATATAGAGCCCGATTTTGTGCTGGTCGCAAGCTCAAAAGTATCTCATCGCATGTATTAAATCAATGCAGCCGCACACCGCGACGCACACACGATATGTCTGTCTAATTCAGATTCCAACTTCCGATCACCGCTGTGCCTGTATTCGGCCAGGCGAGCACCCGGGAGCTCCGGCGTGGGATACCTGCTCCGCCCGCTTGTGCTATACATCAGCGCAGAAACGCACGGCGCGCGCGAGCGCTTCCTATTGACTTTGTACATGCGGCCGTAAACTGAAACGCTCGGCCGATAACCGGCTCCAAAACAGTGAAAATTGAAATGAATATTGTCATGGCAATTCGTGATTTTTTTTTGGGATTCTTTTTTTGTTTAAATAATAATAATATTTGCTTCATGATTTGAACAAGAAATGATAATAAATAGGAAGTAAAGAGTCCAATAAATAGGATTTTGTCTTAAGTGGCCGAAAACCGGGTACTTTACTCTACAAATTGTTCTCTCCGTATCTTCACATTTTAATATCTTTAAAAAAAACGTAAGTGGGGTGAATATTATTTGGGCGCTAGTGTAGCAAGGTATCCAAAATATAGCCTACTAAAACAGACCTCAAATTCTAGACCCCAAATTTCGTGTTTATCATTATCTCTAGGGTTAGGGTTAGGGTTAGGGTTAGGGTTAGGGTTAGGGTTCTAGGGTTAGGGTTAGGGTTACGGTTACGGTTCTAGGGTTAGGGTTAGGGTTAGGGTAATGATGACCACAAAATTTGGGGTCTGTTTTAGTAGGCTATATTTTGGATACCTTGCTACACTAGCGCCATTATTTGTTTATATATCCATAGAAAAGGCAAAATAATAGGGAAAATACTGACATACGGTCTTGACTAATTCATTTCATTAGAATTGAATAGGGCCTAGCTAGGGGCCGTACGCTCGACATCGATATAAACGAATGGGACCGAAGTAAACATTCTGGGCCTGGGAGCCCGACTTACTGTCCATGCCAGAAAAGGGAAGTGGTAAGGTCCCAAGCTGCATGTTAATCTGCATCTCCACCTCAAAATGTACATTTTCAACGTTAGCTACAATAGCCTGCATGATTGTGGATGAAATCAACAATTTCTGAAGTTCAGATCCAATTTCTCTTCTCTAACAAACACAGACACAGATTTTATCGAAGAATAGCAATCCAAGTCGTCCCTGCGACTGAATTAAAAAAGGCCAGCAAAATTTCGACCGCACTGAAAATAACAAACTATCGTTGTAAATTATTGTGTGATCCCAATTAATTCATAATAATTTAAGAGCAAATGGGCATTCACTACTCATGCACTTGATTCAATTTTCAATTAATATTTGTGAAAGTGTGCAAAGAAAATAGGCCCACTCTTTGGTAATAAGTGCTCTTTCCCCTTCTGATAAGTGCCACTCCTCACCTCTGATAAGTGCCCCCTTTTATTTCGTCCTGTACGTGCCACTTTTTTCTTTCTGATAAGTGCCCTTTTCCTTCTGAAAAGTGCCCTTTTCCTTCTGATAATTGCCCTTTTCTTTCTGATAAATGCCCCTTTTTCTTATAACAAGACCCTTGCACCTTCCCTTCTCAAATTATGCACCTTCTGATTAAAATCTCATATGCGAGCCCCTTTTCCTTTGACAAGTGCCCATTTTCCTTTGTAATAAGTGCCCCTTTCCATTCTCACAAGTGCACCTATTCATCTCAGGTGAATGCCCCTTTTCAGGTACAAGAAGTGCCCCTTACCATCTGTAATAATTGCCCCTTCATCTCTTATAATTGTCTCTTTTCAAATGTCCCTTATATTTCGACAAGTGCCTTTTTTCCTTTTCAATGATTAGATCGTTTTTAAAACCCCGTCAGGATTGTTCTTCCTTTTGTATAAGATGTAATTTTTTTGCACTGCGACCTCACAAATCTTTAAAAATTTACTCGCTTCACTCGCTCGCAAATTAATATTCAGGCCAACACAAGTGATCGACTGCAAAAAGAGAAATAAACATTGAAATCATCCTGATAATGTAATCACAATGTAAGGTAGGCTAACGTGGGAATATACCAATGTCTAAAAGTGGTATATTTTCGCTTTGAGATTTCCCTTTGAAGGTGCCCCTTTTTTCTCTCAAGAAAGTGCCTTTTTTGTTGCTGCCCCCCCCCCCCCCACACACACACACTTTGTAAGACGCTCCGCCGCCCCTGGCAAGGGGTCAAATCTAATAAGTTAAATGGGGCGATTATTTCGGAACTGCTCCCAAGATAATTTATTGGAAAATATTGTCAGTTCTTTGTGTATTCGTATTTTCTGAATACTTAATAGGATGTATAGCACGAGAAACAGGTGCATAGGCAGGGTTTTTTTCAAAGGGGGGGGTTAAAATTTGAAAATCGTGACTCAGCCAGCTGCTGAATAAGCGGGGGGGGGGGGGGGGAGGGGGGTAAGAGCACTTTTTTCCCCCTGAACATTTGATCGATCGATATTTCGTTCCGTCGGGGGGGGGGGGGGTTAGGTCACCAACCCCCCCCCCCTCCCCACCCTGCGTACGCGCCTGACTAGATATAATAGATCGTATTCATTTTTTAGCACTTTTTTTTCCCCCTGAATATTTGACGGATCGATATTTCGTTCCGTCGGGGGGGGGGGGGGGTAAGGTCACCCCCCTTCCCCCCCACCCACCCTGCGTACGCGCCTGACTAGATATATACTAGATCTTATTTATTTCATGTTGATGTCAATGTGAATGACATCTCCACTTTTGTCTGTTTTAATTCAAAAGCTGTGTCGGCAGGCGCGCCGGAAGCAGTTTGGGATTGGGGGGGGGGGGGGCAAACATTCCAGGGGGCTCACCTTCCAGGGGCAGTGACGTAATGAAAAAAAAACGTTCGGAAGGGGGGGGGGGGCAGACGAAAAATCTGCATCACCACCAGTCTTACACGTTACATGCAGGTCCCGCGGAACGTTTTAAAGTGGAGTATTAACGATCAGGTAGTGCGTAAATTGGCGTGGGGTCCAGGGCATGAGCCTCGGCAGGGGGTCGAGGGGCTAAGTCCCCGGAAGCTCAGCTTGTTTTTAGGCATTTACTATACGGTTAAATGAGCAACCATGGGCTCTCTTTAAGGCCATTGAAGTGTTCCAGGGAGGGGAGAGCCCCCAGAAGCTCAGAGGTTTTAATATTTAATTACGGTCGGATGAGCATCCAGGGGCCGCCTTAGGGCCCTTGGTGGGGTCCAGGGGGCAGAGCCCCCGGAAGCTCAGGGGTTTTAGGTATTTAATTACGGTCAGATGAGCATCCAGGGGCCCGCCATAGGGACCTTGGTGGGGTCCAGGGGGCAGAGCCCCCGGACGCTCAGGGGTTTTAGGTATTTAATTACGGTCAGATGAGCATCCAGGGGCCCACCTTAGAGCCCTTGGTGGGGTCCAGGGAGGCATAACCCCCGGAAGCTCGGGGCTTTTAGGCATTTAATTACGGTCAGATGATATTTTTTATACCTTATTTGTGACATTGGCAGGTCACTTATTTTTTTCTCCGTCTTTCTTTCTTTTTCTCTTTAACATACTTTTTCAAAAAGTGAGTGGGAGGGGGGGGGGGGGGGGGAAGGGCTCGAGCCCAGTCACTCTGCAGACCATGACATTAAGGCTTCTAAATATTTAAGCGTATTTTTCGCCCGACTGTAATTTGGGAATTTCTTATTTTCCAACAAACGCATAAACGCATATGACTTACCAAAAAAAGGAGAAAAAATACCGGAAAATCATGTCATAACAGCAACATTTGTAAATTACTGGTATCGAATAAGAAATACACCCCCCATCAGTACGCCAGCGTTCAGGGGCTCATGTCTTCTCACCCTTATAACAAACAAAAACAGAAACGCTTTCCCATTCTCACACAATATGTCCACGATATGCGCGTATATAAAGACCTCCATTGATAAATATCGTATAGGTGGCATGCGCAATGTTTATGAAATTTAATTCCTGTGAACTTTCCTTTTCTTTGAATGGAATTGTATATGTGATTTAATTCAGGTTTTTATTATTTTCAATCTTGTGGGTTAAAAATACAAACCATGTTTACTCCTTTACTGCTTCTTTTTTTTTTTTTGGAGGGGGGGGGGGCGGTTTTTTTTTTTTGGGGGGGGGGGCAAAAATGCGTTTTGCCCCCCCCCCCCACTTTTTTGTTTGGGGGGAACTGCCCATCCCCCCCCCCCCCCCCACACTTCCGGCGCCTATGTGTGTCGGTTATGAGCTTGTATATAATTTCCATTTATTTTCATCAGTTATCAAATTTCAAGTATATATTTTTATTTCAATTTAACTAACTTCACTTCTAAATTGCTTTCCAAAAAAAAAGGCATCGAGTTACTAGAAATTCGGGACCGAGCAGTCGCTACCGAGCTGTATCTTACGAGTTGTGTAAGATCTGGAGACACGAGATTTTTGCCGTAAATCTCGAGTCTTGCAAATATATTATGTTACGAGATTATTCGCAAGATTGATCCAATGGAAATTGTGTAACGCACGTAACGCGTAACGAGGATGGATCTTTCAACTTAGTTCTTGGAAACCTACACAATTCGTAAGTTTGTCATCATTGTATTTCTTATAAATATATATGAAAATATAGAATTAGATTATTGTGGTGTGGTCTTCAGTGTGTATTAACAGTTCAAGTTCAAGCGAAAGCCAAAACGAGAAAACTTTGCCTTTGCTTTTGTCTTTTTTTTTAAAGGATCGCGAAGGCTTAGCCCGGCCCAGCGGAGCTCTGTCGGCCTCTCCCAGGCCAGAGCTTTCGGGCACTATTTCCGCGGAGCTCCGTCGAGTTCCGACATGGCGGAGATATTCTTGATTTAGAGTAAAAATGCATTTGTAGGCCAGCATAGCACTTAGTGCTGTAGCCCGGAAGGCTTACCGGGTTCCAACCCGCCGGGTTGAGCATTTCGGGCCGGACCAGTTCCGGGCCGAACTGTAGCCAGAATTAGATCAACTCGGTAACAAAAACCCGGCAGTAAAAAAGAGTTTTTAAATAGCTCATTGTTCGTTATCTACTTATCTTTCATCACCATAAAACCTGTCAAAAGTAACTGTAAACAAAATTTATACAGCATGATGGCTCGATCTTTTACATATGTTGACCTGTCTTTGCAATAGACACAGCACACATAGATTTTGTGTTGTGTGTTCAAGTGTCTACATGTATATGTATCTCCCTAGCCCTGGCCCTGCCTGCAAGTGATGTGACTGATCAGCTTACTGTACTGACCAATCAGAAAGTTTCCCCCGAGTGGGCGGAGAGTGAAACCAGCATAAATTAAAGTTCAGTGATTGCTGGCACAGTAGAACAGACGATTCATAAATTATGAAGTTTGTTGACCTAGCTGATAGACGAGTGAATGGCAAATTTACATAATGTGTATGAGAGTGGGTATGTGAAAATTTGTTTATGCCTGAGGTGGAGGCTGAGCTGAGATGAAGGCGGCAGAGAGTTAAATTAAAGAGTAATTCCATCACCAAAATACTTCCTGACAAGCGGATTCAATTAGCAAACAAGATAATTATTGGGGTCCATTCTCTCTCTTATTTTCTCTCTGCCTTAATTCTCAACCAAAATTGAACAAAAAGATTTAGCCCAGATTAGAAGAAAAAAGAAGAAAAAAATGATAAGATTGTGAAATGTTGATAGTCTTTAGAGATGAGAAGGAAAAGGTTATCTTCATCATCATTCTTCCTTCCATCTTTATCTTTTTCAATTCTATTTATTCATCTTCCGAATGTGTTATAAACCTTCCCCCCCCCCCTCAAATCAATTTGATCTTCTTTCTTAAAAAAAAAAAAAAAGTACAGAATTATTTACGTAATGTAGTTTTTCTCACGTTTCCTTTTCTTTCTTAAGTTTCTTTCATTGTGTCTCTCGATCCCCCCCCAAAAAAAATTCATTCACATCTGATATATCTCTTTCACTATCATGTCACAGAAATTTAGAATACAAAACATTCCCTGTCAAAGATTAATGCATGCCAGACAGCTTGGGCCCAGCTGGGTGTAACATTACACCGCGGTTTCTTTGAACAGGGTTCAAAGGTTCAAAGGTTCAACAAGCAGCCTTTGTCCTGCTATGCGCAAATTCCAAAATATATGCAAATATCAGTTAAGCTATATCATGTGCTACATTGTGATTATTGTTTTTAATTGGCAGACAAACTGACCAATCATAGTAGAGCATGTTGTATGGGCACTCTGACAGGGAAATGAGCTATTTTTAGGATGCCTACATACATGTACATGTAGCTAGCGTTATGCTTCATCTTTTTAGGGAGTGGATTAAGGGTGATAATTTATGCTGACCTGGGACTTATATCTGGACTCACAGACAGCATGATAAACAAAATGAAGCGATGTGCCCTCCATTCAGGACAAGGTCGGTAGATCACACAAGATGTGTTTGTAGTAGCTTTCAAATAGAATCTAGTCAATATTATTTCAGTCCAACTCTCACCGGGTTACCGGACCTTTCCGGGTCCCGTTAAGAAATTTGGAAAATTGCCGGGTCGGGCCGGGTCCGGGTTTTGGGTTCCGAGCTACAGCACTAATAGCACTAATCATCATATTCAGCGCGCAGCGGGGCAACACCGACACAGAAATTCTTTAATAAAACTGACATCTTCACCAAACTCAGATGGGAGGAATTAGGAATCAAATTTCATTAACTTAAGAAGTTCAGGGACCCGTTCCTAGAAACCGTCATTATCTAAATTCTTGACTATCCCATTGAAATGCATGTTCATTCTATAATACACTTTTCAATGGGATAGTCAAGAAGTTAGACTTATGACGGTTTCTAGGAACGGGCCCCTGGTGAAGTTCTGCAATTTCTAAATTCTGGTTTTCATTTTTTTTTCTCACTGTAAGTGTAAATAGACTACTCAGACAGTAGGGGCGCTGGTCCGCATAAACAAGGATAACCTCGTAAACAGGGACAAATTTTCACAGCCTTTTTTTCAGCAGCGCTCTGCAGGTTTTTGGTTCCTGAACCGGGCGCTGGCGATGCGAAAAACAGATTCTGTGTAAGAAAATAACCCCAGTTCACCATCTACTTTTATGTGGTGTCCGTCTTCCTGAGGATTTATAGCTCATAATGTGAAAGTCTCTGTACAAATTCAATGTAAAATGCATCAAGAAAATCATTGCGGAATCCGTTTTTCGCATCGCCAACGGAACGCCCAGATCGATAATGTGAAACGTCTGCGAAAAAGCGGACGATCCTTATTCCCGGACAAGCACCCCCTACTGCCAATCAAGTAAAAACTTTAAAAGTTTGTCCCAGACCATGATCACCCTGGTCATTCATTCATGTTTCAACTTCAAAGTCATAATGTAGATTATGATATTGATATCACCCAGCCTTAATTGGCACCCATACTCGGACTCCTGCGTGATGTGAAGAGGCAGGTAAACAGAACCTGAAATGAGTCAGAAATCATCCCTTCCCGCACATGACGAACATTGCACAGTGGCCGTGGAATTCTCCTTTCTTCTCATAAAATAAAAGGAACTTTGAAATAAGTATAAAATGCAAGATTTTGCGACCGAAGTGATAGGCCTGTCCTGTGCATACCTATACCTTTCACTAGACCAAAAATTTCAGTCTCTGATATCGCAGTTGTTCCGCTGAGATTACATCTGGCTCCTCTGACCGCCTCTGACAAATGTCAATTTTATCAAAGAAATTTATCAAAGAATGACCCATACCAGACGGTTATTTCTGTCTAACCTTGCTCATGTTCCTGATGAAAATGAGATGATATGTGATTTACAAGACAAAAGTGTTTATCTCTGCGAAGAGGTTGGACATGGCGGGAAACAAAAGTAACAACGTATATACAAAGTGGCCAATGTCACATTGCCAATTTGATGCAGACTTTACAGCAGTAGCGATTGGTATAGTGTAAATAGTGCACCCCCATAAATTAATGGGTACCCTAAATTAACACGTTGGATTGATTGTGCAGTAAGATCTAGCTCTTAAATGTAAAAGCCTCTTATATAATCATCCTCTTTAGGCTATGGCTGTTCGGCAGCTGAACATGAAGCTGGCCTCAGCTCTTGGAACTCATATACGCAGAGGGAAACTAATAAACAAAAGTGGTCTTCTGTCCCCTGTGTCTTCATGTCTATTTCAGGTAAGTTATGAGGACTGCTGCTAATGGAATATTTGGGAAACTGACTTAAATCCATTCTGAAATTGTTTATCAATTCTGGGTATTTGCACTAGCAAAATAACAATCTTTTTTTTTCCATTGCAGATTAAACTGTATTTAGCTGTAAATTATATTCACTGAAAATAACAACTTTTTTGGAATTGTGGTCTGAACTACTTTCTTGATTTCCTTAATTCCTTATCTTACTTTGCTCAAGACTCTATTTCCTAGCTATTGCTATTGCTACTATTCCCTACCAAAAACAGTCTGGCAGAATCTCATTTGTATTTTTTAACAGACAGTGTGTGTTTTGTTGAATGAGATTTACCATCATGATCAGACATCAACATTATTGAAATGTTCTAAAAAGATAAAACATTTTATTAACATATTATATGTTGTATTCAATTTCATGCTAAATCTTTGAAGAATAATGTATAAACAGTGTCACTTTAGCCTTATAGGGATCCCACCCATTTGTTTGTAAGGAGAACATTTTGAATGTGTATTATCATCATTTATTTCATCATATTTATTTTTGTTCCCAACATCTTGACATGGCATGATGCAGTGTCAAGCCCTTCACAAATCGTCCACATCGAGCAGCCATTATCAGAAGCAACAGCTCCAACATGCAACCACTGCAGCAGCAACAGCACCAGCAACAAAACCACACCTTAAAGACTCTGAATCCTCTCAAGAGGTTCTCAAGCCTCAGTCTGGACTTAATGAGAGGGTAGAGAAAGCCATACAGAGCACGGTGGACCAGGTTTCACCATGTCCTATTGAACCCAAAGATGGGAACAAAGCGGAGGGCATAGAGGTAGGAGTGGAAGAGGAGGTGAGGTGGAGGGAACAGACTGTCAAGCTCTCGGAGCTATCTTCAATCTATATGCAACTATCCAAGAGCAGGTTGACTAGTAAGTATCTTTTCTACTCGTTTTTGTTTGTGATAATCAATAGCTTAGATAGTGCTATAATGTTGTTATATCATCTGTTTGAAATCCTATGAGCAATGTTTGTTTAAATGATTTAAAAACCAAACAATTACTTTTAGCATGAATTTGTCCGTATTGAATTTAATCTAACAACCATATTAACTTGTGTGAGACTAGGTTGATCTACCAACTACAGTGCATGCAAAATATTGCCAGACATAAGATGAAGAGATTGTTGGGCCAATCTAATGGACGAGTTAACCATTAAGATGTAAAAAAAATTGATACTGATCGTTGAAATGTAATTCATACCTTTTGAATGCTAGCTATAAACAAAAAATCTTGAATGAAATACACGTTTCTTTTACTTTCACATTCCATCAAAAGTAGGTTGAGTAAAATTGATATCGAACCCCAAATCAGTGAAGGCATGGGGCAAGTGCATGAATATGATGTATTGTTCTCATCCAGGCTATTTTCTTTCTTGAATGTTTTTAATTAGGTCTGGTAGTAATATCTGCCCTAGCTGGCTATGGCATGGCTCCTGGAGTCTTTGATATTACTACGTGTGCATTGATGGGACTAGGGACATTTCTTACCTCATGTTCAGCGAATACAGTCAACCAGGTAAAACAATCAATTAAACGTCATTTTTGTTTGTTTTTGAATTTTTTTTTTTTTTTTTTTGTGGGGGGGGGGGGGTGATTTTCTTTCTTTTTTTGTTCACACATTTCTTGACACTAAGAAGGAAATGTTAAACTTCCAATATCATTTTGATAAGAATGAAATGTAGTTGTTAGAAAGGAGGAGCACTGTAATATATTGGTGGAAGCCTTTGACTTTGATCCTGGTATCGATTCTTGCTCGGTGTTTATATCCTTGGACAATATGTTTAATCCACACCATCCCTCTTGACCCACTGTGGTATAGAATGGGTACATGACAATACGGAGATAATCACAGTTACATGGCCCTCTGGAAGATCACAGTTTTTATTCTGATGTGGCTTCCATGGGTAATTAAGTCATGCTCTTACTATTAAATACAAATCATCTGCATATAGGTACAGACACAAAGTAGTTACTGATTCAGTGTTTTCTTGTTAATCTGATTTCTTTCAGTTTTGCGAAGTGCCATATGATTCTCAGATGGCCAGGACAAGGAATCGGGTACTAGTTAGAGGATTGATCAGGTATGTTGCTGTGGTCTAGGACTTAAAGTGAGAAAAAAGATGTGAAGCTCACTTGGGAAAGTATGATCAAATGATACCAAGTAATCATTTTTTTTAATTTTTATTATTATTCCATGTAATTTAATTACTAAGAATACTTGTTGCTTTCAGCTTGGATGATACACTCTGTTAGGAATGATAAATACACAAGTCATATAATGTAGCTTGATATCATTTCAATCACTACAGACCCCATTGATATATACGACCTTTGTTAATTTGATGCATTGAAATAGCAAATTTTGAATGTGATGTTATTGAGATTGATCTGGCCCTGTGTTATAAAGAGTTGCGATTGATCCAAATCAATGGCAAGTCCTCTGACCAAGCACAATTTTGCAGTCCTTTATCTCTTATGTTCATAGTTGCCATTGATATCATTTGCAAAGAAAATTGTGATTAAACATAGTTTTGTATAAGACGGGGTTCTAATTTGATCTGAAATATACTAAGAAAATTGGCTTACAAATGAAAAGTAATCATATTTCTTATAAAATAGATGATTACATTACATCTCACAAAATTCAGCTGTCATTTCAGATTCAGGTTTCATCTTTGATGTAATGAATCACACTATCAGCCAACTTGTAAATTTTATTTTCATTTTTCATTTTTCTTTGCAGTCCTCTTCATGCATTCACCTTTGCATCCGTAGTGGGCGTTTCAGGTGTAGCACTACTCGCCACTACAGTGAACCCACTGTCAGCAGCAGTAGCAGCATCCTCCTGGGCCCTGTATGTCCTAGTCTACACCCCAATGAAGCGCTACAGTATAGTCAATACATGGGTTGGTGCGGTGGTCGGGGCTCTTCCTCCAGTCATTGGTTGGGCTGCATGCTGTGGTTCATTAGGACCTGGTAAGCCTTTCATCTCATTCTTACTGGATTATGCCTAAATTTACTCCAGCAACGTTGTTCCACAATCTACTTCTAATATAATACCTCACTTCAACTCTCGAGGCTATATCTAATTGCAACCCAAACCGTAATCATGTATTTTTTGACAACAAATAAAGTTTTGAGGAATTGAAAACAGAGCAAATGCCCATCTTTAGCCATTAAATGTGGTTTGTGTATGTTAATCCACAGGGAATTATACCATCGGATGGAAAACATTGATTACTACTTAAACTTACTTGAGTTTTAAATATTATTAATCATGTTGTGTTAATGCATTTAATTCTTCCCAGGTGCTCTGCTGATGGCTGGCTATCTCTACAGCTGGCAGTTTCCTCACTTCAATGCTCTCAGCTGGAACCTCCGCAGTGACTACTCCCGGGGTGGCTACCGCATGATGGCCACCACGGACCCTGGACTGTGCCGGCGGGTTGCCCTGCGTCACTGCTTTGGCTTGATAGGCCTATGCACCCTGGCCCCCATCTTTGACCTCACCACCTGGACCTTCGCTGTGGACTCTTTACCCCTCAACCTCTGGTTGACGTACCTGGGATATAAGTTCTACAGGGATGCGGACAGCAAGTCGGCGAGACAGCTCTTCAAGTTTACACTTCTCCATCTACCTCTCTTGATGCTTCTGCTGTTGATCAGCAAGAAGGAATTGCACGATTGGGACAAGAATCCTGCTCTTCCCGAAGGCTTGCATAAAGTTGCTTGATGACGATTGTCCACTGTGATGTCCCAATGGACAATCTGGAGTTGAGGAACATTGGCTTGGTGGTGTCAGTGACATGATCCACATCAAAACCCTGTCCTTACAGCACTGTGCCTTTGAGGAAAGAATTGTCTTTCGTGGATCTGCCGGTCTTCGCTGGAGTGATGTGTCATCTTCAATCTTTGGCTGTTTGTTTAAATCCAGCCAGTGAATGAATTTGCTGGATTTTACTTTGGTAATGGTATACACTACCCACCGAGGACAAGGCTGCAATTGTCTGTTATGCCCTGATGGAGAATCCTACACCCTCACAGACACCCCCACCGAGGCACTGAAAATGCAGTCTATGCGCTCATTCAACTCTATTAATAACAGAAGGATATTGCATTGTTGCAGTTGGTGCTTCATAGACTGCATTGTGAAATGGCTTCTCATTCAAGTGCCTGTGCTGTTTTTGCAAGTGTTTAAAAACGTTTCCTGCCCTAGTCTCTCCCCAAAGCCCTAGTACAGCCAACTTATTTTATGGTACCCTGTTCATCTTTGTTTGAAGATGAAAAAAGTAATAGTTTACCAAATGTCATGGTTCCATTCCTGTGCATCAATCTAAATGTTTATTTCATTCACTATTTATCTCAAATTCATATGAAATTCACATCAACTTGGTACTAAATGTAGTTTGGCTGACATGAAAAATATTTTCTTGTCACATGCCAAGTATTCAATGCTATGGAAGGCATTACCCCTGTATAAAAGCCCATTCACATATGCCATGGTGAACCGCTTTGGTTTACCACAACATTTTTAATATTTTGTTTACACACTTATACTAAATGAATGGCTAGTGGGGATGAAAGAAGTATCTGCACCCAATAAAGGTCCTACAATGTACATATACTCAAATATCTGTGTGTTCTAAGATACAAAAATGTGAAGTGCAAAATCCCTGCAACAAACCGCCACGCTTTCAGCAGCCATTTGTGGACAAGCCTTGAGGCTTAATTTCTTTGCTTTTCATCCCATCTCCCCATTGTTTGATTTTCTACCTCGTAATGAAGGAAATACTGTCCCCTTTTATAACCTTCAATTATTTATTTATTTTTTTAAATGAATGTTTATGTTCAAGACCCACGGCCCAATATTTAGTGTATACGACCCACTCACGTGAATTATGTACTATTTCGATATTGGATCCTCAAATTGGTGTACTGTTGTCAAATGATGTCATGCCAACTTGCCAAGCAAGTTTTCATTGATTATAGGAAATGCATTTTAGTAAAAAATAAACATAGTTAATCAAATGAAGGTCATTTTGTTTGATGTGTGCAATACAGAACGGGGATTTGCTTTTGATGATACAGTGTAAAATAAGGAAAGAAATGATGTATTATTTTTTATATGATTTATGCTTTGTTTTATCAAGTTTTGTGCTGCATGTGTCCTCTATTATTTAAAGCATAAGTGTTTTAGTGTTACTTTATTCTTTTAAATTTTAGTGAGAATTGAGAGCTTAACCTGAAATAGGGCCACACAGATTTTCACCTTCTTCTCTTAAGTGATACAATATATAGCATACTTTACCATTCTCATCAAAGTGTGTGAAAAGCTACAAGTATTTCATGGATGTTTTCATAATGCAATTTTGTGAGCTTTGATTTGTATTCTTTTCTGAAACCAAATAACTACTTCCTGTGCACGTTCTTAATATATAATAATAAATAATCGGGAGCACCAGGAGTGTGAAATCTGACAGATATGAACGCTATACAAGAACCCAATATTATTATTATTACTATACTATCATCGGATCTTAACTTTGTTCCAAGAACTCGATTTAGTGTACTGTATGAACTGTATGTTTTTAATGAATAGTTTAGGTGATGAAATATCCCGAGCCGTGCCATATTGCTACTAGACATGCAATCTTATGAATATAATGGTAAAAATCCTCTCAAACCTAAATAAATTCTATTAATGAAAATGTGTAAGGTATCATCATTATTTGATCACTTATATCTTCCATTTGATTTTGGAATGAAGTACTTGACGTGATACTTGTACATTTGATCAGGAAAACATGATATATGTATATACAAATTTTTTGAAATAAATGAACGTTGTTCCTGAACTTTAATGGAACATACTTCTATGAAGAAAATATGTTGACATTGATTTATCATTGACTGCACTTTGAGTTATATCTCTCGTATTACATCAATGAAATTTCTATCATGCACGCACACAGAAACTAAATTGTCATCTAAGTTTTATCAACTTCTATTGTAGTTACACAGAATTACCAATAAATGAGAACAAAACTGAGCCAAAATAATTTTTTTTTTATTTAAATGTTTATTTCATTCACAATTTAACAAACAAAACAGAAATTGATAGTATAAATAGATTCACATTTCTTTTTTTAATGCATGCATAAGCCAAATTTCAGAATATGGGAGAAAGACAGATTGTAGGAAGGCACAAAATAGTGGAAGAGGTGTGAATAGACATCACCAAAGAACGAGTGAGTGAGTGAGGGGGGGGGGGGGGGGGGGGGGGGAGTGAATACCAGTAGGCTCAGCACTGGAAATTTTATCAACTTTCACTAGCACAACACATCGAAATATAGATTACATATGGTTTTGAAATAATACATGTATTGCTGAAATCGTCTGTCTTTAGGGAAATCATTGGTGGAAAAGCAAGTTGTTTATAAAAACAAAGATATTCTGAAGTTTAAAATATGAAGCAGAAAACCTTTAAACTAATTTAATATTTCACCCGCCAATGCAAAAGCTTTTCAGAGGCGTGCCAGACATAGCAACATAATGGTAGGCAAAATATATTCCATCTATGTCATGCATAGCAGGTGAATTAAATAGTTGGTAACCAGTTTTGGAGAGAAATATTTACAGATCGAAGTATGTTGGCTAACGGGTCTATAGTACCAGATCTGTGGATGTATATTATATATGCAACTTGGTATGCTGACATCTCAGCTTATTGATATTCATGAGTGAATTGTTTAAATGTCATGGACCAACCAGGTCACAAGAAGTGTCTGGGGATATAATCTATTATTTCCTGTAGTGTACCATCATATTTATGCTTGCAACTCCTGCCTCTAATAAAAACAACTTGTTTTTCCACTCCTAAATTTCATTTGAATACTAACAGTACGCTTGTGAACATAAATACAAATATATATAATATGAACAAAATGTTCAATTCAAAAGAAGTGTTAGTGTCAAACAATCACTCATTTTTTTCTTTTTCAAAGACAGCAATCAAAATTAAATATATCATATACTCTCTATAGAACTATATATACTCATTTTTTGGTTGTTGAACATTTGGACAATGTCGAGTCTGATTTTTGAGTCCACATATTGATATAATAATTTTTTAAATATAAATCAGGAATAGAATACTAACTCAGTGAGTGAATGCCTGAAAAGAAGCAAAACAGTATGATAACTTCACATTCATTTTGCTCTGAATTAATCCTGGTGGGGTAAAAAAATGTTGATAAAATGAGAAATGCATAGAACAGTCAATACAAAAGGCACATTCATTGGAAATATATTCAAGGTGTTTCTTCAAATTTTGAGTAGAGACATATATCAACTGGATGGCAATTTCAATGGAATGTTAGATATACAGATGAGAAAATGGCAATGTAGAATATCTGAAAACATTACTAATGTGTACATAATATTCTGGACGGATATGTAGAATACAGTATTATATTGAACCAAATGCTTTCTTTTCATTTGAAATCGCCGAGCAAAGTACCACTCCTGTATCAAGGTTCTGCAAAAATATATACACACATTTTAATGGTTGTGAAAAGTTCAATAAAAAGGTGCTGTTTTCTTCAGATAAATTTTCACACTTGAAAACTGCAACTGTTTTAAAGCTCTCCACATCAAATATTATGTGAAATAAGTGCAAGCTCTTTACATGAAATTCAGTTTACAAATTTGATTTTACTATGTTTTTTATGTAAAGCAGAATTATGATGAGGGACTTAAACACCAGCTTGGTGGCATGCTGACATATCCTCGACTTAAAAGCCATGAGACACACAGTTCTAGGATAAGGTTGAAACAAGCTCATCTCTTATAAAATAGAACCCTTTCCCCCCTTTCTTTTGTTGAATCACATGTTACAAGACAAACTTTTCAGTATGATAGCCATTAGCTAATAAATCTGATAACATATCAGGAATGGGAAACCGGAAGAGAAGTGGAATATTATGGGATCCAAACCCATGTATGTACTGATATTAAAGTGGTATGCAAAACGGTACATGTAGACTGCTTGTAGAAATCTGCTTATGCCTACGAGCATTGGTATAGAGCCTACCAAGGGTATGGCTACGGTTGTTTAGACCTGGAGCAGCAAGGCCACACCGGCTAGAGTCCACTTTGCAGCCTTCTCCTTGGACTTGAGGTTGAAGGTCCAGACGAAGGTTGGGCCACGTTGCTTGGTCTTGTAGACCGGACACTCGTAGATGTTCCTGGTGTCCTGCTTGTCCACAGGGATGGCCTTGATGAAGATGACGGGCATGTTGGGTGCCAGCTCCTTCAGCCTGGCGTCGGCGATCATGTTGGTCTGCGTGTCCCAGCGCGCTCCCTCCATGAAGAGGCCATGCACGTAGGAACCCTCCCTGGGGGCGCTGCTAAAGTCTTCCTTGTTCTTCTTGGTGACGTCACACTGGAGGCACATCTTGTCCAGAGGCCACTCGTTCTTCCTGGCCATGGACTGCATGATGGCGGTCAGGAAACTCTGGGGGTTGAAGAAGCCGCCCAGCCAGACCACGTTGGGGAGGGCAAAGTCGGCGGTCCATTGCTCCAGCTCCTTGATACGTTGGAGCAGATCAACGTACCAGATGCTGAGACCAAAGAGACTTGGGTAGGCTCTCTTGACCCAGGTTGCTGGGATCTGGTCCAGGAAGAGGGCATTACTCAGTTCCTCCATCTCTGTTGTGATGGTCAACTCTCCCTGGAGGGTGCAAACAGAATCAGAAAATAGAAATTGAGCTCATTTACATTATATGGTAAATATGGGAGTCCCATGGTAACATATTTCAAAGTAGTTCAAGGCAACAGTAAATATCACATGATATGGCATTTTCCAATTTGTGGTTTTCATGGGTGGATAAAGCAGGGTCACATTTAGCCTGGATTGGTTAAAAAAACACATGAATATAGGCCTGACTTAATATCGTAGGGTCACATTTAGATAAAAGTCCTGGTGACAAATGCTTCAGAATTTACATCATCAATTACAGGTTTCATGTTGCAGACCGTCCATAGGGGTAATGTTGGGGTAAGGGTTGCAAGCTAGGTCTAGGACCAGGAATAGGTCCCTGTTTGTCCCAAGTTGAAGTTAGTGTAGGATATTGAGTATACAGAGTACAGACTTCAAATGTCACTGTGGCATATATGTCATACAACCGCTTCATAGCTTGAGGCAAATGTCCTATCTCGGTACACGACTTCACACTACAAGGATTGAACTTTGACCAAAGTCTGTCTGGTTGACAGCTGTAGAGAAAGGAGAGATGAGAGAGGGAGAGACATACCTTGAGACCCAGATCCAGTTCTTTGAGGGAGCGTCTAATCTCTGAAGTGAGCGTGTTCATGCGTTCACACTCCTGGAAGGCTACCACCACGTACGGCGTACGGTCCTCCACCTTGCCCATGATCTCCATCATGTTGAACTCCTCCGGAAGCTTCTCTAGGATCTCATCCAACAGGGACTTGATCTACAAACATGAAAGGAAACACTTATAAAAATATTCCGCTCTTGTAAATTGCGTATCACATTATAACGTCGTAACACAATGGCAAGAAACAACGAAGGTACTTTGAACCACAAAAGGCCGGTGCATGTATGTACAGGGGAATATGGGGTTTCTCAACACAAGTACCCTTATATTTTCTTTCCCATTTAGATTTACGATTAGATACACAATGGATAATATTCCGCTCTTGTAAATTGCGTATCACATTATAACGTCGTAACACAATGGCAAGAAACAAGAAAAAGTACTTTGAACCACAAAAGGCCGGTGCATGTATGTACAGGGGAATATGGGGTTTCTCAACACAAGTACCCTTATATTTTCTTTCCCATTTGGATTTAAGATTATATACACAATGGATAATATTCCGCTCTTGTAAATTGCGTATCACATTATAACGTCGTAACACAATGGCAAGAAACAAGAAAAAGTACTTTGAACCACAAAAGGCCGGTGTATGTATGTACAGGGGAATGTGGGATTTCTCAACACAAGTACCCTTATATTTTCTTTCCTATTTAGATTTAAGATTTAGATACACAATGGATAGATGACGAGGAGTGGAAAAGAACTTGATACAACAAGAGACAGAAAGACAAAGGAAATGAAATTAGTTCATTGCCTATGGGAATCTTTGGCTCCTGTATTACAGCCTACAGGAATTAGAGAATTCAGGATGTAACGTCCCCTTGAGCCTATAGAAACAGCGATGCCTCTCATAGCAGTCAATATATCTATACTATCATAGCGAAATCCTTTCATTAAATCAAATATAGCTATAATATATATGTATATCATATTCAAACCCTCTGTCTTTCAATATTTGTGTAATATATTGTCATGTTATAAATCACAATTTTTGTTTAGATTCTTGTCTTCTTGACCAGGTGTGGGAAGGAAGGCCTGTGGGCCATGGTTATTTACTTGTCCTATACCTTCCCAGGCCACCAGGTCGGGTGCACAAGTGTCTCGGAAATCATTGGCATATTATGTTTACTCATTTATGTTTTCTTTGTGTTTGTTTACATGTATTGCCAAGTGCAAAATAAACAATAATACTAAATCAATTGACTAACCTTCTCCTCCCTACTGGATCCTCCTCCTCCTCCACCACCGGCATCTCTTGGTTGGAGCTCCAGGACAATCTTGAAGAGGTTGTCTGACTCGGTGGTCAGGAAGCCAATCTCAGCGTTGGGATGCAGTCCATAGAGGTAGGGGCTTTCAGGGGGTAGGATCTCATCTATGTACTGATGGTAACCCTTGTAGTCTGAGTTGGGTGGTACAGGGAATCCTGGCGCTAGGTACAGATCACCATCAAGCTGTCCAAAGTAGGGGGGCGGGAAGAGAATGAGATTTGTGAAATTGTTTTCTTATCTGAAGATTCCACTACAAATTATTCATGCATATTTAGGGATTATCCAGGTAGAAGTCTTGATTTTCAAGTCTTCATGCTGCCACCAAGGTTTATCAACATCATACACAATATTCTTTTGTTAACAAGTCACATTTCTTGCCCTAGCTGTGTGGTCATATTTTTAGACATCCATGATTTAGATGTTCAAAGCTGACAAAGAGGAAAAATCCATCGGAGACCAGGGCCCCGTCTTACAAAGAGTTACGATTGATCCAAATCAATTGCAAGTGCTCTAATCAATCGCAAGTTTGCAGTCTCCTATCTCTTATGTACATAGTTGCGATTGATATCAACTCTTTGTAAGACAGGGATCTGGTATTTCTGAGGTTACTTTACATGGCCTTTGCCACTCCTTTCAAAGATGGTGTCTTACAGTTCTTTGAAGAAAAACATTTAATCTTACATGAAACTGATTAGGCAATAAGCCTGAGGGCATACACATGCAGGTCAAATTTTCACTGACTTCAGGATCTGGACCCAAACGGTGAAACTCTACAAACTACTAAACCAACCACAAGAAATTTGTTTCATTACTATAACCAATATTACAGAGCTGCCAACCTTGTGCGACCCAAACAGGAACCATGATGGGGGAAAAAAAAGGAATTTTTAGCGGTATGTAAAAAAAAAAAAAAAAATTATTAAAAAAAAAAAAACATTTCTTGAAGAAAAAACGTAATGGTTGGCAGCTCTGATATTCTATACACAATTCCAAAGTGGGCTTGCATGGTTGCTTTGCTTACCATCTCGGGTGACATGTACTCTTCTAGATAGGTCCTACACAGTCTCCTATCCCAATCATCAGTGATGTGACCACCGTACATGATCTCTCCAAAGAGATAACGCAGATCTTGCCATGGAACCTAAACAAACAGACAGAGACATATAATAATAATTTGAATACATTGGTAAATAATGTTAAGTTAACATATTGATTGAAGGACCATTGTGATTCAAAAAGAGTAACGATATCATTTATGCATTCTTTTGAATTCACAAGTCTTTGCAAACGAGTGATGAAATACTCTAGATGAACTTAACGAAATATAACAAATGCACAACAACAAAAACAGAACAAAATGAAACAAAACAAAACAGAATGAAAGAAATGAAGACAAAATAAGAGAGATAAATATTTATATATTAAGACATGATTTTGACTTTTTTTTTTCTTCTTCAATTGGTGTTTTGTTGTTAATATCAATTGGGAAAATTGATGAAAAATCATGAAGGAAAAAAATAACAGGGGAAGAAAAAAAAAGCTAGGAGGATGCACGTACCTTGGAATTGGCTTCCAAGTAGTTGTAGAGAACGTTGACGGAGATGGTAAGATCTCCGGTGTTGAACGGGTAGCTCCTGTTCCAGCCCTGGGGCCCAAACTTCTGCCTCTCACACACCACGGCATGGAAGTAGCAGAGGGCAAAGAGGATGACCTTGAACTCGGCCTCGCGGGCGCACATCTCCAGCGTGTCCTGGTTGAAGTTGTAGAGCGACTTATGCAGGTTGGCAAACATACCCGTAGGAGGCTCGTTGGTGATCTTGATGGATGACTCCAGGATACCTACAAGACCAAAAGAAGGGGGAGGGGTAATTTACAGAGGGTGTTCGATGTTGTGTGCACTTAAGCCCCTCTGCACTACTTTTAACTACTTGCGCCCTCTATATAGCAAACAATGGCTAATCGGTGCCTGTTGGTCCACCATGATCCTCTTTTTCTTATGTTAAGTGAGAGCTGATTTGATGAGATAACCACCTATCAGTGACCTTGCAGGGAGGTCTAGTTCCCCCCTGGCCAAACTAGTGCAGAGGAGCTTTAACATCTTCCCTAAGGAAGTCACACTAAATGATGCAACTTCATTATTGAAAGTACGAGATAAAGAATAGCGAGGCAACATGAGGTGGTTCCAGTACCTGGTAAATATAATTAGAATGATAAGGCCTAAACAAAAAAGATGTTTTATTGCCCTTTGTGACCGACCCAAAAATCTTTAAATCTACGGTCGGCTTGCTAAAAAAGTTTTTTTTGGTTTTGTTACTGTACGTTTTTTAGAGAAAAAAATATCAGAGCATTAAAAACTGAAAAATATCAGCTAAAACAGGGAAGAAAAAAAAAAAGATTTCAGGCAATCCAACATCTTTTTTTTTAGGCCCAAGGAGTCTACTTTTAATACATCTTCAAGTTGGTGCACTCCTGCCTCTTGCATATAAATGCATAATATATGATATCATCTGAAATCTCCAATACAAATGCTCACAAATGAACTCATTCCTGTTGATGTTTATCTGCTATTGCTCATAACCAAAACAAGATCATAGCAAAAGTAAGAGTTCACGTTAAACTGTGTAGGGGTCTGCATACATGAGTCTCCTGATAAAATGTCTAAATTTGTGAGTCCAGACTTATATTTAGGGTGCCCATGTGTCTGGGTCCCCATTAGTGTCATTTAATGCATGCAGTTACTAATTGTTGATTTCTTTTCATTTATTTGACTACATCATTCTTGTTGACATGATCAGGGGCCCGTTTCACAAAACTTGTCATCAGTGACAAATGACAGACTTTGTTATAAGCTACTGAACTCCTTGCTTCTGATTGGTTATCAGCAGATTTGTCACTGATTTTTGTCATTTGTCATTGAAAAAAAGGCTCTGTGAAACAGGTCCCTGGTAGAGATGTGAACTATACCTTGAGGGATGATATGCGACTCTGGTGTACCGGCTGGTTCAGCACTCATGTATACACGGTAGCTCGCATGACTGCCGATACCGTACTGCTCCAGCTTCTTCTCAAGGGTACTCAGCCACTTGGCTACCAAGTGAATGTTCTGTCAAAGAGAAAAATAAATGGTTGTAATGATCAGGAGCTACACAGTGTTGAACGGAACAAGTGGAAAGTATCAAGAAATGAGAAACCAGCTTGTGTAGAGAAAATGTGCTTCATCACAAAACATTGAAAACCTCACACATCTTCGAAGGTAGGACTACCATTTGGCTGTGGTTGAGTAGAACATGAAGACTAAACAAGATAATGAATAAGTCACACAGCCAAACTGACCGACTCTTTTCAATCCAGGGTAGTATAATTCTTGTTCAATAAGTTGTTGATCAGGGCCGCGTCTTACAAAGAGTTGCGATTGATCCAAATCAATCGAAAGTTTGCAGTCTCCTATCTCTTATGTACATAGTTGCGATTGATATCAACTCTTTGTAAAAGAGGGCCCTGGCGAGATATTTGCAGGTGTGCTCCTGGAGCTCTCCACCTATTCAAGCCTTCAAATCTTGCAATTTAGAAAGTACCCTTTTTATCATAATGACTAAGCATTTGGCAATTTCATCATTTTGACCGTCCGATCTCTCCCCCCCCCCCCCCCCCCCCCCCCCGATATAACTGATTGGGATAGGGATTTTCCACTGCATACCAAGCACTTTAAGATGCCATCCCTGGTTCAAGCTAAATGCAAAAAGAACTCACCTGGAGGATAACCCAGTGACCTTCCTTGGCAGCTAGATCCATGTTCTGCTCCGCAACGATCTCCTGCCCCTGGCCCAGAGACACATTGTGGAAGTTGTTGTCGTCGAAGGTGAATCCCAGCTTCTTACCCAGGGCTTCCACATCCTTCAGGGGATCCACACCGGGAGACAGGATGAAGAAGATGGGCGTGGCCGGGTCAGACTCCTCGTAAGACTTGGCAAACTCTACCTGCCGACCCTCCACGTACTTGGAGCCCAGTTTCTCCTCAATAAAGTTCCTGCAAGATAAAAGATGAAGCAGAGATATATCAGCTGCTTCTTACAGGGAGTGTAGCATGGCAAATACTGGTTAACGCCATCTTCGACTTCTTCTGGACAACTGCACGTAAACGAATGGACTTGATTAACGGTCAGCGCGCGCTAGTGTTTGCAAAACAGACCCAAGTTATCCTCATGCTTCGGTTTTGCACGTATAAAGCACACGGGGGACTACATACCTGACAGCATAACTCATACGATCTGCTCTCAAGGCACGCATCATGCAAAGCTTCTGCAGGGCGGACTTGTTCTTCCATTCCTGGGGGAACTTCTCCTTCTCTGGACACTCACTCTCTACAAACTTCTTCCATCGCTTGGCTGAACCCTCGATGTCTCGGTCCAAGTTGCGGAAATCTTCCATCGCAGAGAGGGACTATATATATGAGGAATAGAAGAAATCAAATCATCCATCAACATTTTTATTCGCAGCTTACAATCATTACTATTTAAAATTTGATTGGGTTTCAAAGTTCTGAAAGTCAAGTGCATGATAATCCTTGGCTTCTTTTGCAGCATTAACATCCCCAATACAGTGACTATAAGATGGTTACCATTACAGCATAAACAGTTTTCAAGGAATTCCCTTCCATCAGGTATATAGTAACAACATTTGTGGCGAGAGGAACAACTGTAGATTCAATTCTTCACCTGAAGATGCATGCACCTGGTAGTGATGCAGTTTTTGACCTCCTAATGAAATTCAGGTGATGATCACCATCACATCACAGCATACCGACAAACACAATGAAGATGAAATAAAAATCCATATGGTTTTAACCCTGTTGTAGCTCAGAGATCAAGACCAAGTAAAGATGTATTTAAAGCCCCACTGGTACTACTTGTAGCTACTTGCTCCCTCTACATAGAAAGCAATGCCTAAGCGGTGCCCGTTGGTCCCCCATGATCCTCTTTTTCTTATGTTAATTGAGGGCCGAGTTGATGAAATAGCCACCTGTCAGTGACCATGCTGGGTGGTCTAATCCCTCCTGGCCAAACTGGTACAGACAGGCTTTAAATGACTTGAACATGTTCTTACCTTGATTGCTCCCCAGGCAATGTTAGTGAGGAAGTCTACAGGGCTAGTCAGCCCAGCAATGATAGGGAAACGGAGCAGGAAGTCCAGTTCATTCTGGGCAATCTCCTTCTTCATCAGCAGAACCTGAATTTCAAACGGACAAGAAATAGCCTCAATTAATGCTATAAAAAGTTTGGTCAATGAAAAGACAACTTCCGAGTGTGTCGAGAAGGTAGTCAAACAGGTTTCATTAGACAAAGCATCAATTCTTTATTCATAACTTTTTCAAAGGGTACTAGCTGCTTTGAAATACTGTTAAATCAAGTAATCTTTAATCAATGGCTTCTTACTACTTACAAGGCATAATACCATAAGGAAAGAGTAAATGCAGGAAAACAAAAAGATGGAAAAGATATTATTGAACTAGAAACAGATAGTAGCTCTCAAGGGTTTGCAAAATACATAGAGAGATTGCCGAAGTTTTCAAAATATCAATAGTGATGTCCCAAATATTAAGAAGCTAATATGTGATACGGTGTGATGACGATGGTGATCTTTACACCAACTTCTTTAACACCACGCTGACTAAAGTCATTCCAGGGGGGGGGGGGGGGTTTCACAAAGACTAAGACTAACTTTAAGTTGGACTTAACTATGGCAGGCCGTTCATACCATTGTTTGCTCTCACTATTTACTGGCATTGGTCTCTCAAATCATAGTCACAAATCTATATTTGTTGATAATTCATTAATGAAGGAAAAAATATCATCTAAAGATCATTTGAGAGACCATTGGTGAGAGCAACCAGCGGCATAAATGGCCTGCCATTGTTAAGTCCAACTTAAAGTTAATCTTAGTCTTTGTGTAACACCCTCAGATGTTCTTCTCTTTATTAATTAACTCACCTGGAATGCAACCTGGGTTGTGAAGATCAGCTTGTCAGCCTCAAAGAGACCTCGAGTGGTGTAGATGAAGACAGAGTATGTGATGCAATCGATGAGACTGTTCACACGTTCCTTGACGTCTTCACATGGCTCTGCTCCTGCTATGGACAGACTGAACACAGTGTTGAAAGCCTGGTAAGGAAGAAAATACCCAAAAAAATTATCAAGATTGTCAAATACCATTATTGTTTGTTACTTGGTCTAAAATGAATACTTGTAAAACCAGAAAGTTTCGTGTGAAAAAGAGCAAAAGAGTAAAATTTCATCCCATGACATGAATGAATCATAAAGGACACAAAAGTGAAATTCTTAACAATTCTGTAAGACATTGTCTTGCTAAGCCTTTCTGGTTGTACAGTAAAATTTGTAGGAAAATGATGGATGGATGCAGAGCCTAACTTTCACCTATCAATTTGGCATGTATAACCTAAATTGTAAGTGATATTCCTCTCACTTAATTTGTCTGTCTGTAAGCTGTTAAAGATAAAGTTGAGTTCTGGTCATGCGATTGCATTGTGAAATAAAAGGTGTGGAATGGATAAAAAAAAGTTGATCATGTAAATGTTGGTGTGTACTGTAAGGTTCTGCCAAGTCATCAAAATCATAATATATTTGGCCCAGTCTTGGTAAAGTAACAAGCACTGTACACAGAAAGATGTATATGGGACTACACAAACGGTGTCCGGGCTACAATATTACCGTGATTTCCTTATCTTTCTATGCTCATTTCTCAGCCAGTATACATTTTCTACCAAAATTGCTTGGAAAATGACATTTATTGTAATCTTGAACATTCAGTGTAAGTTCTGTTTGATTCTGTGAGAAGTCATTTTCTTTTTTTATGCCTCCGTTACGAAGTAGCCGGAGGCATTATGTTTTCGGGTTGTCCGTCCGTACGTCCCGTTCTCGTGATCGCGTTATCTGAAGAACCGATTGATGGATTCCTGCCAAACTTTGGTCATGTATGTATCTTGCAGAGCCGATGAACTGATTAGATTTTGGGGTCACGAGGTCAAAGGTCAAAGGTCACAGGGCTCATTATGTATGCAAAAACAGCTCATGATCGCGTTATCTGAAGAACCGATTGATGGATTCCTGCCAAACTTAGGTCATGTATGTATCTTGCAGAGACGATGAACTGATTAGATTTTGGGGTCACGGGGTCAAAGGTCAAAGGTCACAGGGCTCATTATGTATGCTGAAACAGCTCGTGATCGAGTTTTCTCAAGAACCTAGGTCATGTATGTTACTTGCAGAGCCGATGAACTGATTAAATTTTGGGGTCATGAGGTCAAGGTCAAAGGTCATGCGGCTCATTATGCATGCAAAAATAGCTTGTGATCGCATTATCATTAGAACAGATTGATGGATTCCTCCCAAACTTAGATCATGTAGGTATCTTGCAGAGCCAATGAACTGAGTAGATTCTTGGGTCATGAGGTCAAAGGTCAAAGGTCATGGGCTCATTATGTATGCAAAAATAGCTTGTGAACGCATTCTCATTAGAACTGACAGATGGATTACTATTTAACTCTGGACATCTTGCAGAGCCAATGAACTGAGTAGATGTTAGGGTCATGTGGTCAAAGATCAAAGGGTCATATATTTATATGAGAAATTGCTTGTAATCACGATATTCTGAGAACCTGTTAATGGATTACAATTGAACTTGAATTTGAACAATTTCTTCTGTTTTGGTTTGTAAAATTGCTCTATGACGGAGGCATCATTTCGACTGCGCGCAGTCGAAGTTCCATCTAGTTTTACCAGAACTCTAGTTTATCTTTAATGTCCTTCTTGAAGAAAGAAAGAACAAGCAGTCAATTATTTGATCATCAGCTTCAGATTTTCACATCAATTTGTTGCAGTAAGAGCTGGCTAAGAACAATGAAATCAGTTGATTTAAGGTGATACTAATCAAAGATACAGGAGAGAAGAGACGTCCCTGTACAACTGTTGTTCCATTTGCAAGATTCCACTTATTCTCATTTCTATAATATCCCTTGGATAGCTGATACACTGATTCTAGCCCACTATGAATATAGGGAAAATGAAGCCATCATCTGCAACAGGGGGTGTTTCACAAAGATCTTAAGTTGAACTTATCTCTTAGTTGGACTTAACAATTATGGAAAACCGTTAGCATCATTATAACAAAACAATTATATAAAAGGCACAAAATGTTGATTCAAATCATTCATACATTATATTGTCTTTGGAGATTTCATGTTCTTGATGTGGAATTTATGAAAAATCTAAAAATATTTTGTTTTGGGGTATATTTCATTATAAGGCTACAAATGGCTCTCCATAGTATTTAAGTCCAAATTAGAGTTAAGTTTGACTTAGAATCTTTGTGAAACACCTCCCTGGTTGATAAGATGGACACTAAAGGAAATGTCAACTCACCTTGAGTGAGAACTGATAGATGGGATTAATCTTATTCAGATCATTGAGGATGAAGTAGAGGAGAGAAGCCCTAGCAGCAGCAGGACGATACAGCTCTCGAGCCTCGTTGATCTTGATCTCAGTGATCTTTGCCTCTTCCACCTTGACCGAGATCTCAGCGGCAGTTCTCTTGGTGGTCTCCAGGTTCTCCACCAGGGCCGTGTCACCCAGGAAGTTGCCCTCGGCGGAGGACAAGCGGGAGAGCAGGTTGTCCTCAAGCTCCTTCAGGATGATCTTGAAGTCGTTCTGTTGCTTGGTCAGGTCAGACTGCACACAAAAGAAAACACAAGAATTAATTACACAGAATTCATGACTGAATGGACACCTCATAGAAACTCTCAAGTCTGATTTCATCCTGCTACTCTGCTAATGAGTAGAACAACATCGGACAAATGACAAAAATCAGTGAAAAATCTGCTGATAACCAATCAGAATCAAGGATTTCAGTAGCTTATAACAAAAATTGTCATTTGTCACTGATGACAAGTTTTGTGAAATACCCCCCAGATGTTCAACTTTGAACCTACCTTGAGTTTCTCTAGATCAGGCCTCTCCTGGGCTACCACATTGGCCAGGAGCTGGTCCTCTAGACCGTCCCTGGTCACAGTGAAGTTAATGAGGGTAGTCTGGGCCTGCATCTCAGGCTTGTAATGAGGGTTACCCAGCTTGGTCTGGAGGATCAGCCGGAAGTCAGGGTTGTACTCCACTTCCTTGTCACCAATCTTGATGTACCTGAAGCAGAAGAATTGGAAAAAGGTAAAGCAATTTTAGAAGAGAACATTTTTCATGAAAGTCATGAAAGTGTACCTGTAACACTCATGTTGCATTTTTAACTAGATATATCATTATGTACAGAAGGAATTACGGCTACTCTTTGTTAGATCTGGAGGTAGTTTCACAATGCCTTTTTTTCAATGACAAATGACTAAAATCAGTTACAAATCTGCTGGTAACCAATCAGAAGCAAGGATTTCAGTAGTTTATAACAAAAACTGTCGTTTGTCACTGATGACAAGTTTTGTGAAACCACCCCTCCCTGATAATAAACATAAAAATCGCCATAAAAAGGTTCTGTGAAGATTCACTGGAGACTAGTCAGAGTACTATTCTATGCCCCCTAAAGAATTTTTGTCATCTGTGACTTGCTTTTTTTGTGTGTGTGTGTTACTCAAGGTAGGTATTGTTGAGGGCCATCAGAAAGAGCAAAATTAAACCCTAAAACTTCTTTGTCAACATTTCTCAAATGTCATCAACAACACTTTGATTAGATTACAATGATCATGAATCTGACAACCAGGGGGGCGTTTCACAAAATTTGTCATCAGTGACAAATGACAGTTTTTGTTATAAGCTACCGAAATCCTGGCTTCTGATTGGTTATCAGCAAATTTGTGTCATTTGTCATTTGTCATTGAAAAAAGGCTTTGTGAAACGAGCCCCTGGATTGATATCTCATTATCATTTTTGTCTTAAAAGTAACACAACATATTTCTTGAGTTAAGGTATAATAAATCTGACTCTGGTGCATGGTACTCCTTACCTTCCTTTCTTGATGGTGTTCCTACCCAGCACTGGATCCAGCACGGGATCAATCGACTCCTCCATGTTCTCAATCAGCACGGTATCACCGGACGAGATGGCGTTCTCTATCGTGTCCAGGTAGCCGCGCTGTCCGATACGGATCACGCGCAAATCGTCGCCGTATTTCTGCTTGATCCACTTGATCCCCTGGAGCTGCGGGTCGATCATGAGCGGCCAGCGCTGGCAGTTGGACAGGATGGTGGCGTTCTCAGTCGACATGCGGTCACTGGGTAGACCTTCGTTGTTCCAGACAGCGATGTCCGCATCGTCTGTCAGCATGCTGAGTACGTCAAGGCCTTCCGTGATGGGAATCGGGTCCTGGGTAGGTCAAGATGACAGTAAAGGTAACATTTCAAATTCTTTATCTTTTAAATATGCAATCCATTAGGGTGGCAAGCGGATGGAATGAATTGCATTTTATACTTCTTCTATCTTCAAGTTGTGGCTTGTTGTATGTGACCTGAAAAATACATAAAGATTTGTATGTGCGCACAGAGGGGGGTTGGGAGGGAGGGTGAAATAGGAAGTATAAGGTCTTGTTCAAATATGATGCAGCAAAACCGCTTGTATCTTTTAAAAGATGACATGAAGTGTCATGTACGTCATATTTATGTATCATTTTACACAGAGCTCACTGAATACACAGTTGCCATTCATTCACACGTTTTTTTTAAAATGTGGCTGTTTACCATTTCATATCTAAACGAGCCTTAAAAGGGTATTCCATGAGCATTCATCGAAAGAATTTTGAATCGCGAACCAAAATCGTAATCCTCCTCTCCTTATAAAAATTCTGTTTACACTCATTCACAATGACTTTAATAGAGAACGTACCTTCTGCGATTTGAGGAAAGGAAGCCACATGCGGTCTTGAAGGTCTAAACGATAGTTCTTGGTGAAGCAACCGATGTACGACACAAAGGCAGTAATCAGGAGAACATCACCGGCTATAAAGAAACACAGTTATTGGTAAATTGATGGTGGTGGATCCAATTAAAAATAAAACAAAATAAACCTGTGAGAATGTTATTCTATCTCCTAGTTACCCTCTCTGCTATATCCAATTTGAGACCTACACTAATTGGCAGCTGCTTAAAAATGGCTACTTCACATCCCAAAGCTTTAAGTTTGTTGTCCACATAGGTGATTGTCATTGACTGTATAAATACTCTCTTTCTACTTGACAATATTGATCGTGTTGGTTAAAAGCACTGGAGTGCAAGAATACTATGTACCCATTCATATCTGCCTTTAATGCACACTGACATCCTCCTCCCATAAGCACGCAAATAAGAGACAAAAATCTACCGCTATGACCATACATCTATGAATACCACAAGTTTTTCTTCCATTTCAGCACTCTTTCTCCAAAAATCCCCAAAGTACACCGGTACATTAAGGTTCATCAATCTACAGAGACTTATTTAACGTGTCTGTACAAGGCCCCATTTCACAAAATTTGTCATCAGTGACGAATGACAGTTTTTGTTATAAGCTACTGAAATCCTTGCTTCTGATTGGTTATCTGCAGACTTGTCAATGATTTTTGTCATTTGTCATTGAAAAAAAGGCTTTGTGAAACGTGTCCCTGGTAGGACTGTAGCTGGATACTTACGCAGGGTCTTCTCCTGAATCTTGAAGTTCGCCACCGCCTCGCCCCATCTGACGTTCTCAGAGGCCAGACCTCCCACCAGCCTGTTGGCCAGGGTGATGGTGCGGGAGGTGGATTCGGCTTCCTGCTGACACTTGAGCTTGTCGGAGGTAGCCTTCTCAAACGAAGCAGTCAGTTCTGCAAGGTTGGCATCCAGTTCCTGTCAAATACAAATTTCATAATAATAATAATAATAATTCCGCTTTTATATAGCGCTTATTACATCTATGATGTCTCTAAGCGCTTTACAGATATACTATTACCCCAAATATTGGATTCAATACTTGCCTGCACACACTGTGTGCACAATCTTCACTCCCTATGGAGCATTCCAGATGAAGCTCATTATTTATAAGACACCCACGTGATCCATCATTACATGAAATTCAAGGTCTCATCATTTTTTTTTCTTCTTCGAATCTTCCAGACCTTTTCAGATACAGAAGACATACCAGAGGCTGCACAGCATTAGAGAAACATTTTAAAGTTAATTGTCTCAGGGTTGCTTATTTGTATTGGAGCTTTGTATCCTTAAGAAAAGGCACTTTGTACATCCAATCCCTAACATGTTTTCTCAGATAAGGAACATCCTTTGTATGAATTTCTGAGCAGCTAGTTGCAAGATGACAAGGAGTTGAAATACTTACAGCAATCTTGGCTTTGATGATAACCAGCTTGTCCTGGGCTGCCTTCAGTTCATCGTTGGCCTTCTGCAGGGCAATTCTCTTGGGTTCCACATCACAGTAGACATTGTAGAACTTGACAATGTTGACGACCCACGAGCACAGACCACCGGCAGCGAGAGATTTGCCCTTGATGAACTCTGGCTCAAACTCCGGATCGTTGAGGTATTCCTTGATGGCCTTCTGGCAGTTCTCGTGGATGTTCTCCTTGTCGTAATTGATGAGGGCATCCAGGAAAGCATCAACCTGGATATCAAAAGAACATCATTTATAGTGTGTCAGCGATGCTTACTTTACCCGACTGCTAAGAAAACAATTATATGCTTTAGAACAGCAAGCAGGGGACTTATGGCTTTGACTCCTATCTAAGGGCTTGGTAATTAATTAAGAATGCCATACTAAATGGAAGGAGTGCATCCACTTGGTTTCGAACCTAGAACCTCATGGTTACGAGACTAATGCTCTTATCAATGACATACCACTGATTATTATCATTTATTTATTTTGTGGTGGGTGGGGGGGGGGAAGAAAGTGGGACGTATAGGAGTAGAGTATTGGATCTTACCTTGTTCATAACAATTTTGGCTGCTTTCCAGCTCCTGTCCTTGGGTACCTTGCCGTTAGGTGCAAGAAGAACCATCACAGCAGCCGCCACCTTCAATACAGCAGGGGGTGGTGAACCGAAGGACTTCAACTCTGTGATGTTAGTCTGTCAGAAGAGTCACAAAAGATCAAAACAAACGTTTAAAGACCGTCAATACTAATGGGCCAGAAGGGATTAGACCACACAGCGAGGTCACTGACAGGTGGCTATCTCATTAACTCAGCTCTCAACTAACATAAGAAAAAGAGGATCACGGGGGACCAACAGGCACCGATTGGGGAAGTTTTCTATATAGAGGGAGCAAGTAGCTACAAGTAGGACAGTGGGGCTTTAAATGACAAGAACTTTGCTCATTCACACTGCATCAAGGGAGATGGCCCACAGAAGACATGAAAGAAAGTGACCTATTTCCCAATCATCTTATTTTGTTCGATGCATTGTTAATCATATTTTTAAAACTCAATATGCACTGCTGGGTTTCCCATTGCCTTTAAATGCCTTTAAAAACCTAGGAGATAAAGAAGTGAAAGTGTTCTTCTTCTTCTTCAAATATCTACGAATATAAAAAAGCTACATGTTCAAAAAGTTATGGAAAACTATGGAAATGAAATAAAACTATATGTCACAGAAGTTTGGGAGCTAAACAGTTTTACTCATCATAAAATGCAACATGATAGCTATTTTTTCATAACTGCAGGAGGAAGCTTTTATCAAGGTTTTACACATAGGCTCATAACATCACAGTGATAACAATGGCACTGGCCTTATGATAATACCTTATTGAGAGTATTAAGAGCTTCTTGAGCAGCTAAGAGAGCTGGTTCGGCCTTGGCCAGATCCTCTGTACAGTCTTTGGCCTTCTTGGACACCTCGTCGTTGATGATAGCAACCTTCTTCTCTTCGTCATCGGCGATGGCCTTCTCCTTGGATACTTTCTCCGTCTCCACACCTACCACCTGGATGAGTTTGTCCGCATCCTCGTTTTTCTGGGCTAACTCGACCTCCTGAGAGGCTAGCTTGGCCTTCAGGTCATCCACCTGAACAGAGAAATTAATGGAAAAGAGAATCAAATGAGTGTCAAGCTTGGGATATCACTTTTGAAGCCCATCTGCACTAGTTTGGCCAGGAGGGATTAGACCTCCCTGCAAGGTTACTGACAGGTGGTTATCTCATCAAATCAGCTCTCAATTAACATAAGAAAAAGGGGACCATGGGGGACCAATGGTCACCGATTAGGCATTGTTTGCTATATAGAGGGCGCAAAAAAATCTCTATTGCCTTCATTCTGATGTTTTTGGGGATTCTAAAACCACTAAGAAAATATTTAGACTACGGTAATAGTTTGCTGTATAATATATCAAATTCCTAGATAAAATGAAATCCTAGCATTCCAGAACTATGCGGTAAAATCACAAACTAAGAATTGCTCTCACATAACCCCCGTCTTAAAGCATTTAAATTGGCTCTTAGTCCAAATCACACATAAACGGCAAAATATTGCTACTGACCTATCAGTGCCTTTGTTTAATGGCCCCAGAATATCTAAGTGCATCCTTGATAAAGTATGCACCGGCCCTCACCCAGTCTGAGATCAGCTCGGAAAAACCTCTTGAAGTGTCCAGTTCTTAAGAGTTTTACAGGGAGCGGTTATTTACTTAAGCTGCCCCAGCAATTTGGAACACTGTCCCATCTCATATGAAGGAAACTTTTAAAAGTTAAGTTAAGACTTTCCTAGCTACAGGCTTGTGTATACAGCATTTTGACCAAGTAACAGTCGGGCATTTACAGCACATGTTCCTCACTTTCACATCTTTCTTCCTAAGCGCCTAGAAACGCTATGTCGGTAATATGTGCTAGCGGAGCACTGTTAGTATTATCAATTTTTTTCTTCAAAATAGAGATGCGCACGTACCTGTTGTGCTGTGCTCTGCAGTTTGGTGAGACCATTTTCCAGGCGCTCCATCTTGGCGGTCAGCTCTTTGGACTTCATGGCCAGTAAGGATTCGTAAAGCTTGATCTGTTCCAGAAAACTCTTGGGTGTGGTGTAGTTGTAACGTCTCTCGTTGGTCAGGTACTGCTTGCTACTCTCGTTGACACTCACGTGAACGAAAGACATGAATTCAGCAATGGAGCCTTTAATGTCACCCTGTGTATACACAGAAATATTATCATTGAGTATCTGGTGTGACCTTGTGCATGGAAGGGAAAAACAAACTTAATTCCTGTTATCCTCGGGTTGCTCCCTCCTGATATTGGGATGTGCAGGTGGACGTGGATTCTTAAGAAATGAAGATAGAGAAAGTCTTTCTGGGAGGCACATTATATCTACAGAAGTACTATGTCTTTTGGAAATGGTAGTTTTGTTTTTTCCATTTCTACATTTGAAATAACCAAGTTGAAAACTATTGTGTCATATAGTGAGAGAGTAAAAAATCTGGCAAACACTGCCTGAATAGGGATTCTCTGTGCATTGTACCAATAAATATCACCTCAAAAATGTTATACAGTATAGGCTTGCAGTTGCACCATGTGAGAGAAAGAGAGGGAGGATTGAGGAGTCCTGAAAAGGACTCTCTCTAATCTTTCTTGAAAAAATGTAATGTAGATTATTATTGTAGAGAACAGTTTAAGTGTACAAATGACATTAGAAAAAACCCTAGCATTCTATGGGTTGGTGGGTGAAGAAAAATAAGAATAACATTTTATTCCAAAAGCAAGCGCATATGGGTGCAACTAGTCTACTCATATGTTACTCATTGAGAGCATAATAAACTTGCAACATCTCTTCCGAGAAGAAATACTTATATCTCACATCTTGAATACAGTATCATGACATGGAACCCCTAAAGATTAGTTTAGATATGAATCAACAAAAAAATGCCATGATTTTGTTTAAAGTGCAAGTGCTAGGCAACTGCGCGCAACTGAAGTCCTGGGCATATTCACCAAGCTCTGTGTTTAAAGATACAGAACTCTGAAGCGTATTACACCGTATGTCATCATTAAAATTTAAATTTAAAAAATCAACAACAACAAAAATCAAAATATTTGCAAAGTCATATCTGAGCAAGGCTTTACACACAGGGCAAAATATATGTCACCGATTGGCAACGGCAGACCACGTAGGGCACTAACCTTGAGCAGCTCGACCTCCTCCAAGAACCTCATACTGACAGACACCAAGGCTTCCTGTGGCCATTCATGGAACCAATCGATGGAAGTACAGTTGACCACGGCGGGGAACTTACGACTCCTGACTCTCAGGGTGGTACCCACAGGGGAGAAACACAGCACAGTCTGTGTGGAGGAAAGAATAGCAGAATAATTAATACCATGATGAAAGATGTTCTCTGTAACAACAGGAAGGTGTGATGATATAAGGGGTGTCTACATGAAATGGATTACAGTAAGGTAACAGTCATCATCAGCTCTATGTTTCATTATTACAGTCAAACCTGTCTATAGCGACCGCCCGAGGGAAACATGAAAAGTGGTTTTGTATAGACAGGTTCCTTTAGCACATGTTTCAATGAGAAACCATTTTCAAGGGAAACAAGAAATGTGGTCTTTGTATCTCTCACTCCTCATCATAATTGTCATCATCACCATCAATTTCATGATAGTAATAAATACAGCATTTATAGTACCCCATCCATTTAGTAAAAGTTTAGAAGAGCATCATCATCTCCCCAGAGAGTGGAGAATGTGCATACATTGTGCGCGGGTAAGCCTGAATCCAATGACCCGGGTAATAATATATCTGTAAAGCACTTAGGCACACCGTTGTATCAATGTATTGGGCGCTATATAAAAGCGGAATATTATTATCATCATCATCACCACCACTCGATTCTCACCTTTAGATTTCTCCTCAACCGATCAATAAAGAATCTCCAGCAGTTTTCTCGGGTATCTTGGAGACCCTGACCCTTGACCTCATTCCTCACACCTCCGATGATGTTCTCAACTTCATCATCTGGAAAGAGGTCTGGGATCTCTCCCGAGGCCAGGAGATCGTTGATCAGGACCAGGAACTTCTCATCAGAGACCTGGGCATCCGTCATCAGGAAGGTGGTGCCAATATTTTTAAGACCAGCCTTCATACAGACAGTTGCAAGATCAAGCTGCCAAATAAAATAAATAGAAATTAATAACCCAAGTAAATCAATAGCAGGTCCAGTTATTAATTGTTATCGTTTTTTATGGTTACACCAGATTTCCATATGTTTTACATGTATTCTAAAATCCATCAAGATCCTGATACATGTATATTCACATACATGCCAACATTTGAAAATCAGACATCTGTACAAATTATGCTATTTAAAAAAAAAAGAAGAACAATCCTAACTCTCCTATTCAATACTACAGACAAATTTGTACAGGAAGAGGAACACCTGCATTAAAATGATAATTATCTTCTCCCAAAAAGAGGAATGTTCCTCTTTAATCTGAATAGTTGGCATGTATGTATTCACTGGTAGTAAATTTCTAAACTATTTCAAACTTCATCTAATGATTTTTCTAGCAAGAATTTCTTGTGTTTAATGAAAGAAAACACATACAAACAAGTGGCACTGTTCAATATAGTTGCATTCCTTCATCATTTTACTATGCCTATTCTCTATAATATATGAGATGAAAAAGGCGCCAAATTCACCTAAAATAAAATGCTCAAGAGGCACTAGTGCAAAACAACACTTTAAAAAATTCACCTCTGCTACACAAGAGAAATAGATACACAAAGGAAAACACAAATACATCTAGGCTATTGGTCTTCTGCTAACCTTGAGATCAGGAATACCGTAGCCTTTACGCAGGGTGATCTGGAACACCTCAAGACTGCTGATGTAAGATGCCAGACGGGCCAGCGACTGTTTACCGCTACCACCAACACCAACAAGCAGGGCATTACCGCGAGGTGATTCCAGGATACGGTTGATACGACACCTACAACAGACATGATAGGGATTGTTAGATCGGTACAGATACTTTGATGGCAAAATGACAACTTATCATTTCGTGCATACACACACGTGGATAGCCATTTTCGTTGTTTCCAGCCCTCCACATATATTCCTACAAACAAACAAATTGTCATACTCAATAAATCTTTGGATTTTAACTTTCATATTCTGATCTTGATTATAACTACCTTTCTCACCCGCAATTCCTTTTTTTTAATATAAAGATTGCGAATCCAGATACAAGGGATTCAAGAAATGATCTTGAAGGTATTGCAAACAGAGATCTAGAATGCAACGCCTGACCAGACAGACTAAAATAGTGATCCGACACATCCGAGCAACATTTGCCCCGGACTTTATTTCATCAAAGATAAATGGTTAGGGTTGGGTTTCTGATTGGATTTCTAAATTAGGTTTAGAGCTGGGATTAGGGGAGGGTGTATTAATTATCATCAAAACAAAAATAACGCTAGATGATCAAGCATTTGCTTGTGCAGCCCCAAAGTCAGGAAATCACCATCTGTGAATATCTTTAAATCAAAACTGAAAACACATCTTTTCAATTAACTGTAAATCTAAGCATATCAGGAGCTCTCGTAGCGCAGTAGAATATATACTTAATGTTGGATAGTTTCTGCACTCTATAAAGGTATTATTATTATTATCCATGAATGAAGTTAGGAATGCCCAAGAACAAGAAGCTTACACATGCTGCATGGCGTCTTCAAAGAGCACCAGGTTCATGACTGCGTTGATCTCATTGTAGGTGTCCAAGGCCTCGACCAGGATCTTGTTCAGCTCTGGCCAGGTAGGAACGGCCATGTACTTGGGCTCTCCAATACCGGTAGCAAAATGGCAGTGGATGTTGGGCTTGACCCTTAAGGCTTCTTCATCAACATCCTGAAGGAAAGACAAGACCACAAGCATTTTTCTAAGACTTACTGTTACTGTTATTAAGGTAGGGTATATTGAGTGTGCGTTGCATTCAATTTCAAGAACTGTAATACAATAATACAGTGAAACCTGCCTCAGTGACCACGTGTATCGAAAGGTCACTTATATATGAAGTGGGCATTGCACCGTTTGGGAACCGGTGTCCCGATATCAGCTAGCAGGATCTGCCGCTTGCCTCTATAAATAGCGCATTTCATCAGCGTACATACAGAGTTGCGTACATACAGAGTTACACATATAAGTCTAGGTTCAGTCTGTACTGTTTGCGGTAGGCTAAACTTCTCGGAAGAACTTGGCAACATTGTTGATTTAGTTCTATTATTTTGTCCCTTTTATACATTAAAACTATCCTAACCATCCATTACAAGGAAATTTACATCCTTATTGTAAATTTTGTTGGCTTTTTAAATTCAACTGACTGACAATATTTGCTATATTCAACTCAAAGAACTCCTTGGCATATTCAGCGACGACCTTCTCGTCTCAATCAAATTCAAATGATTTACGCAATGTGCAATACTCACCTCAAAGAACTTCTTGGCAAATTCAAATGTGAGCTTCTCAAAGCCCTCAATGTCCTGGTCGTTGATCATCTTATCTCCGTACACCCTCTGGCATTCGTGCATCCACAGGCGAATAAGGTCTATAGGTGCCTTCAGCAACTCAGGCCCAGAGTACAAGAGTCCCTGCAGATGGAAGAAAGTCATTGACAGCATAGGAGTTTGTTAGTGGACCTTTTTTTTTCCAGAGACACACTAATATTGTTCAAGTAATTTGGTCTGCTCCCTTTGGCTTCGACACAATTTCACTTTTTATATGGTTTTAACTGTTAAAGCTACATGGGTATTAAAGATGTGAGAGTCAAAAATGCATACAGTTATGAAATCTTATGCAAAAATCACAAGATTCATGGATATGAGGATTTTTGTGAAACTAAGAAAATGTTGTCCAGTACCCATAATATGGTTCTTCAATAATTTCAGTACTAACTCTGTATTTCTACCAATATAATTGTCCCTTCAATAAACATAAACAAGAACAGGATTGAATCTTATTCTTTCACTCTCTCTTCATTTTGACTTTATTTGGTTTTGATTTCAGCTACTGGATGAGATGCAACTCCAAAATAAATTGCACCTGCATTTTGAAAACATAACGCTGTAAAGCTAATCTCCAATGCCCCAAGACTTACCTGGAAGACATTGGACAAGTCCCTCAGGTTGAAGACATAATGGAACTTGACGGCGGTGGGCAGGAAGGACTGGGCCACTTTCTTGTGCAGGTCAAGGGTCGCTGACACCACGGTCATGGAGAGCTTCTGGAGGGCGTTGGACACGCTTATGTTTGCCAGATGCTGGCTCAAGATGCTGTTGTAGATCGTAGCCAGGGCATCCTGGCCAGGGAAACTCAGCGCAAACACGCAGAAGTGACGCTGTCAAGAGAACAGAGGTCAAAGGTCACTGGTTTAAATTCACGTTTGAGCTTAAATTTGACACACAGAAGTGACGCTGTCAAGAGAACAGATGTCAAAGGTCACTGGTTTAAATTCACGTTTGAGGTTAAATTTGACACACAGAAGTGACGCTGTCAAGAGAACAGAGGTCAAAGGTCACTGGTTTAAATTCACGAATGATGTTAAATTAGAATGAATATCTATCTCAACTTGACATGGTGAACTTAATTTGAGATGTATTCAAGGAAAGCTTGATATCTTTGTTGTTTTTTGCAGGAAATCATATGGAAAGAGAATGAATTGTGAATTTGCACTTTTTTGTTTTGTTTAATATGTAATTGTTTATCAGTCTATTTTGTTTGTTATAGCGCTTAGAAACTTCGTAAGTAACGTTTTTATTATATTATATATTATTATTCATTCCTTAATCTACAAGTTTACATTCAAGATGATAAAATATCTCATTGTTTCATTTCAAGAAGTCTTATATCTCCAAGGTTCACCCAAGTGCGAGTGCCCCCAATGCATCCCACATGAGGGTAATTCTCCCCCAAAGTCTCAATACTCCGTTCCAATGCAAAGACCATGGATGTTTCCATGCATACCTGTAACCTGGAGTTGATGGTGAAGCTACCAGACGTGGGGTTCATGCAGGACACATACTGGCACTTGTGGATCTCCTTGAGGGTGAGCTTGGTGCGGTCGTACCAATGGTGGTAGTCCATGTGCTGACGGATCATGGTGTGGGGTTGCACTGTACCGTATGTATCAACCTGTGTAACAAACAACAGATATGTCAAAGGTCAAGAGGTTACTTGTACTTATAAAGACAAAGTAAAAAATGTTACTACAAAACAAAGTCACATTAAAAACATCAGCAAGAATATGCGCACGTTCAACAAGGTATATCAGTCCTTCCTTTCCGTCACATTTCTTACCTATAAATTCCTTGGCTTTCATTCCTTTGCTATAAACTTGTTTAGCAATTAAGGCTATTAACATTTTTGGAAGGGTTGTTTGAATCATTAACATATAATAAGATGAAAATTTCCAATGAAACATCTCAGATATATAAAAGTTGAAAATCACTTCTTTTTAAAATAAATTCTATAGACTGACATAGAGACTGGACCGTTAAAACTCAGTAGTTTGTGAAAAGTCTTCAGTATCATTCTATACTTTCAGTCTCAATTATTAAACGCAGTACTTCTTAGCAGCTCTGCTATGATACCAAAAGATACAGTAGAAGGGTGCTTTGTTTACATACCTCAGGCATGTTCATATCGTCGATGAAGTAGATAAGTTTCTTGGTTCCAGGGGGACCATAGTTCCTACCAGCCTTCTTCTCAAGAGGTTTCTCCAACACACCTGTTAAAACATTCAAAGGAACGATAAAGTATGGCTTACAGAGATTTAAATTACATCTTTCAAAATATAGGGTTGATTGCATGGCTGTGCATCATTGTATAAGTCCATCCTATTCACTATTCACTATTCACTATTCAATACAGTTCAATTCAATTCAATTCAATTCAATTCAATTCAATTCAGTTCAATTACAGTTCAATACAGTTCAATTGTTTCACTGCTAGTGGAGGTGTCATGGTATAGTGGTTCATTCACTTGACTCTCAAATCATACCAGCTTGGGGGGGGGGGGGGGGTCAAATCCCAGCCCAGCACTAATGTCATTTGGCAAGACGTTAGTTAATCCGCATTTGCCATTCTCCACCCAGGTGTAAATGGGGACCTGGCAATTGTTGGGGTAATGATAATGGCAGGGCCCTCAGTAAGAACAGCATTGATGCTGATGAGGCTTCTCTGTATAAACCAAATTATCACTAGTAGTAGTAGTAGTAGTAGTAGTAGTATTCTCGAAACAAAAATAAAAATAAAAAGAGAAAGAGAGAGAGAGAGAGAGAGAAACCCATTGAATGGAAATTAGAAAGGGAATATAATTGCTGAAAATAAAGACCTGCTATTTATAGTCTGCAATAATAAATAACATAGAGCAATCACAAGTAAGTTCGCTACCTTCATGACCAAATTACTTACGCTGCAACATTTCTGAGGTGGTGTAGTAGTTGAAAGGTACATTGGCCACCATGCTCTCGTCGCCAAGGTTGGCTAGCTTGTCTCCGACCAACACACTCTTGCCAAGACCAGCATTTCCAACCAGCATGACTGGACGTCCTCTCTCCATCAACATATCCATGAAGTAACGGACCCTAGTTGTCTCGTTGGTATGTACTAGAACAGCCTGGTGAGGGCAAGAAGGGCGCGAGAACATGTAGATGTTAACATAAGGCCTTTCTTCATTTTCATTGAGCAGTTACATCGTCACTATTGTAGTGTCATTTTATGCATGCAGTATCATTTACAACACTTGATAGATTTCGATGCATAAATATTTCGTCATGGTAATGAAATTAGGGGAACTACAGGCATATTTCTCTATCAAGTACTACAATAAGATATGCAGACTATACCATATCAATATCTTATTTCAATGGGCCTTTCAAATATCAATTTTGTTTGTATGGCGTGGGTGTTTGAATGCATACCACTAAAGATATGATTTATGTTAACAATGGCTAATAGATTATTCTTAGTGAGCCCTATTTGATCTAGTTTTATATCAACAAATGAGATTACAGATACTTCACGACATATTACCTATGTCAGCTATCTTATTATCATTAGAAGCTATTTTAAAAAGAACTTTGCTATAAATCTATCACACAAATCATACGTTTTCCACATTATATCACTTCTTTATAGATCTGACACGGAATTGTGCAAACGATCAGAGACGGAAGTTCTATAATGCTAACAACAGTGAATAACCAACTAATTTTCTAATAATATAAAACTGATACAAATACAATAGACAGAGACTAACATATAGACACAATCTACATCTTATTGTCGTAGTGCAATATGTATATTGGAATGGTGACAAAATTAACCATGAATTCAAGTGTACACTGAATGCTGTGAAATCATAAAGGGAAAATGTATTTTACTAGAATTGTCATGCAGATCTGTTCTTCATCTTTTTTTCCCCCTTTTTTAAAATTCATGTTATCATGTAGATCTTAGTAGCTATTGTACATTCAACTAAAACTAAACTGTGCATGAACCATTCAGCATGAGTTCACATTAGGATAATATCATTATTACATCTAGAACTTAAACTCTAAAACATTATTGGCATGGTGTTTGTGGAATCATTCTAAAGTGCCAAAACTAGTGTCAAAAATTGTCCTAATTTGAGTGCTTATTGGTAGTTTTTCTGCATTGATACACATGAGAGAAGCTATACATAAAATCTCCCAGTGTGATGTGTTCTACATACTCCTACATTCACTGTGATCATGTATGGATACATATTTGGTTATATGTGTGTGTGTTGAATAGAGACTGTGTATATAGAGACTCTAAGGTATACATTACTTTGATACTTGTTATTTTTGAAACTCCTTTTTTCTTCAATTAATAAGAAAAGGAAAGAATACACGAACGAGATAACAAAAAAAATGAACTAAATGACAAACTTCAAAGCATAACATATGTGAGCAAGTTGTAAATGTAAATTATTTGAATGTGCTGGGTTTGCCTGTTCTTTTGATTGATTACGAGCCCAGAGGGACTGAATGAAATAGAGACATTTTTTAAACATCTAAGCTTGATAAATTGTGTGTAAATGTCTCCACATTCCTTAAATATCATAAATGACTTAACCCTTACTGTACTGGGGGGGGGGGCCTGGGAGGCCCCCCCCTCGACATTTTCGGAGTTTGCGCCGCAACCGCTTGGAATTTTGAATTGTCGTTTCATGACTTTTTTCCCTCAAGTCTCACGCACATTTTGATACCATTTTCGTCGAAATCGGATATACCTGTAAGGCGTTACATAACAATTAGTATGCGCATGTCATCAAAAAAAAAAAAAAAAAAAAAAATTGCATCAAAATTTGCATAAATTATCATTATTAATTACATTAAATTAACTTTTTTGAGTTAAAAAAGAAGTTTCATATGAATAATGAGTTTCAACATTCAAAAAGTGGAGTTTGAAACGTTTTCTGTAAAATGCATAAAATTAGCATTTTTGCATAATTAATTAGGCTAACGACAAAAATTTGCATATTCGGAAAAAACTAATTATACCATCTTGTTCCTTACGTAAATATCTACAAACGTGCAAATTTTCGTGTTCATCGGACAATCGACGGCCGAGATCATAGGGGGGGGGCCTCCCAGGCCCCCCCCCAGTCAGTGGGTGCTCAAAATAGCCCAGTACAGTAAGGGTTAATGGAATTGCGATCTGGATATATAACCAAGTGTATTTTGAAAATGGGTATAATGTGTTTGACATAAAGATGGATAATAGAAGCTACAAATGTAAGTATAATAAAGTAGAATTCCAGGAAATGTTATTCTATCAGGGGGGCATACATTTTTTGTCAACAACTATCCTTCACATCGAGTCCTTCTTTATCTCAAACATATTTTTATAAATGGGAATATTAGCATGTAAAGAGGTATGATTCGATGGATAACCTGGTAATTAGTAAGAAATTAATGATTTACAAGAAATGCATCTACAATCTGCTTTCAAGTAAATACAGAAATATAATTTGATCTCATTTAAACATGTGATGAAATGCTTGTCATAAATATTTATGTATGATGTTATCCACGATTTTGAATCTGACTAAAGATTTATTTAAACAATTTTTTTTAAACAAATTAAAAACTAGATGGAATTCGACTGCGCGCAGTCGAAAATGATGCCTCCGTCATAGAGCAATTTTACAAACCAAAACAGAAGAAATTTTTCGAATTCAAGTTCAATTGTAATCCATTGACAGGTTCTCAGAATATCGTGATTACAAGCAATTTCTCATATACATATATGACCCTTTGATCTTTGACCTCATGACCCTAAAATCTACTCAGTTCATTGGCTCTGCAAGATGTCCTGAGTTAAATAGTAATCCATCTGTCAGTTCTAATGAGAATGCGTTCACAAGCTATTTTTGCATACATAATGAGCCCATGACCTTTGACTTTTGACCTTATGAACCAAGAATCTACTCAGTTCATTGGCTCTGCAAGTAACATACATGACCTAATTTTGGCAGGAATCCATCAATCGCTTCTTGAGATAACGCGGTCACGAGCTGTTTTTGCATACATAATGTGTGCTTTGGCCTTTGACCTTTGACCTCATGACCCCTAAATCTAATCAGTTCATCGGCTCTGCAAGTAACATACATGACCTAAGTTTGGCAGCAATCCATCAATCGGTTCTTGAGATAACGCGATCACGAGCTGTTTTCGCATACATAATGAGCCCTGTGACCTTTGACCTTTAACCTCGTGACCCCAAAATCTAATCAGTTCATTGGCTCTGCAAGTAACATACATGACCTAAGTTTGGCAGGAATCCATCAATCGGTTCTTCAGATAACGCGATCACGAGCTGTTTTTGCATACCTAATGAGCCCTGTGACCTTTGACCTTTGACCTTGTGACCCCAAAATCTAATCAGTTCATCGGCTCTGCAAGATACATACATTACTAAAGTTTGGCAGGAATCCATCAATCGGTTCTTCAGATAACGCGATCACAAGAACGGGACGTATGTACAGACGTACGGACGGACGGACAACCCGAAAACATAATGCCTCCGGCTACTTCGTAACGGAGGCATAAAAATTAAGAAATCTCTTATAATAATTAGATTAGAGGCGTTGCTGGATGGAAGTGAGTAGTTATGAATCTGATTCTGATTGTTACCTGCAAGGGAATGTCTGGGTCCAGCTCGAAGGCCGGTACCCTTTCGCTCCAGGGAAGGAACTTCTTGGACTCCTGGTCGATGTAATAGTCAAAGACAGTGCCCTGGTTGGGGAACTTGATGGTCTTGAATTCAGTGATCCACCACTTGCTGAACTCTGCACGATAGTCCACAAGCTATGGGTGTGTAAGAGTAAGAGAGAGAGAAAGAGGGGATACATGTTATAAATAGTTCTGAAGGATATGCTCACATCTCCCGAGACTGAAACGCCAAAGGATAAGACACGTAAGAGCAAAAACAGAAATAATGACAAGAGCTTTAGAAAGAGTATCACAGAAGATCTGGAAAATAAAAGGCCTATCATTAAAGGAACTTATGGTGCAATTATATAATTTTGATTAAATAATGACCTGAAAAGTATTATCCTCATGTTATTTCCCTTGGTATCAATAGCTTGTAAACCTAAATACCACCATTGCCTTTTAATACATGTTTTAATTAGAGATACTGGTCACAGGAAGAAAACAAATATGTGATCCTTAAAGACAAGTGGTCTTTCTAAACACATGGTCGCTTAAACAAGTTCGACTGTGTACCGTCAGTTTAGATCCAGAAGGGTCTTAACTCATATGTTTCAACATAAAGCAAACATCTTTCTGGCTCTAGACACATGGTATATCTTTCAAAGCAATATAACGCACCTGATCTTGGAACATGGAGCCTCCAAAGGCCCAGATACTGGCAAAGACGAAGTAGAGTTCATAGAGCTCCTTGGGGCAGTCTACTGGTGTGTTCTCTGGTGTGAGCAGACACTCAAGCAGGTAACACAACATCTGAACCATACTCTGCTCTGTAAGGTTTAATCAAATCAAAACAACAAAGGTTAAAAACATTCAAATAAATAAGATTGAAAGTTAATGGAGTGACTAACAGCGGCCCCTCTATCACCCTCTCTATAGTCTTTGATGATGTTCTGACATTGGTACTCTGCCTTCTTTCATAGGGCAAATACATTTGTATGGTTTATGAAGTGCCTGAATGTACTGGGCTAAACCAAGTCCTAACTTGAGAGATCACACTCCAACCTTTTCAGCATGATATTCAAAATCAAGATGAAAAGTATGTTTCACAAAGAACACCTCCACTTATTTAAACTTGTTTCAATTGTTACTAACATGGATTAATTGGCATGTTTTACCTTCAACAAGGCTTCCCTTACTCTTGATTTCCAGCTTGGTTCACTGCAGCAGTATGAAATTTCATCGAATTCCAATACAACTATCACATTTTTTTTTTAAATACCAATCAGAAAAAGTCATGCATGAAACCAAATGCACCCCATACTCTCTTTTTTTATATCCATAGTATTTCTAGCATGTGAAACTTTGTTTTAAAGGCAGCTTTTGTTTGCTGTTTGTTGTTGTCATTGGTTACCTGGGATAGGGATGATCTTCTTGAAGCGAATCCTGAGGGTATCCAGGAGAGTTGGAAGGTACTTGTCAAACAGGATGGTCAGGTTGGCCCTCTCAGACTGCACCTCGCGGGTATCAATCCAACTTGTCACAATCCTAGTAATCAATAAAAACCATGACAACCAATTCAAAACAATTCAAAACTTATCTTAAGACACATTTATTCAAAATTGCTTTTGATGATTAACTTACTCTGTTCACATTGATGTATATTTCATATGTATTGTAATCTGTAGTTTTTTTGTTTTTTGTTTTTTTTAAATATGTAATTGTTTAACATTGTATTTTGTTTGTTATAGCGCCTAGAGAGTTCGATGGTAAGCGCTTTATAAGCACCATTTTTATTATTATTATGGAATGCTCAGTTTAGTTTTCCACCAGGCGGAATATATATAATTGCAATTTCCCCAACCAAGGCCATGAATACCATTTGTGTGCACAAAAGCGGGAAATGTAAATTTTGTTGCGTGAGTATTTTTGGAAGTATGCAAAAAGGAACTGTACTTCCAGACATTCAGACCATTCTCAAGAAATCTTGTTGAAAATGAGCAAAATATAAAATGTATCATATACTGTTATAGATAAAATAAAACACATGAAAAGAGTCACAGAAACGAAAGCCCATATATACAATCCCAAACAATCCATAATGGAAAATCATAGTAGAGAGATTCCCTGAAGTCCAACTCACAAATAAAATATTTTTGACTATTATCCAACACAAAAATGTTGAGAAACATTCAAAGAACTTATAAAATGGTGAAATATATGGCATAAACAGTACAAGGCCTCCGCGGTGACCCACAAGAGAAGGTGTGATTATATACTTACGGATTCCAGCCCAGATCAGAGGGGTTAATGTAGAGGATACCAGCCCTGGACACAGTAGCGGGGGTAGCCGTCTTCAAGTGACTAATCTCAAAGAGGAGGCGCATGGAAGGGGTCAGTGGGATACGTTCGTTACTGGCCAGGGTCAACACCTGTAAGGTCAAAGGACAATGTAGATTCATCATCTAATAACTGTAATAGCCTTTAAAAAAAAGATGTTGTACTGCCCTTTAGGTGCCAAAACATGGGTCGGTCGGTCGGAAATCTTCTTTTTTTTTCCCTCCATCTTTTGGCTGATTTTTCTCAGTTTTAAATGCTGTAATATTTTTTTTTCTCTAAAAAACGGCAACCCCAAAAAAACTTTTTTAAACAGCCGACTGTAGATTTCAAAATTTTGGGGTCGGTCGTTAAGAGCAATACAACTTCTTTTTATTTTAGGCCTAATAGTGAATTTTCTACACTCCTATCTGTCAAAGCAATGATTACCAAGAATCAGAAGTGACTGCAACAGATACAACTTGATATTTTTATTAAAGACAATAGATCTATAGGTAACATTTTCTTTCTTTACTCCCTGGTGCAGTTCTTAGGGTTTGAATCTTCCTCCATTGCCTATACTTTGGTATTTTGACTACAGTTGCCTCTCTTGACCCACATGCAATAACTAGGTAACTGGTAAAATTCTTTGAAAAGTAATTACAATTTTGTGTCATGTTTGCTAGAGAGACACATAATGGCACTGATGTCTGCACATAGAGACAACACACCCTTCCAAAAAATTTCAGTAAGCAATTATTACAATTTCACAGGTCAACTTCAGAAATGAAAATGGACAATCTTTATTTCCCTCTAAATTCAAGTACGGCGTTAATGATTCCACCTATTTAACTCTTATCATGCCACAGGTCTAATCCCCATTGTGCCAAGCCCCAAATCCCCCCGTGCCAAGTTTATTTTGAGATAATCTGATTAACGCGATGGTTCTATGAATAGCGTGTACGAAACACACAGCACAGTACAATGAGCATGAACAGTAACTGGTATTACAAATGCGTGCAAGCATGCACAAAGCAGCGAAGCAATGGCTTGCTTGCATGTACAAAGCACTATAACGGTAGCGTGCATGCAGCCTTATGGCAGGATATGAGACTCATATCAGGAAGAGACTTAAGCAGTCCTGAGGCTAAGGGCATACCTTGTTGTCATCCATGACAGTGTTGAGGGATTCAATCCACATGGGATCAATGTCTCCGTCCAGTACAATCCACTTGGGTCCGTCGTGGGTGATGTTGCTCATGTCACGCATGATGACAGAGAACAGACCTGTCACAAAATAGATGATGCAATATGTGAACCAACCCTTATGTAGGATGAACAAGAATGGAGGTCCACAAGACTTGTGAAGCAACTTAGAATTTGGTTCATATCAATATCAAAGTGAGGCATGAACTCCCCCCCCCCCTTACATCCATGAAAATTGTAAAGAGATGTGGCTGGAATGGTCCCCAGGGAGTGGAGAATGTGCATACATTGTGTACAGGTAAGCCTGAATCAGATGACCAGGGTAATAATATATATATATCTGTAAAGCGCTTTGAGAGGGCCTATTCAGTTTCGGCTAAGATTGATGACATTGGTGTAACATCAAGTAAAATGTTCCCTCTGTTCACTTCTTTCATACAATCTTTGATAGATGCGAGCAAAGCTTCCGGTTACACCATGTATTCTTTCGAGACCCAGATCTTTGGGTCTCCAAGTCTTTCGTACCCAAGAAAACTAAAAACTCCGAATAAGACCGTTGTTATGAGCAGTGCACCTATGATGTAAATATGATATATGTATTGAGTTTTGTAATCCAAGGGACATCAGAGCCTGAGCTTGCAGATACCAAGGCAGTAGAGGACATCATTTTTATCATCATGTTAACATGCAAGAAAACTTTATAATATCCAATGAAATTTAAAAACACAGAGAAATAACACGGCCACTAAAATACTCCACAAACACGTGATTGATTCGACCCACCATCTTTCCATTCTCTGGTGGCTGGGTTGATGATTCCAAAGAGTTCATCATTGGTGACAGCTTTAGGATTCAGGTCAACCAGTACTGGCTTCCTCTTCATGTTAGCATAGGTCTTGTTCAATACTTTCAGCACCTGCGAAAGGTAGGTAAACACCTGATTACAGTATTCATGCAGATGGACAATAACTGAATCACCTTGAACTTTTTTTATTTAAAAAGTATTTTTTAATGCAAAAATGACATTAGAAATGACCTGGAATTTTTGGCGATAATAGACAATATTTGTAACATTATCTATGAAGTTACTACTCCATATTGCTCATATGGAAGATTACATTATACTAGTTGTGATGATATTTTTTATTGCATGACTTGATAAGCACATGGCTAATCATCCCCATAGCATCAATATCTAATTTCAGATTTAAAGTGCTAATATTTTCTAATTGTTATCCTCTGATATTAAGAATGAAGACAAACAAACAAATATAAACATAACACAATATTGGTTTACATCTTTTGATAATGATAAGGTACTAGTAATCTAAAAATACAGCTCCTTACCTGACTCTTGCCAGTACCAGCGTTGCCAATGACGAAGACAGAATGCCTGACAGCCAACAACTCTTCCAGCTGTACGATCTTCAGGACAAAGTTATCTTCGGCCTGCAGCTTCAGGTCAAGGGTCGACTGCTTCACGACCTTCTCAAAGTCCAAGTCCCTTCGGCGAGGGACGTCCAGGGCGGGGAAGAGATCTCCAATGAGACCCAGGAAGATGGGCGTGTCATCCGAGACGATCTTGGGCACGTTGAAGTCGCGCAGGGCTCGCATCAGAACCTGGTCTTCGGGACGTTGCGGGTCACCACGCTTGAGTGAACCAGCCACCACCAGCACGGACTTGATGGCACGCAGACCCCAATCATAATGATCCTATTCAAAGATTAAAATGATGCATATTTCAATGAAATTAATATATAACTTGCCCAAATTTGAAGTTTTTGAACACAACATGTCTTCTTTTTTTTTTTTCTTCCTACTGATTTCTTCTCTCTCTTAATTCATTGTGAAGAATTTTGCTCTGATACCTGCTGCCTAAAATATAAATGTTACCATTTTGGCGTGAAAGGGATCTAACCAGTCAATGAAATTAATGTGTCTCATATAACAACACTCCAACACATTTTTTAATGAGCAATGTGTAATTTAAAATGTGTTCAATTGACCTATGCTTTATGTACTGTATATGCCTTGTAACCATGTGAAAAAAGAAATTCCATTTAATGTGGACAATAAAACAAATCAATCAATCAATCAATCATGTGACAGTTTTAATTAAGGGCCTTTCTTGGTCAAAACCATTATAATATGCATACAAGATCTGCTTTGACTTTCATTGTATTTGAAGATGTAATTACCTGTTTGGAGAGCAGTTCTTTACATAGTGTGTAGAGTGTGATGAACTTCCTAGCCAGGAGACGGGCATCTAAGAAACCCTCAGCCACCAACATGATTTCACAAATCAGTTCAAAATCAGGTACAACCATAGCGCAGGGTCTGTGGAAGGGAGAAAAGAATGATATTTTGCAAGTTATTAAAATCTGGAAAATGAATATCTCGTCAACCCTGAATTAACAGAGAGGAAAGATTGAGAACAAGATTTACATGATATATAATATATTCATATCCATGTTTAAATTATCACATTATTCATCAAATTTTGAATCTCCCTCCTACTATTCAAATATCTAAAACGTGGCCTTCAGCCTAGGTAATACAGAACTCCAAGTTAACGATGATTACATATTAGAGGTGTTTTGGTCTAGCGGGTAAGTCACCTGATTATGAACCATAAGGTGCAGGTTCCAAACCCCTGCCACAGCACTTACATCTTTCAGCAAGACAGTAACCTACTTTTGCCACACTCAACCTATGAGGTAAATGAATACCTGGTAGGATTATTCCTTGAAATGCACTGTGCGCTAGTATCGGTTGCTGGAGCTAAAGCCTAGGTAATAATTTCCAAAGCTCTTTGGGAATGCATAGGGACGTTATATTATGACATGACATGCATTAATAGTTTGTTTTTTTAATTTAAAAAAAAAATAAAAAAAAATAAGACAGGTACCTAAAGAGAGCCTTGAGGTTCTCCGGGAGCTCAGTACGGCCAGCATAACCAGGGTTCATGGTGATGAAGATACCGACTGACGTGATGAGAGAGATCTCTTCTCCCATGAAGTTGAAGCGTTCCTTCTTGTCCCTGATGGCATCTTGCACGCATTTTACCTAGAATGTTCAGGAAATAGAAGATTAATCCAGCTTTAGACTTTTTAACTTGATTGACATTTTTGTCATTTTCCTGCACAGCACACTTCAAACAATCATATGGACTACAGAATCTCACATTTTTTTTGGCCATCTCTACTGCATGATTGATCTTTTTGATAAAACAGTCCAGTGTCAACTTCTTAAACCCCATCTAGTCTTCTCATTTCTTCCATTCTCTTCCTATTCTTCCTTCTCAGCCTATTCCACTTCCTTTTCACGGATCCTTGTCAACCATTTTTTTTAAACAATTTTTTTTTACAGATAATTTTTTTTTATTTTTTTTTATTTGTATGTTTTATTACATTAGAACTAATATCAAAATATTTAGAAGTCATCAATAATGATTGGTAATTGTCAACAGATTTTTGGCGATATGATCAGATCATCTTTTGCAACGTACGTCTCTCCCCAATTATGACTTACCAACCAGAATCGCACATCCACAAATCTGCTCTTGCATGGAAGCCCTATCCAGTCAATTTCATCCCAACATATAGCGTTTTAAAAGCGGTATATTTCTTACCAACATGTAGCGTTTTAAAAACGTTATATTTCTTACCTGCACAGCTACGACAGACAATACTTCTACAGAGATCCTGTTGAACTCATCGAAGCATCCCCAGGCTCCGGTCTGTGCCAATCCCTTGTAGATGTTACCACAGGACTAAAACAGAGAAAGACAAGACAGGCATGAAATGTCAGTCAACAAACCATGACCTCCATAAACTGAAAGACTGTTTCCAGTGGCTGCTAACATTGATAAACTTTTATTTCAATTCCTTGTATGATACAGCAAAGTGGTGTTCTTAAAATGTTGTTTAGTTTACATGAGCAAATTTAATAAATTGCACAGATTTGATGCATTATTCTCTCAAATGCATTACTATAATGGAAAATCCTTAAAGAAGCATGTACATCTTGTAACTTATTATTATTACAGCTGCTCTGCCAGATTTTGAACAAACATGGGTAGCATCAAACAAAATTCAATTTGGTAACAGCTAAACCATTTCCAAAGTCAAGTTGTCCTATTAAGGAGGAAAAATATTACCTGTAATCTAAACATTCAGGCTCTTTTATGAAAAACATGAGAGTGTAAAAGATAAAAACCTAGCCAACTCTGCAGTGAGTCTGGGTGGAAAATGATTGAATAGTGAAATTTAGTTCATCTGAGTTTCATAGGGTCCTACATGAGTGAGTTATAAAGTACTTTTGGAACAGAATTACTCCCTCATTTTAGTTATCAAGAAGCTCTTAGAACATGAATGTCATACTGACCTTGTAGTCCATCTGCTCGGAGCAGTTGAACACATAGACCATGATACCCAAGGCACGACCAAGATCTTTAGTGGTTTCGGTCTTTCCTGTTCCGGCAGGACCAGCAGGAGCGCCACTCATCACAAGATGGAGAGATTGTGTCAGGGTGATGTAGCATCTGTTATCAAAGAAGATTTAGAATTTATAGTTGTACTTGACAAACCATGATACCATGCTGCACTTGCTGTACACTTTATTTCTAGATACTTTGAATTCGCTAGCTGGAGTCTCTCTGTCAAATCCATGTTTCTAACCCCATTGTGCATTAATTACATGAAGAAAGACCTTAAGCTACACAATGCTTAATTTATATACACTCTACGCATCCAAAGACAAATGTGTGGGTCCTGGAAAAGATTGGAACAGACCATCAGAAGGGGAATCATGGAAAGAAAACTTAACTATTTTGGGCACATTGTTAGGAGATCTGAAGGTATTGAGAAGCAAATACTGCAAGGAGCAGCCGAAGGAAAACGGGGTAGAGGTCGTCCACCAATATCTTGGACTGATGATATTAAGAAAGTGTCTGGACAAGGAATGAAAGGTGCAACACAAATGGCAGGTGAAAGAGTTGCATGGCATGCTCTCGTGAAGGCCACAGCAGCGCTTTACAGCGCCACCTGAAGTTGATGATGATGATGATGCATCCACATAGTCAACAGTTATTATCATCATGGGCTACATTGGATTCTGAAGTGGAATATGGTCATGCTACAAATGATTTCAAAATATGAATGAACTGCATAAGACATGGGGAGAGACGGGAAAAATATAGTGCTTTGCTTTCAAACACATCCTTGACGAAAAAAGTGGATAATATACACAAGCTTATATTAAAGAGAATCTATGGTGATTGAAAATCTGGGGAATGTTTTTGAAAGTGGGAAATCATCCTAGAAGTATAGAGTGAAATTGCATACCTGTCAGTAAGAGGAGTGATAACAAGACGAGGGGTGTTTCCCAGGTACTCATAGGAGTACAAGAACTGGGCGTCACAGATGTTTGCATAGCAGTGCCTGTTGTCGTCGGCCCACCTATGTCTGAGCTGGCTGAGCCACTGGAAGGATTGGGCACTGTCAATCTTCTTGAGTACCATCATGGCCACAACGTCACGAGCGTGCACATCGATGGTACAGATGGTCATGATCTTTTGACGTTCACCGCTGGTTAGCTTGCCGATCAGCAGTCCGATGAGCGTGTTCAGTTGTAGGATCTGTTTGTTTTTATATCAGAGGAATATCAGATTTTTCATGTTTAAATCAGAAAGGATATATGATATTTTAAAGCCTGTCTGCACTACTTTGGCCAGGGGGATTAGACCTCCCTGCAAGGTCACTGATAGGTGCATGTTATCTCATCAAATCAGCTCTCAATTAACATAAGAAAAAGAGGATCATGGGGGACTAACAGGCACCGATTAGGCATTGTTTGCTATATAGAGGGCGCAAGTAACTATAAGTAGTGCAGTGGGGCTTTAAGGGTCAGGTAATGAATGACAAGAGGATGAAGAATTAGTTTAATATGGGATCACAATGTGCCTTTATTATGCAACCCAATTATCCAGCATCATTATTGTAACAAAATGAATCAAACTGCTTACTTTAATGTAAAAAGAACAAGTCATTGATACTGTCAAATACAAGATCTTCTGTTAACCTCTGTAAACCTAGGAGTCACTCTCAAACTCTCTTAGAGGCTGTTCACACCGCAATGAGATAGCGCGGTCTATCGTAGCACCCCCTTTTTTTCTAGCGCGCGCTAGAGCGCGCTCTCTCTCGTGGACCACCCCCAAGAGGTGCTCCAGTGGCACCCCGTTTTGGCTCGCCGTGGCTCGCTGTTGGGCGGACTGAAACGACGTTGTACCTTCCAAACCGCAGAGATAGCGCGGTCTAGCGCGCGCTATCTCTGCCAGTGTGAACAGCCTCTTAGACTCCTGTTAGTGCCAAGCGCTGGTATCAACCTCTTCTGTAACACAAAATTGTTGTTCACTTATCGATGAAAACATTTCAAGGGTGAAATTTGACTTGCAGTACTTTGTTTCCTTGTTTAAATTAGGGATTAAAGTTCTCCCATGGACATATATTCCAGAATGAAGTTATAAGTACTTGATTCAGGAAGAAAGAAGTAGACATTCAAATTCAAAACTCATTATTCACCACTTCAATACGCCATTTTCATAATGTATCCAAATTTAATGCATAAATCTTTGTGAAGTGCCTCAATAAACATTATTTCATTCACCTGGTAATAATAATAGTATTTCAATAATCAGAATTCACACTGCATATATGAAGTGTTGCTAGGTAGGTCAAGCCATAATGTTTGTCCTACCTGGCAACAATTAATGTATGCAGTTCAGATTCTGTCTATTGAAATACATTTATTCTTATCAGGTGAATGAAATAATTTTTATTGAGGCACTTTACAAAGACTTATGCATTAAATTTGGTTACATTACGAAAATGGCCTATTCGGGTGGGATTTGCTGGTGGTGTTACTTATAAATTATTATTCAAAAAAAAAAAAATTAACCTGTTTTTTGTTGTAGTCCTTCATGGAGTTCTCGTGACCTTCTTCCAGCCTGGCGAAGGTGATGTTGACCTCTGTAGTCCACCAGATCTGCGTGATAGCCAGGGCAACCTGGGCAGGGTAGTCAGACAGCCACTGCTCACGAGGCTTCTCCTCGTACGTCACCGCTCCATCCGCAAACTGAGAGCGAACGGTAGATCTCATGGCATCCATGACTCGGTTCAGCCACACCTCCACCTAGTGTTTACAGCATGGAAGATAATGAGTGTTACAGTTGGGTCAAATGTGATTTTGAAATTTAGATAATTACAGATTTCCCAAAACAGTACAATGAAGAAATACTCCTGTGACATCATAAAAATCTATTTTTGGGAATTTTTCAATTTTTTCTTCATTTTCCGAAAGAGCATGAAAAATAATGTCCAAATGTCAAAAACCAATCGAATATGTGAAGTATTGGCTGAGATATAGGAACTCAGTTTTATATTGCTCTGGCTCATAACATTATGAGCCACTTCGATCACCACTCTATAAAGGAATGATACCATCCTGTTGTGTTTTACAACAGTAATCAGATTATGGAACACGATGCCCAGCAGTGCAAAGTTAGAATTCAGTATGATTATAAGACTTCCTTTGTTGATTTATACAACCTATCCACTCCCTGAATGTTGTGTGCACCGTACTCAACCAAACAGTATTGCACAATAGATGCACACAGGCTAACCTTTGGCTGGTAGATAATCGGTATGATAAAGTTGTTCGCATGTATCGTTTGTATACCATACATTCACCAAGTAGACCAGGGGGGTGTTTCACAAAGATCCTAAGTTGAACTTATCTCTAATTTGGACTTAACAATTATGGAAAGCCATTATCATCTATGAAAATATTTTGTAAAATTTATTTTAAAAGGCATAAAATATTGATTTAAATCATTCATATTTTCTATTATCAAGGAGATTTCATGTTCTTAATGTGGAATTTATAAAAAGTTTAAAATATTTGAATTTTCACTTATGAATATCTTAATTTAGGGCTACAAATGGTTCTCCATAATTTTTAAGTCCAACCTTGAGTTAAGTTCGACTTAGGATCTTTGTGAAACACCCCCCTAAGATCACAGAATTGAACTGACCTGTCCTGTACACTCGCATTCTTTATCGAAGTCCACATATTCCCCTTCCTTACTGTACATGCCAAGAGCTATCTTGGTGTCTTCGCCTTCATCGTCCTGCTTGAACTTGAGCTTAGCCATGTTATCAAACAGCTTAGACAGATGGCGTTGAACCTGAAAAAATCATAGAAACAACAATTAAAACATGTGAAACTTGCACAACTGAAAGCGAGTTGACTGAAATAAACTAGTAGTTCTCATGACGAAAACTCGTCGTTTAAAATTGAAACCTCCATTTGACTTTCACTACTCCTAGAGCTAAGCCTAAAGTATACACACTAGCGCTATACAATGTAATCCCCCTGCCCAGACCTTGACGGGGTGATAGAGAGGGAGAGAGAGATAAGCATGATAGAGGTAGAGAGGAAGGGAGAAAGAGTGCTAATTTTCACAGTTAAAATTGCTGTTATATCGCACATTCTGGGTCATTTTGCTTCGTTCGAACTTTCATTATGGTCTTCATCTAAATTATAAGTGACTTGTGGACATGAAAATATCTTAAAACAAGTAAAAAATATATTTCCTACTGCTTATTTCCTTTCAGGCAGAGCCCCAGTAAAAGTATGTTTATACTATTACGTAAGATGATGAAGAGTACAGATGCGAAGAGCTGCAAGGCTCTGTCAAATTTTTAAGGAGAGAACGAAAGTGGGGTCGTGAAACCCCACCTGATTTAAATTGGTTCCTGTGTTATAGTGGTGGGGTATAGTTTTACCGAGAGCCTTTCGTAATGTTGCTTTTACCTGTGCTAGGAGTTTGCTGTTGATATGACCAGGAATACAGCAGTCATGATTCTAATAAATGCAAATCAAAACCTATTCTACCAACTCTATCTCACTTGAATGAATTATTTTGTCTTCTTCTCTAAACCTGTCAAGTGTGAAATATAAGAACTTGTTTATGCTTCAATTTATCCTAAATATCTCATAAAATTGGTTTGAATTTGGTTATCCACATCTCTGTATCTTAATGAATATTATCAATGCAACTGTGTCTTATCTGAGAGTTTGATTTTTTATAGTTAAAACTAAAATCTTTACCTCCGTTGGGTTGTTGCCTTGGGACAGGATATCCAGAAGATCAGCAGATGAGACGAAGTAGAAGCGAGGGAACGCCAATCGCTTGGTCTCAAGGTACTCGGCAAGAGCCTTCTCACAAATAACCAAGCTAAAAAAACAGAGAAAGAAGAACAACTGAATGAATGTTCTATTTATACATAACTTAAAGGTATAGACCAGTTTTGGAAACGCCCCCCCCCCCCCCCTCTCAAAAAATGAAATGGAAGCTCTTATTACCAATCATGTGAAAGAATATGTTTTGACTAATACGTGATGATACCGCCTACTAATTGATATATTTGGTAAATTATTATATCTATCGATTCTGATCGATTCCACAACCTTTCTTTCACAATCCAATCGCATGACCAGAACTAGTCTTTATCTTTAAATTCAAACTATTTTTTTTTAAATTGGCCACTGCATTCAGTAGACAAGAATATTAAGCAATGTCTCAGTCATGTTTCTCTTGTTTAATAGTCAATCGGATGTAACAACATGTTTCATACAATTATCTAACCATCTAAAACCCATAGGGACTGAACAGTGAAATGCACTATGCAAGATTCATTTTTGATTACCGGTACTATTATTATTATCGTTATTACAGGGGTAATAGTGAGCACTAAAAAAAAAAAAAAAAAAAAATTTTAAAAAAATTCCCCTCAACTACTAACCCCCCCCCCCCTTTTTGAGTAAGAAAAATGGGGGAAATTAGGGTAAATAAGGGAAAGATCACGAAAATAGGGTTAAAATCTGGAAGAAGAAAGAAAAAAAATCAGGTAAAAAATCAATTGAGAAACCGATTTTAAATTGGGTAATGTGACTGAATTTAGCAAGAACTTTTCTCATGAACTTACTCCGACTGGAGGGATTCCAGTCTTTCATAAAGCCTTGGTTTATTGGTAGCCTCTACCACATTGGGCGTCTTCTCCACCTCTCCAGCAAGTTCCTATACATCAAACAAAACAAAGATATTAGTCAAATCATGACAATTAATATCATTCAAAGTAAATCAGTTAAGCTGGATTCATTTTGGTTTAGTATATACTATAGGAAAGTAGCTCTATTCTGCTTCTAGCCTGCTAACACACATATTGCTTGAGGTGACGATTCTCCTCAGCCTCATACAAATCCATCAAACAGTTATTTGACCTGGACCCTGGTACACAAAACTTACCATTGATGGAAACTAGCATGGAAACCTTGATTTTTATTGGCTGTTGAGCCCTGTTACCATCAATGGTAAGTTTTATGCAATGGGCCCCTGTGCTTCATTTCTGAAGCATCATGATAATCTCAAAGATAAAGCAGATTTCTGGTCATGCAATTAATTGCAATTTGACAGAAACGGTGTGGAAGTGATTGCAAAGGTTGATCATGTAGCAGATAAGCATTGGTGTACACTGTGGGGTTTTGGAATCATCCAAATAATAAGAAATTGACTCAGTCTTGCTAAGAGTCAATCACACAGAAATGAGTATATGGGGACTAAACAAACACGTGGCATGAAAAATTTTAGCTGTTTAATACTCGTCACATTTTGAAAATGATGGCATTTGAAGAACCATCCTTTTTAGAGGACATTTTTACTATGATACCCTCCCACACTAACATAAAAAGAATGAAAAAGCACACAAAGTGATTTTCATTTTTCTTTCCCAGAACTCAATTCACCCTCTCTTTAAATTACTGCAATTCAAAACCAGTAGCTATCTGAAACATGGCCTGATAGTATTATATCCGTAGAGGTAGAGGTGCTGTGGTCTAGTGGATAAGTCGTTGGACTAAGTTGTTTGAGTCCCGCCACTGCACTTATCTCCTTTGGCAAGATATTAATCTACATTTGCCACTCTCCACCCAGGTGTTGAATGGGTACTGGTAGGAAGGAATTCCTTTAATGCTGTGAGCGCTGAAATCAGCTGCCTAGCAGAGCTGGGGTAACAGTTGGAGCGCCTTGAGCACCATGCATGGTGGATATGTGCGCTATATAAATATCCAATAGTATTATTATTATTATTATATCCCTCTCTTGACCACCATTCTCACCTTAAAGTCGGTATCGATATTGTCAAAGCGTTTAGAATCTTCCGGCAGCTGGTTACGGATGTCCTCTGAGCCAATGAAGATACTCTCAAGATGAGACCAGGTACGTTGCACCTCAAACCAGATGGAGATGACAGAGTCGGTGGTAGACAGCTTCTTCTGCCAGCCAGACACCTCCTCCAGGAAGTGGGCGATGTGTTTGGAGGTCATCAGGTTCTGCAGTTGGACCTGGATTTGTGAAAAAAGTGAGAAGACTTTATGTTAGCCAAGACTTAAAGAGAAGGTTGAGTTCTGAGAAGAGGTGAAAAATGATTTGTAAGCGTTATCATTGTATTATGCAAGTGTGGAAGAACATCAGATAAAAAATGTTCCCTTAAATGCCTCAATATTCTAAATATGGCATGTAAAACATAAAAATCAGGATAGATTTTTATGCCACATATTTGTCTAGTCCCATATACATCTTTCTGTGCTTGGAACTTGACCAAGACTGGGCCAAATTTCTAATCATTTTGATGATTCCAGAACCTTGCAGTACACACCAATACTTATATGCTAGATGATCAACATTTCTTGATTGATTCCACAACATTTCTTGTGTGTGGCTTATACTCTTCCATGTGAATTCAGATTACCATAACAGGCAGCAGTAAACAGTATCATGCATCATTATCTATATAAGTGTATTCAATATCTTTAGCGCAGTACCCAGATGACTGACCAATATTGTTTTCGTATTGCTTGATCATCCGGGAACTTCAACTATCGATGTCGATATCATGGCGATATCACACAAAAACAAAGCCATATTTTGTTATTTCGCTGGTCAGACTAATATATGTAGATAATAATAATAATATTGTATGGCTATGTTTTCATGTGATACAAGAATAAATTGCTCTCCCTAAGACAATATAAGACCTGTCAGTGAGTCATCCAATATTGTCATAGCTCGAGCAATATATTCCTGTATCACACTCAAAGCCATCCAATATTATATAAGTATCTTACCTGGTTGTCCTCAAGGGTCTCAATCAACTCCTCGTTGGACTTGAGCAGAGAGATACCGGTACGGGAATGTGGCTCGTAATCAAAGTCCATGGAGGACCAGGTGGTGTTGAGTTCCTTCAGGACCTTCTCCATAGCCATCTCCTTGACGGCCTTGTCCACAATGTTGCGCACCTCGTCCTCAAAGTTGTGCAGGTTGAGAGCCAGGAGGTCGGACAGGGTCGTCTCTCTGTCCATGGTGAACCTGACCTGTAACCCAACAGTCAGAAATATGAAATACAATGAATTGTTAAATGCTGCTTATAAGTATCGGCTTGCATGGTGATGTAGATATACAGTAGGCTTATGATTGCACCATGTGAGAGAGGGGGGAGGATTGGGGAGTCCTGAAAATAAAGGACTGTTGGTAATTTTTCTTTCTCGAGTATGTCTAGTCCTAAAAAGGACTGTTGGTAATCTTTTAGCTTGTAGTTCTAAAGAGAAATATAGCGCCGGTTGGAGAGGATGGGTAGAAGGAGGGGCTCTACGTTGTTTTACAATAACTTTAGACAAAGGACAGCTCTCTCAAAACGGCAAGCTCTGAGATTTTGCACAGAAACATTAATCCAAGTGGTAGTAATTATCTATTTCAAGAAAAAGGCTACACAACGTTGTAGAAATCAAGTACTCACCCTGACTTTTTCAAAGAGTTACAGCAGATTTCTATTCATCTGAATCAATTCAGAAATACTTGTATATCCTTATCTGAAACTGGGGTCATTTTTTTTCTCTCCAGGAAACAATCTAGAAATGCATTTGGGATGGCTTAATGAAACATTTCTTGGTAGCAAGCCAGTTAAAACTACTAGTAGTAACCCTTACTTTGAAAACTAGTTATGCTTATGGATAATACTCATAAAGGTACTTTACCTTGGTAGCAGCCATAAGTTGTTGCCAATGCCTCTCCCTGATGGCTGGGTTCTGCAGCTCACTAACGGCCCTCAGCGACGTCAGCATGTTCTTGACAGTGCCATCCAGACCGTTGTAGGCGTCCCAGGCCCTCATCTCCTTGTCCAAGGTACGGATGTCTTTGGCAAACTTCTTGCAGTCCATCTCCATCTGCTCTACGTTGATGTCCAGCCAGGATGTGGTCTTCCAGTCCTCGATGCTCGACCTTACGATCCCGATCAGATCCCAGAGAGCCTTGAGGAGACGTACCTCCCGTCGGCAGGCCTTCAGCTGCTTGTATTCGGGCATGTTGACCTCAAAGAGACCAGCAGAGTCCTGGAGTGAGGTCATTTGCCCTTCCATCTGGTAAATCTCGCTATGACACTGTAAAACACAGCAAATGGTTATTGAGTAAGAATGCATGTTTTACGTTTATGTTAATCTAAGTCACAATCTACTGTCATCTTAGTAATACAGTCAAACCTGCTTTTTTAGTGACCACCTGTCTACAAAGGCCACATTATTTGTCCCCCTTGAAAATGGTTTCTCATTGAAACATGTACTAAAGGAACCTGTCTACAAAGACCACCTATCCATAAAGACCAATTTTTGTGTTTCCCTTGGGCGGTCGCTATAGACTGGTTTAACTGTACAACAATTTCTTTCTTGTCAAAGCAAGCATTTACTGATCATAGCAGTTTATCAGTGTTTTTTTTCCAATGCACATGATCCCCTTCTCACAAAGGGGTGGTTGAAGGGTCTGCGTAGACAGATTAACCATTGACAGTCTATTTTATCTGTCCTAATAATCTAAATAATCATAAATCATCCAAAGAAAATGGTGAGATGCTACTTTTGTTTTTTCCTTCCAAGCCAAGATATTCAAAAATTCATTGCTATGATTACAAAAATATTACCTTATCCAAGCACTGGTATGGTCCCTCAAAAGCGAAGATGAAGGGAGCTTCTTTCCTGAACCTTTCTCTGAACTCATGCTGTCTCACCTGTTAATACAATAAAATAATGCACAATAGTTTACAGCATTAGTCTGTATTCATCTAAATGTCTCTTTTTTTGTCTTATTTTAAATCTCAAATATTCATAATTGTCTCTCAATTCATAAAGAAGCTAGTGTGAACTACATTCGTTTAACATGAAAATGTTTTAATCACTGCAGCTTAGTTTCATGAAATTTTTTTTGTTTTGTTGGAGTAATCTGTGTGTACTGGGTTTAATGCATTCTCTGAATTATTAATCTCTTTCATATTCAAATTCATCTCATTAAAGGGACTTGTCACCATTTATGATCACACTGAAAGAAAATATACGAGAACCTCGTAAAATATCTACCGGTACTATCAAAACTAAAAACTGTTGCACATGATTATTACTACATTCTGAAAGTTTACAAGATTTTCTACGGCAATGAAAGGAGAGGAACATACGTCGAATGATGTGCACTTCCTGCGGATGATCGCGACCTCATTAGCCTGGAGCGGGGCGACCTGTTGCTTGACAGTGATGGCAATCTTCTTGCTGTTGTTCCATTGTTCTGGTAGCTCCTACAAAGAGAAATGAAAGAAGGGCATTCAATATTTATTTATTTATTTATTTTAAAATATTTATACAGGATGACAATATCAGCCAAAGCTGTTCTTCACAGATATCTGAGTAGGTCTCTCTGAGCCGTTGTGATAAGGTCTATTAGCTACAAAAATAAGACTTCTATGTTTTAATTGTTTGGATTATAATTGATAATTATTGAAATAAACAGTAAAGGATAATCATAATTAATAATAATACATTTAACATAAATAATAATATAGAAAATATAGAAAATAATGTATAACATAAAAACAAATAAATAATGATAAATAATAAATGATGAATACATTTTTTTAAATTGTGTTCAATATTTCTTCTCTTACATAAGCATCTGCATACACGGAGGAAAATAATCAGTCCATCAATATCAATCAAAATGCACCTTGGTTAAACTAATAAAATCAGACATGGTCAGACCTTGCATTGAAAAGCAAACAAAACTAGCAAAAAAGTTTAACAAAATGAACATCAGGTTCATTGCAAGAGTCATGTACATAACGTATTAAATATGAAAACGTAACAATAACATATTGTACATACACACCCAAGACTGTCATGGAATCAACGTCAGATTTAATTCAAGAGTCCCCTAAACAACCAATTACTATATGTAAATGTAACAATGTCATACTGTAATACTCTGTACTTCATTTCTATAGGCAACACCAGAGAGTACTGGATTGATCTCAAGTTTTCTTTCTTTGAAAGTCTATGTGATCATAATACAGTCAAACCTGTCTATAGGGACCGCCCAAGGGAAACACAAAAGGTGGTCTTTGTAGACAGGTTCCTTCAGTGCATGTTTGAATGAGAAACCATTTTCAAGGGAAACAAAAAATGTGGTCTTTGTAGACAGGTGGTCACTAAAGCAGGTTTGACTGTATCTTAACTTCTCCCCTCCATTTTACCCTTCGATATATATCCATACCTGGAGCTGCATGTGCACTTCCTCGGACATCTCCTGGTCGTAGGTCTTGAGGAGTTCAATGGTTTGTTTGATCGGTTCAAACATCTCATCGGTAGCTACCTGTCTCTCCTTGACAGCCATCAAGTGACCCATGCATTCTACCAGACCGTTGTAGTCGCCTTCGTCTACCGACTTGGTCAAGCCACTGTTTCCTACCTTGATGAACTCTTGCAGCTCACTCAAGCTGTTGAGAGAAATAGAGAGTGATCCATGGTAACACCTTGACCTGGTAGCTCCTAATCCATATTGGCACCATAAAGAATCATTCTTGTTTTTATTTGTGTGGTTTTACTGTTGATGCTTCTAAAGTAGGGGCCAATTTTTCCATCATAATTATGTTATTTCATGCAACAAAATGAAATCTACAACTTTCTCTATTATAAAATCCATTCAGTGTGATGGACTTAAAATTGAAATCGTTTTCCAACTGTCTATCGCTGGGACATCCCCCCCCCCCCTTCCAAAAAAAAAAAAATCCCTCATTCTTAAATCTCATACAATTGCAATTGATGTTTTTGGGAGAGCTAGCTGTTGAGAATTTCACCCATTCAAATGTGGAATTTTTAACCTTTTGACCCCCCAAAATGCCTTTCTTTATCATTTTTTCAATCAAGTACATTAATTTTCCTCCTGTAGATAACAAATATTTTGAGAAAGTATAATTGCTTCAAACTCTGTACCCTCATTCTCCTTTGATATCTGACTATTACATGACTCGTTCTCATTTATCAACTCTTTCCTTCTTTAACATCGTGGTTTTTTTTACCTGTTGGTGACATGATCAATGAGATGCTGTTTGAACATGAAGCTCCACTTCTTGATGATGTTGAGCAGCGCTGCCTTGAAGGGTTTAGAATCCACTCGGAACCAAGCATCAAAGACCTGTTCTTGCTCAATCTCATCCGCTTCACTGTAGATCTTCTCATACGTATCAACCTATAACATCAAGAAAACATGCATAATTTTTTGAACAAAATTATTTAAAGGCACTTGCCACAGTGCATCAAATAGGACTAATATGATTCTGTTACCATGCCCATGTCTCTGATACTTATAATTCCTGGTCTCAAATTGTATCAAAGTGACTGTAAGATTACCACAGAGACCTATTTGTAATAACCATCAATGTCGGATCATGGTCTCGCACTCTGAATAGAACATTATGATGACCTTTGAACCTTCCGACTCATCAACCAAAATAGATGATTCTCAATTCTTTGTTCGTGTTTTAAAATACAATTGAAAGTATAAATATTACACAAAATTGTATTCCTATAACCGTAAAAGCAGTAAGTGCAATCCAAATAAAGCGTTGCTGTTCATGACCCCTGAACGAAGTCATAATGAAGAATGATACCAAAGAAATCTCAAAAGCCAACATACTGTACACAGGTAGAAGGAAAGATAGAAACCACTTAATTCACTGACTGAGAGGCATTATGCAATTTGTGGTATAGAAATATCTTATTATTGTTATTTATTACTGACCTGTTCCTTGAACTGGTCCAAAGTCGGTGGGCATTCTGGGACGCCATCCTCAGCATGAGCCTCTATCTCTTCCGTGGTGAGGACGTGGTTGTAGAGCAGGAACTGACGCATGAACTCCTTGCGGTCGTCCACGTACAGGTAGGCATAGTTGTCGAACGAGTTGCGGTATTCCTGGGCCTTGGTCATGATGGTCTGGACGCGGTCCATCAGGTCGTTGCGAAGCTCAGAGAGATCATCCATACCCTCAAGATCAGCCTGTCCAAAAAACAATTCATATTAGAGAGTCACATACCAATAAAACCTCAATCAGTTCCGAGATCAATATCAATACCAATATAAGATCATTCTGTCCAAATACAATGCATATCAGAGAGTCACGTACCATTAAAAAACCTCAGTCGCTTCCGAGATGATCTCGTAAATAATGAAAGCAGAGTGTAATGTATCAAATATGAAAAAGAAGGACGACTTCAAAACATGAACTAGATTTGTGAGGTATGTCACTTGCCTATATATCTAAATCTGAACTAATGAAATTACACATGAGCATTCATTAAAAAAATTGAGTAGGGTATAAGTCGAATCTGAAAAGCTACGAAATGCTAGAATTGTACATTGTATTTTCAAAGGTAAACTAGATGGAATTTAGACTGCGCGCAGTCGAAAATGATGCCTCCGCCATAGAGCAATTTAAACAAGTTTGGAGTTTAAATCTCCAGTGGTTCTTGAGATATCATGATAACAATCTCAATGTATGGAATTTCATAAGTTGACCTCTGTGACCCTTGACCTTTGACCTACGTGCTCCAAAATCTAATCAGATTGTCTTCCTAGGGTGATACACACTATCATTAAGTTTGAAGTTTAACTCTCCAGTGGTTCTTGAGATATCATGATAACAATCTCAATGTATGGAATTTCATAAGTTGACCTCTGTGACCCTTGACCTTTGACCTACGTGCTCCAAAATCTAATCAGATCGTCTTCCTATGGTGATACATACTATCCTTAAGTTTGAAGTTTAAATCTCAAATGGTTCTTGAGATATCGCGCTAACAAACTCAATACAAGGAATTTCATAAGTTGACCTCTGTGACCTGTGACCTTTGACCTACGTACTCCAAAATCTAATCAGATCGTCTTCCTATGGTGATAAATACTATTCCCGAGTCTTAAGTTTAAATCTTAAATGGTTCTTGAGATATTGTGATAACGGTCAAACGGGACGGACGTACGGACGGACAACCCGAAAACATGATGCCTCCGGCACCACCTTCGGTGGCGGAGGCATAACAATTAGAATCTTTAATGTCTAATGTCCATGATCTGTTTGTTCTGCTCCAAGAAACCAAAAGATTGCCAATGCAGAAGTAAAATAGAACGTTTACCTGATAATGTTCTTGACCGTTGTGTTCAGCTAATCTACTGACTAGCGAAGCCATCTTGTAGGCGTCACTAATCAGCATCTCTACCACATCATAGAAGCCATCTGCGACACCATAGTCTAAGGATGGGTTGAAGATCATGTCTGGCACCTGCAACAAGAGGAGAAATTAAAATTAGTCTGAGGAATGACCCTATAAAAACAGTGGCCTGAAGCCTGTAACTCATCTTTAAGATGAATCCACTGTCCTTTGACATTCCATAGCCAAAGTACCATTTTAAAATGTCCTCCTAACCTTCCAGCTGATATATATTTCAAGTTAATTCAATTTCAGTAACAATAAAATTCAGCTTAGTGAATTGTAGGGTATTGTGTCATGCAGGCATTGGTATAGCTTCAAAAATGCATTTGAGTTTTGTATTTGACCAAATAATGTCTATTTGAAGATTTACCGTTGTAACGAGGAAAGACAATCTGTGCATATTCTGCAAAACTGCAACGTGAACATAGACTTGCTCTATCTGTTCATTTACGTGCTGTGTATTTTGAAGTATTTGTAACAAAAGTGTACCAAAAGACACATTCTTTCTCTGATCTCTGATAGGATATCCATGAATTCCTGGAAAAGGATCACATACCTGGAGTTCAAGGCGTGCTTCAAAGAGTGGGGCGGCACAGTGCCTTGGGTCAGTGTTCTCAAGCAGGTAAGTCAGGGTGCAATGGATACAGTTGAAGAAGCCATCGATCACCATGTCATCTACGTAATCAACGTATGCCTTCCAGATGTCACTGCCAGCTTCTGCTTTGAACAAACCAAGATTTTCCTGCAAGACAAGAAAGAAAAGATTGGAAAGAAATATTATTTTGTAGAGGTGTCGTGGTCGAATGGATATGTCACCGGACTGTGGATCACAAGGTCTGCTGTTTGAGTCTCGCCGCGGCACTAATGTCCTTTGGCAAGACATTAATAATCTACAATTGCCACACTCGACTTAGGTGAGGTAAATGGGTACCTGGCAGGAATTAATTCCTTGAAATGCTAGAGCACCATAATGGCAGCCATTCTAAAGTCGGGGTATTAATTTCCAAAGCTCTTTGGAAGCGCATAAAGACATTATAAAATGATATGGCTATACAAGAACCGAATATCATCATTAGTATTATTATTATTAGGAAGGTATTCAAAATTTCATAATGAGCTACATAGTCTATGTGTGATTTGTCTTGAAAAATGACATCAATCTGTTGAGTATAGAAAAAAAGTGAAACCAAGGAAAACAATGGAGCAAGAATGAAACCTTCAGATTGAAAAGTAAAACAACTAGAAATACTTTCAGCTTGTTCAAATCAGAGAATTATAATGGAATGTACACTCCCAATCAATGCAAGTAATTAACTAAGCTGTGTATTTTCATGAAGCTCAACAAGAAATTATACTGATATTCACAAGAGGGAGAGAGGTTTTACCTTTATGAGTGAATGGATCTTCTCTCCGGCTGTTGTAATCTCTGCATATCTTTTCTTCAGCTTGTCCTGCCTATCATCCAGGGACAGGAGACTCTCCTTCTTCAGCTCCTTGCGTTCAAACAGTGGCTGCTTGGTCCATTCCGCCATGATCTTCTTGATGCCATCCACGTTGTCCTTGGCCTGTTGCACCCGCTTCTCAAGGTCATGCACCTGGTCCCTGGTCTCCTGGATGTACTCCCAGACTGAATCCGAGGTCCAATTCAGGTCTCCTTCAGCTTCCTTCAGTCTTGTGTCAAGGTTAGCAAGCTGGCCTTCGATGAGAGGGAACTCCACCTCCAGGACGGTGTTTCGTACCTTGTTGTACCAGGCCTGAGTCAGGTCCAGGTTGGCCACGTACTTGCGCAGGGTTTCGTGTTTCTCGTAGATTGCAGCTGCACTCTCAGGGATGGTCTCCTCGCTGCGGATCTGGAGGTACTTGACCTCACGCAGGACAGACACCAACTACAAGAAGAGCATCCAAATAGAAGGACATAGTTTATTTAAATATAAAGCCATAATCATCTACTTACGTGTTCTCTTATTCAAAACAGCAGGAAATAATAATGACATAAATATACCATTAAATGTCTTGATTGGAGGACAAAATGTCATTTAACTGGACAAAATTTCATTGAACTTTGTCTTAACAGGATTTTTATACTGCTATGTTATGTACTAAACCAACGGTTCTTTGAAGACTATTCACCTTTAAATTGTTCTAATAACATGGTTTTACAGAGCTAACATCATGCACATACATACCTTGGGGTCAAAGTTAATCTTGATCAACTTGGTGGCTTCATCCCTTGTAATCAGAGCCTGGTCAAGGTTGGTCTTGCACACTGCATCCACTCCCTTCGTCCAGTTTTCATAGACCTTCTGCTCATACCTGTCAAGCCACATCAAAAGCATTTGTTCACATTAAATGACTCACTCAACATTTTGCATCAAACAACTCCCCTAAAATTTGGACGGGAGGAATGAAAAACATTCAGTGCATTTATCAAATACAAAGCTGCTACATTAAGCATAAATAAGATGGTCCATAGTTATCAAAGTTACTCAAGCTTGGGTATGAAGAGGGCAGCACACGGACGTACGCACAGGAGCGTAATACCCGTTGGCTCAGTGTTAAGTAGTGATCGCCAAGTTGCCTATTTCACGAACGACTACTATACCCACGTATGAACATCTTTAAAGCTACAATTTTATAATAGGCATCAATCTCGATCAAACCTTTCACCCAAATGGCTAATCATTTTTCTTGTCCATGTTTCATTGTCCAAAAGTCCCGAATTCACCAATGCATTTATCTGCAAAACGCTTAATGTCCCGCTATCATGAGTCTGTTCATCGAATATACTTTGTCTTTTCTGAACATTAAGGAGAAACACTTACTTGTTAAGGAGATTAATCATTTCCTCATACTTCTGGAAAACCACCGTAGCGTCTTCTGACTGCAAAATCCTGTGGCAAAGAATAAACTTTGTGTTACAACATGTAGTAGTGAATCCACAATATTCATTCACTGCAAAGGAAATGTAACTGACAAACTATGCGTACTGGCAATGTCTTGAACTTCACTTCAGTAGAATTGCAGACTGCAATCTTCACATCAAAGCAACCACAATGCATCATCAAATCTCTTTATTCAGAGACTCAATAGATGGCTTCTATATATTTAAGCAGCAATCAAACGTCTATTCACCAACAAACTTGGAGAAATCCACAAATATCACCTTTTCCATGCGTTACATTTTTTTTCTTCAATTTTTTTTTTTTTTTGTCAATTACACTTCACAAATCACATCTCACTGCATTTTTTTTTTCTTCCTGGAAATTCATAAGGAGATCCTGTTTGGTTAAAAAATGTGCATTAAAAACAAAATCCTAATTTCATACATTGTATGTGCGGAAGCTAAAAAGTCAACCTCAATTATTTAACATATGTTTGGGCTACATACTATATTTAAGTGTTTTATGTCTATATTTAGTGTGCGGTTCTGTGGTAATATTATCATCATACGTTCAGTGCACCTCTTACCAAACTTTATATTTTCAATAAGCTTCAAGAAATAATGATCTATGACAAAATTTGGGAACAGAATACAAAGGTAAAGGTGGTGGGGGGGGGGGGTGGATAATCATAAATAACTGTCACTATTGTCCAAATATATAACAAGGGCTGATTCAAATATCATATTTCATAGTACACCTTGACCTGGAAAGTCAAACATGCCTTTGCCAAATATTAGGCCAGTAATATCTTTCCAATTTTTCTTTAAAGAACTTACACTTTTCTGATCAATAATGATAAAGTTAAACTAAGGGTAATAAGATTATTTGTACAAGCCAAAGCAATGTTGTTTTATTGAAACTGGAACCTGTTAAACTTGACTTCTCAACTCATCATACTTGTCAAACTTTTATTTTAAATTGGGGGAGGGGAGGGGGGTGTATTGGGGGAAAGGATCATCATGGTATTATTTTGTTATCGTGCATTTTTTACAAAACTTGATTTACAGTATGCTACAACTTTGTTTCACTGGCTAGTGATTCTCGTTGACTCTAATAATCCCAGATATCAAGGTAAAAAAAGAAAATAGTTATTTTCAAAGGACTCAGGAAAGGTCATAATCACATTTCTAATATGCATTTGTGCTTGAACCATAAACTGTGATTAAAATAATTGTGAATATGAACACATTCACAAAGGAAAAATGATAATGTAAAGTTTACACGTAAATATGAACAGTAACCACATATAAACCGTAAAAGAAAAAAAATACAAATAAACTAGAATTGTTCAGTTACGTTCTCGGCACTACAACTTGTGCAGACCACGTAACTTACAAAATAGTATAAGTCCCATAAACAAAGAAAAATTTCACATGAACACCATTAATAAATTATGCCAAATATCTAAAAAATGTGTTGAAGAGGAACAAAGCAGATTAGGGGATAATAAAGTGGTGTTATTAGAACATTTTTAAAAACAAAAGTCTGTTAGTCTGAAACAAAATGTGCAAGCAACAAGAACACCATTCTTTGTGAAATATTTACCTCCTGACACCAGTCCTGCATACAACCAACATACCACAATGAGATAGAGGTTATAGAGATATAGAGATTAACGATAGAAAAACACAGAATAGTTGACATAACTTTGCGAACAATGTTTCATATCAGCCTGGATTGGATATGGATGCATTAGCAAACATGATTGATACAAATTTATAAGCATACTTTTGATTATCTGAGCTTAGTTCTCTTAAAACCACAGAGGCAAGCATTTGGTGAACATATAACAAATTATTCTAAGATTCATCCAAAATTAAGCTACCTTTGGTTATTATCTGAGCCAAGTTCTTATTTACAAGCCACAATATATTAACACCTATGCATGAATTTGTAAATATGTGTCAATAGTTTAGTGTTTTGGACACTTCAAAATACCCCACACTTAGTAAGATATTTTATTGTGGTAAGTTTGCATAAAATTTATCCTCTGTAAATATTATCCAAAACGACCGTTGTCACATCAAACAGTTTGCTTCCAGTGAGTGTATGGATTAGCCATGTTATTTCACATGCACTCCTGTATTTATGCTAAATTAGAAGCAGTGAAATGAGAAAAGAAACATGTATTGTCATGGAATGAAGTATACAAGAAATTAAAATACAGTAAGAACTTCTTATAATTAAATCCTTTTTTGGTCAATTAATTAGCACAGACATAAAGACTGAAGAGGATTATATATGTCATGCTTGAAATAGAATTAAGAAGTAAAAGATGTTTATGGTACAGAAAAATGAATCATGTAATGATTGCACACAGTTCGTACTCCAGTTTTGAGAAAGTTTGAAAGTGACAAGATGGGATGGAGTTGGACTGTAGGATTCACAATCTTCATGATATCTCTACAACAGGGGGTTGTCTCACAAAGACTAAGATCAACTTTAAGTTGGACTTAACTATGGCAGGCCATTCATGCCACTGTTTGCTCTCCCCATGTAATGACATTGGTCTCTCAAAGGACGTACAAATCATGGTCACAACTCTACAGAATTTACATTTTCGATAATTCATTATTAAAGTAAAAAATATTAGCTAAAGATCAAAATGCTGAGAGTAAACAGTGGCATGAATAGCCTGCCATGGTTAAGTCTAACTTAAAGTCGCTCTTAGTCTTTCTGAAACACCCCCAAGATGAATATACTTTAAATGAATCATGAATCACTATGGATGGGATGTACTGAATGGGGCATATAAAGATAATTGAGCAAAAGTTAGATGGCCAGTAAGCTACAATTTCATGATAGGCATCGATCTTGAACAAAACCATAAGAGGAGGAACTTGGGTTGCAAAATCAACTTACGGATGCTCCATGTGTTTCAAGCTGCCCATGGGCTTGCTGATGCGGTCCCGTAACTGGGCTGACCACTTGAGCTGACCGGCGACGTCGGGCATGTTCTTATTGAGCGGGGCATTCCCAGCGGCCTCCTCCATCCTCATGTGCTCGTCGTAGATGTCCTTGGACTGGTCAAGCTCCTGGTCGTAGAGCATCAGCACATCGGGGTATTTGGACTCAAAGTCATTCCTAATGACTGGCCGTCAAGCAGTGGACCATAGCAATCCAACATCTACAGTAGAAGGGGACAAAAATGCTTTGATGACAAATTTGATAATGTGAAGTATGAAATTCAGCTGTGTTAAAAATGTTTAGCAGCTCAAAACAGAAAAGCAGGTCTAGAGTGAACAATGAATGATATAGAATTAAAAAATATTTTTTATTTTGGTATACATTTTCAAACATTGTTACATCAAACATGATCGTTATCCCCATTCATTCGATCTTTAGATAAATTGAACATTTTAGATTAATTGTCAATTTGGATGATTTTACATGTAGAAAAGTTTATTTTCTTGGACTGAAGATGAATACAAACTTCTCTTTGAAAGAGGATCATCCAGAGTGGATGCAGGGTGTGCAGAGATGAGTATAAAGAAATCGGACCCATACAAATTTCAAAATAATCTCTGTTTCAGGGACTAAGTACCAAGAGTGAATCACATCATTCAGATGAATAAATTATCTTTCCTACTCTAAATAAATATACCTTTGGATGCTTCTTGGTGCATCCACAATGTAAGCTACTTGTATACACCACAAGACTTATTTTTACTTACCTTGAAGCAAGCTTCTAATCCACAGCAATCATCGAATCCTTGACACAAGATGGATCCAAGTCTCCTGTCCAGGTCAAAGACCTTCTTCTCAAACTCTTCATAGTCATCCAAGAACTCCTGCACAGTGGAGAATGGGTATACATGTTTGAAAGCCAAGCTAACATACATTATGTGCATTATGTGCAAATATGAACAATGCCAAAGTAACAGGAGACCAAGGTCATAATAAATATCTGATTCTATATGGATGATAGCAATCAGAGAAAGTATAACACTAAATTGTATTATGGATACCTTTTAAAACTTTGATTAATAAACCAATAACGACTTGTCAGCCAGATGAAGTGTTCCAGAGTAAATGTGAAATGTCTTAAGCTGAAACCGAGCAAGTCCAGTTAACTTGCTTATAACATTTGATGTCCTTAATCTACTCCCTGGATGATTGGGGACATTCATAGACACTAATGATCGACTATTCCTACCTGACACTGAGGGTCCAGCCCATCATAGGGTCTCTCGGTGAAGACCTTGGCACACTCCATGAACTCTTCAAAGATCTTCTCCACCTGTTGACTGAGCATCCTTCCCTTCATGCTTCCCATCTCAGTCTTCTCCAGCTTGCTGAACTCCACGTTGGTCTCGAACAAGCTCTATTAAGGTACAAGTGCAAGAAAGGATAGATTTGAAGAAAAAAACAGGATAGACGGCTGCATGGCCGAGCTCTGGTCAGAAATGTTGGCCCAAATTCACATACAGTAGGTTTACTACTCTTGTGCAGGTTTAATCCATGCATCAAGAAAAACTCCCTTTTGTGATTACATTTACATCTATTTTTTTAAAATAATGATTGAATCAATGATTTCTAACAAATTTCAAATTATGTATGAATTCACAGTTGCAATTTCAAATGAGGCAAGCAGAACTTTAAATAATAGCAACATATTCCAGTATTTGCTTTGAATTTATACGCATACATATATGAAATATAAAAGTAGAGGCCAGGCTATTCCTTTGTCCAAGTGGTGTTCTCGATTTCAGCCATCACTTAAAAATGAAAGGTGATTTTCCTAACTCCTACAGGTAAAGTGCCGTACTTGCTGCACTCCTGCATCTTACCTGGATGGTCTCGATGCGGCGAGTGAAATTGTCCATGCGGGTGAAGACCAGAGGCGAGGCAAACTCCCATCCTTTGACTTCCTGGCCCTCCTTGAAGTAGTCCTTCAGCTTGGCCCGGTGTTCATCGTACATTTCCCGCCAGCTCTTGAGGACACTCAGAGCACCGCGGACCTTCTCCAGAGACTCCTCCGGTTCCAGCTTGAAGATCTCGTTGGGGTCCAGGAAGGTGCGACACTGAAATCAGTCAACATCAAATACACTCATTATGAGTTCTATCAATGGCTTAGGGTATTCATGGTAATGAATTTGACACTTAAATGGTATTCAGAAAGGATGTTTTTTATTGTTGCTTTATGAATTCTATGAGTGTCTATCAAAAAATTTTGAGGTGTGTCATGCACTTCCTTTACAATACATTGTTCAATTTCAACTATAATTTTTAATCATCCAATCACGTTGAAAGGTAACTGGAAATTCCTTCATCAGATCATTTGCTGTGAAATAAATAGAAGTACTTTTTTGGCGCTGGTTTGGCACTGTAAATTTCCACAAAAAAATTAAAAAATAAAATAACCCTACATGTACATGTACAAATCATTGCGATTTGTGAGATTTTAGACCAACATAAAAATGCGCACCAGATTTTTTACAGAATCTTAATATATGAGGATTGTTTGGTGATACCACACCATTCTACCGGTATGCTATTATTGTCTCACCAGGTCGATGAGCAGGTTGCATATCTCCTGGAGGAGAACAATGACTCTGGGGGCAGTGTTGTAGTAGTCCGAGTTGCTCCAGATGAGACAGACTGTGTGCAGGATGGGAGCAAGCCGAGGAATCATGTCGGGGAAGTCCAACTCATCCAAGCTTTCCACCTGGTAGATCAGTGGCTTCAGGTAGCAGTTGATATCCTGGGCCTCCGTCAAAGCTGAAGCGTGGACAGAAAAAAAGATGATGCTTAGAATCTCAACGTATGAAATGATATTGTTGCATCACAGTACAATGCTATATATATATATATATATATATATATATATATATATGTATGATCAAAGTACTTTTCAAAACTTGAAATTGCAATTAATTTCCTAGTTGTTTGCAAAGATGATAATTGTTATGTCGTCTACTTTAGTGGGCTAACAAATAAATGATTTAGCATAGAAAGATTTACACCTTATTAATTGGCAGATCTGTAAAAGCTTTAAAAGGAGAGAGAGACAGAGAGGGGGAGGGAGCCGATTACTCTGAATCTGCTCAAGATTCAAGACAACTGAAAATTAAAAACTTGGGACATCTAGAGGATTTAAGTTCAAATTCCTGAAGATAAATTTATCTCTACTTCGTTAGTCTCTTTCTGCATGCCACAACCCCACTGATAACAATATCCAACACTCTGCATGTCTGTTCATCTTTTAAGTGACTACATGAGAGCCAGAGACCATCATCTTCTACAGTGGTTTTATTTATTACCTGCTTCCACATCTCTTTCAATGTTGTTGAATGATGGCAGGTAGCTGCTCTGGGTCCTCTCCAAGAGCTCCTTCATCTTGCGCACCTTGGGGTCACGAAGCTGTTGGAAGATGCAGTCCAAGTTCTCACACTTTGCCTTCCAGAAGTTGATCTCGACCATGGGGCCAGGGTTAAGCCCCTCAAGGAGTGGCTGAGCCGAGTCCCTCTTGAGCACATCTCGGATCTGATGGGTCCAGTCGATGATCACAGACTCGATGGCGTGAACCAGACTGCGATCGTAGGAGTCGTCCCTGTAAAAGGTAAACAATGAAGTATGCATGCTTACAATGGTTGTTGTAGAAGAACAGGATGAAATCATTTTTTGTACTGATCTTAAAAATGCCTTCATCAAAATATTTGCAAATGATCCAAATACCGGTAGTAAATATGAGCTGCAATGTCTTTTGCACAAAAAGTAAAAACTAAATGAAAATTTAATTTCTTCCTTTCTTAAATTGAATTGATAACATTATTCAAATAAGAACTGGAATGCGCAGCAAACTCCCCAGGTAGGATTTTCATACCCTTAAAAAATTTGAATTTTAGAACACACAAACAAGCTTACTTTTCCTCTGAATCAGCTGCGGTTTCCACTTTCTCTGAGCCTACTGGAAGCGGTAGCAATGTTTTGCCTTTGACCTGGCCGGCAACAACGTAGACACTGCTCTTGAGGTTGTGAACATGGCGAAGGACATCCTGTGAAACTACTACAGGCCACTGTTCATGATTCCTTGGGTTGGCCAGCAACGGAACCAAAATCTGAAGAAAAAACAAAAATTATTTAGCCCACCGATTGCGTATGACCATGAGTATGATCAACTTACCAAAACAGAAAAAGGGAGGGGGGAATCGATTTGAAGAATATTGTTAACCTTGGCTTTGGCTCTGTCAATTTGAAGGTTCTTTCTTTTCTGATTTTTTTTTTTTTTAATTATCAGATTTGGAAAAATATTCTTCAGTTAAAATCTGGGCCCTGGTCCCTGACTGAATTTGAAAACCTCTTTACTAATAGAAGTTAGAGTCTGTCTCTTGAAAAACGTCTGAAAATAAAGATTTTTTTTTTATTTTTAATTTTTTTTATGGGTCTGCTTGTTGAAAACCCGTTAAAAAAGATTGCATTCCACACACTCCCCTTCCCCTTATGAGCGACAGGGCCCAGGCCAGGACGAGCAAAGTGAACGAGAATATTTTTGAGATACATGTAGCGAACTCAGGTCACGCACAAACCAGTCTAGAGTTCTAGACCTAGAGTAGTGGCTCTGGTCTGCGGCCGATCGGCGGGAACTGCCGATTCTATTTTTATTGGAATACTCACAGAATACTTCAATACCCTCAATAAAGAGTCCATATACTTACTTATTAAATAGAAGTCACAAATAACCTAACTGACCCACAGCGTGGTCAGCATTGACCACGTTTCGAAATGCTTCGAGTTCCCCGTTTTGCGGGCACGCATTACCGGTTTGCGGCACGCGTACGTCACAAAGCTTTATGCGCTACGTCACGATGAAAGCATGTACCAAATTACTATGGGTAACCCAAATTCTCATGTTTATCTGTTTGCTACGGTAAATTTGTCAAGTTTTAAACAATTTCACCTTTTCCTCGAATGGATCATCCCATCCGGGGGTAAGTACTACTAGAAACTATCGGGTCATAGCGGGTACACACATCAGCACACATACCATCATACACGATCCCGCATGTTATGTGTGTATTAACACCCCCCGCCGCAAACCAGAAAAAAACACGTAATTACGTGCCGGTTTGCGGCCACCCCATGCAACTGGCCATGCGGTGGCACAATCAAAATATCTGCGATAGGAGACAGACCACAGCCATCATACTTCCACAAAAAACATCAAATTTCACCTCCAATCGGACAAATATCGGACAAATAGAGCTACAATATTGATCTAGTCATGCCTCGATCTCTTAACTTAAAAGTTAGCACCTGCTGGAATTTTCATCGGCGACTGGTGCCGTAGATTTCCGACATCGCTGACGGATACTCCGTACCGACAGAAGCACCTGCTACGGACGTTTTCGGCAAAGCAGAACTTACCGTGGAATCCACGGTAGGTTTCAATGATTATTATCGAGTCATATTCATTTTTTTTTAAAACAAATAGATCTACCCCTGGCCGCAAACCGGGCGATGCCGCAAACCAGAGACTCTACTCTAGTCTATGCATTATTTCTTAACAACATGACGTTGAACTTGAGTCTGAATGATGAAGTCGATAAGTCCTGACTGATCGACTGGCAACTTGACTTTTTATTTTTGTAACTCACCTCATCTACCAAAGCAGACAGTTGCTCGAGTGGCGTGTACGACAGGTCTCCATACACAAGAGTTTTTTTGATATTGTCCTTCCCGACAGGATCACGTCCTTTCTTGATGAAATAGATTGCTTTTGTACTTTTGAGAGCTGATGGAAACTCGTAGGACGGCGTGATCAAACCGGCAGGGTTGACTGTGAAAACCAGTTGTGAATTGTCTGCCTTTTCCAGGAACTCCAACATCAAAATCTTGTTCTCTTCTACATTTATGCATTTTTGCCCACTTATCTGGCTTCAGTTTGTAGCTTTTGAGGATGTATTCTGATATGAAACCAAGTCTTGGGTCCACAACATCCCCCATGGTGAAAGTTTATTCGAATATTCGAAGTCACAAAATGCGAAAGTCGCTCAACAGAACAAGGCTCTGCGCGCTGCGGTAACGACTTCAATTCACCAAAGTCCAAACACACACAAATCAATCAATTAATTATTGTTCCAGCACTGGCGAAGCCCAAACCATGTTTGATAATGTCCTTTAATCATAAACACGTATGATTATCAAATATCTAACAAATTGTATTAACTTATACATAAATAAAACAAAATATTTATCTGGTTAGATGAGCTCCATTCCTTTCATTTCTTTCCCGGGCATCATAAATCTTATCCCTCGAGCTCCTTCGTCGCCGAGACATCCATTTATTAGCGGCGATCCAATATGGCGTAATAGTTTCGCGTTGCCATGGAGGTGGGAACGCATGCGCAGCATGCATGTGCACACAATCTCGGATCAACCGTAAACAAAAATAGTCGCTCGGCAGAATGATCACGAGGAAAACTAGCTTGTGCAGCGAACGCCTATTAGACACATATATTTTTTTAAACATTGAGTAAACAAATTTGAAACAGAACTAGCTTTTTGGGTTTTTAAAATATTTTTTTACAAAGAATGTACATTGTGTATGGACAAGGGAGATTGGGGTAGAGGGATAACGGAAGACAGAAGGGGGGGGGGGGGGCGAAAGACTGGGGTTTACTTTCTCTGAGTGAAAAGTATAGCCATCATTGTGCCTACAACAAATGGGGTGATTAACTCTGCCAGTTTCAAAATTCGAATTTTGATAGAAAAATTACTGTAATTTGCTGAGTAGGACCCTAATGACGATTTTTCCACCGTACTTTTAGAAAATTTTTTCAATTAAGAAAGGCATTTAGGCCTTATATGTTGCCGGGGGGCCCAGGGGAATACTCAGATTGGTGTGGACTGGGGTGTGCGCTCAATCCTCGAAACCCCTACCCCATTAGGAGAAGTTTTTCCCGAAAAAAAAAATGTCCACAATTGTCGGGTGTTTATCGGAAAAATTTGAAAATTTTTGCAAATTTTAAAAAAACGGACCAATTTTAATGGTATTTTTGTTAAAAGTGGGACTTATGTTTAGGTTTTTTGTGAAAAAGTCACCCATTAGAACGGGACACCCCGTACAGCGCGTACGCGGGGGGGGGGGGTTGTTTATGTGTATGTTAATTGGCAAACCCCCTCCCCCCTCCCCCCTTGAGAAAAAAAATCATGTCAAATCACGTGATTTTTACCTTTTTTGGGGGTTGGGCCCCCCCCTGGCGCTCAAGGGGGGGGGGGGGGTGCAAATTGAAATTTTTTTGAGGATCAAAAAAAAAAAAAAATGTGCTCACTAACCCCCCCCCCCCCCCCCCCCCCCCCCCACTGAGCGAATTTTTGGCCGGCGCGTTTTTCAAATTTTCGGGAGCAACAAAAAAAAAAAAAAAAAAAAAAAATTGTGCTCTGTACCCCCCCCCCCCCCCCCCCCCCCCCACTTCCCCACTGACCGACTTTTCGGCCGGCGCGATTTTCAAATTTTCGGGAGCAAAAAAAAAAAAAAGTTGGGCCCCCTCCCCTAAGAAATCCTGGATCCGCGCCTGAACCCCCCCCCCCCCTTTTGAGTTTTTTTTAATTTTATTTTTTATTAAAAAAAAAAAAAATTATGCCATTGGCTGACCTAAAAAAGGTGACCTTACCCCCCCCCCCCCAACGGAACAAAATGTCAAAAATTTCGAGACAAAAAAAAAAAAGTGTCCTCTTACCCCCCCCCCCCCCCCCCCCCCCCCCCCCCCCCCCCGCGCGCGCTTACTCAGCGGCTGGCTGAGTCGTTGCGAAATTTTTGGCCCGATTTTGAACCCCCCCCCCCTTGAAAAAATCCTGCGTACGCCTCTGTCCCCGTATGTCCTAATATGTGAGTATACCCCCCCCCCTAGTTTTGAGACTTTCACCCTGCAAATCCCCTCAATGGGTAACTTTGTCTCAGATTCTCATGCTGCAATGATAATTATGGCCCTTTAGGTCAGCCAAGAACCCCATGATTTTACAAGCCGATCGCCTATCTGATTATCAAGATATTTGTGATTGGAAATCGAAATCAAATTTTGCGTTTTCCTAACGGTTTCCATAACACTACAGTCTATTGGGGAAAACGAGTATGGTAAAACCGGTCACTCAAAGATTTTTACTTTTTTGAGGCACTTCTTAATCATTTTGAAAGGCAATTTTTTTTTTAGGGCTTCAATATTACACCATATCACAGGCACAGATTTTATAGGGCAGTGCATCTCAGATTTAACATTGTTAAGCGATGCCTTTAAAAGGAGAGTTAAGGAAAGTTGAGACAGTGAGCTTTCAGAATACCGTCCCTGCATCATGATGGTAATTTGGGAGATTTATCATTCTTCGTATGTCAGTTCAGAAGAATATCATCTATAAATAGCTTCTCCATCACACTGATTCACCCCCTCTCTATCTCTCTGAGAATAGAATTTTGTTTCTGGTCATAATTATAATACCAGTGTGCAGCTGCAACCGTCTAATCTATATTAACTCATTTCTCTTGATCTCATAATTCCAACATACTTTCCCCCTTGCAACTGGCATAGTAATTTGAGACAGAAATATAAGTTGAAACAAATTAACATTATAACGTCACTCGATCGCCTCTTCTACTTATATATATTTTTTTCATTTTCATCATTATTTTTTTTAAATGATTCTTTATAAATTGTTATATTTATATAATTATATGTCTTTCTGATTTATTTCTCCTTGTTTTATTTTATAGGTCTCTTTTATACAGATGTAATAATGTCGCAAAGAATAATAAAGCCAAGAAGAGAAATTTCATGCTTTAAATCCAGCATTTTTTATTAAGAAAGGGTTATATCTTAATTTGTGTCATTATCAACTAATAAAGACGTTATATAACGTCGGAAATTTGTAACCTTATCAAATCTTGGATTATTAAAATGTGACGTTTCTTCTTTTACATTTATTTTTTGGCGTCATTATCTTTGCATGCCAATCTTGCAATGCACGCTAATATTCATTTCACTGATTATAGGGTTGTTTGGTATTGGGAAGTTTTAAGTAAAATGTTTATCTTTAGCAAGCAGAAGGCTTACTAGTTTTACTGCGTTTTAGATACAGTTACCTGAAGAAGAAGGAAAAATCAATTATAGTCCAGGCATGCGCGAAAGCTCAGTGGTAGAGCAGTGGTTTCGTAACCGGGAGCTCCCGGGTTCGAACCCAAGTCGATGCGCTTGTGCCTTTTGGTAAGGCATTAATCCTCATTACCAAGTCCTTTGGAAATGACTTAAAGCAGTCAGTCCCCTGGTTGCTTAATTATAAGCATACACATGCTTTTTCAGGAGTCAGGTAAATCAAACAAACCGACAAAAAAACAACAAAGTATGAGTGCTTCAGGATCTCCATTTTATGAACATGCACTATTTCCATGCCGATGTATGAAATATCCAATAGTCTTTTATAAAAAGAATGGATTGAAGTTTATATACATCATAATTGAAACTTTTTGTTCTGGTACTTTTCCGCTGATATGACACTTTTTTACGAAGAAAATAAATGTTAGTTTGAATTAAATCGAATTGACTGATGGATTTTTTATTTGCTTTTCGAGTGATTATGATAATTTAATATCCAAAAGCAAACAGACAGTATAATAATCTTTTGATTCAAAGTACAATATGATTAGAACAACAGAGAAATATCTGCAGGGCCACTTTCGACAACAAAACGCATGCTTTCAAGCAAAACTTCCAATTATTACCTAATAAAGATTTTGATTCGCCCGTGAGAATTTAAAATGTCTTTTCCCATCGGATAAGACTTAGAGAAATGCACTTGTGATTGTATCTTGCAAAGGAGTAAGATGCTTTGCAGAAAGGAGCTTAGATTACCTAATTTATTTCATCAACAAAATCCCTCATGCAATATTGAGTTTTCGTATAAGAACCGAGGTTTTTTCCCAATTGGAATCAGGGGAATTGTATGGAATAAAAGAAAAACAATCATCGTTCCGTAAAAAGCCGCGGTAAAGTTTTAAACAACGCTTCTTAAATGCAGGATTTTCTCACTTGCAATGCCTTGAGGTTTATAAAATAACTATGATATACACCACTACCTTTTTATACTCTCCATTGTTTATAAAAACTTAAAAGAATCTCTATTTAAAAAAAAAACAATATTTATTCAATATTATTACTGGTGGAAAGTAAAATATGCGCCTTGAGCATTTAATTTAAGTGGATTTCGCGCCTTACAAATCTTATCTATAATCATAAATTCATAATTATTATTGTTATCGTTATTCTTATTATTATTTTCATGATTATTATCAATATCATCATTATTAATATCATTAATATTATCATTACTAGTATTGTTATTATTATTATTATAATCATTAATCATCATCATCATCATTACTAAATAGTTTATTAAAATATTTACAGAAAACTGCTCAAAATTTCCCGAATTACACTGCTAAGTTTGTTTTGGATTAAATTTCTGTATAAACCCATTATGATACATACATAAACATAAAAATAAACATAAACAAACAATTTTTTATTTAAAAGAAGAAGACTAGATTGCTTTATTCAGAGCCATGTTCATCCTAGAGGTCTTCGGAAAAAGAAAATTAAAAAAAACGCTCATCCTAAACGGACAAACCTGTATTAACTAGAAACAAACCATGGGCGTCAAACCAAATCAGACCGGGGGGGGGGGGACACAAGTTCAGACAGGGCGGCGCCAGGTTATTTTATAAGGGGGGCGAATGGGCGCGCCACGCAGGGAGGGGGGTGGTCTGAGGGGATGTGCCCCCTCAGAAGTTGATTTTTGTTTTTAAATTGATGCATAAATGGCTCAATTTGGTGCATTCTTTTGCTAAATTAGAACAAAAAACAGTAGAACACAGGGGGTGTCTGAGCCCCTCTCAGAAGTTGAAGATTTTTGTTTAAATTGATGGATAGATGGCTTGATTTGGGGCATACTTTTTGCAAAATTAAAAAGAAAACAGTCTTAAGTTCAACTAACAAGAAACAAGAACGCAGGGGGTGTCTGAGCCCCCCTCAGAAGTTGAAGATTTTTTTTTAAATTGATGGATAGATGGCTCGAATTGGTGCATACTTTTTGCCAAATTAAAAAGAAAACAGTAGAACGCAGGGGGTGTCTGAGGGGGGTGGGGTGGCCCCCCTCAGAAGTTGAAGATTTTTGTTTAAATTGATGGATAGATGGCTTGATTTGGGGCATACTTTTTGCCAAATTAAAAAGAAAACAGTCTTAAGTTCAACTAACAAGAAACAAGAACGCAGGGGGTGTCTGAGTCCCCCTCAGAAGTTGA